CTGAGCGTGTTGGACGTCCGGGAAAGCCAACTAGACGATATCGGCGGCCTTTTCGTCTGATTCTGCTGCACGTGCTTCCGTATCGTGATGTCGCTCCATGCTGGTACTGCGGACGCCTGGCGTTGATATTTATAAGAGAGAAGTTAGGCATAAATGATAGAATAATTGGCGAAGGGTGTCAATTATTTGAGTATGGATGTCCTTCGGAAGGGATTCGTTGGGATCCATCTGGGACTGTCATCTGATGCTTCTCCATCCCTCAAAAGCTCTAACTTGCCTTCGATGGACGAGTTAGTGGCCAGATTGGAACCGTATGCCGCTCCTAGGATCTGGCCTAGGTGGATTCCTTAAGTCTCCCATTATCTATCTGTCTATCCTCGGAATATTTCGCATGTCTTGAAATCTTAGAAATTAGCATTAAAAAAGTAAAGAATCTAGTAGAGAATAGGTCGAACAAGCCTGAAATTTATAAATCTTGTAGAAATCTTTTAGAAATCTTTCAGGTGTCACGTCTTTGAGCTTAAACATATATGCGCAGAGGGCGCGTTTGGGTAGGCTTCGAAACGCTTCAAAAATGAAGCATTTTTATAGCAAAACTATAACAGATTTCCATTCCCATAGTACACGAAGCTCCGGAGGTAGAGCACTTTTGATGTATAAGTGAGCTAATCGTAAGTAGTATCTGGATTCTATATAAAGACCAAAAAGCGAAGCTATTTAGCATATTTTCTCCAATCAGTATCAGAGACTGCCGATATTGGCCCCACTCTTAAGAGAGGACACACCAAGCAAGTAGCCGCAAAGATAGACTAGGTGCCCGCTTATAGCTATAAGAACAACGCTCGCCCGGTCGTGTCTAGGAGACGAGACACGACAGAAACCAGTGCCCTACCCTATGCCATGGCTTTTCTTGTCACCAAGATCATGATGAAGAGATCGTGGGACTTTCTGCACGGCAGACCATCGATATCAAGTCGTTTTTTGCAGTCGGCTAGGCTACTGACAGATCGCTGCTCTTTCGTTCGTGTGGGTCGTCGTTTTATAAGTCAGGAGCGCAGGCGCTCATCGTAGTTTTTTCCGTTGCTGTTGATCAATATTACAGCAGAGCATTAGTCTACCAGCCGCGTGGGTTTCTTCGGATCGTGCTGCGCTCGTTGTGTCGCCCATTCTAATTAAGAGCTTATTTACATACGAGGCTACTTGTTTGATGTCCGCAATTTTCTAACAACCAACTCGCTCCGCAGCAGGGAAAAAGGCCGAGACCTACGCCTCCTCTCCGTTTTGGTCCCCATAGATCTGAGCAGCAAGATCGTTCTAGTCTAACCTCCTGGACCTACATCACATCAAGATCAATCACTACAACACAATGCCGGCTGCTGCTGGTGCTGCTGCTGCTAATGCAGCTCACGCAGCAAATGCCATGGGTGCAGCGCACGACAGTTACGCCGCCTGGTTGAACAACTTGCCGCCCGCCGAAATCAAGTTCAAGAAGATCGCGGAAGAAGCAGCAACTCCAGTGGTACTATTGGCGTCCCCCTTTGTTGTCGCCCTAGGTGTTAGAGCAACTGTTTTCATCGATGAGAAACTGACGAGATTCCTGTAAAGTAGCAAGTTTTTAAAACTTGCGCTCTTACCAGGTTTTTTATGTTGTTCGCTAGGTTCGTTTTACTTGAATGATAGACCTATCTCAGAAGCTAGCAAATTCGGAAAACTTGCAAAATGTTGACATATCTCTGACTTATTCATTTATTGAGAGAATTCGGAGGCAATCTATTTAATTAGAAGGAAGGAACTAGCTGGGATTCAGTATGGAAACCAGTTGAGTTACTTAAATTCTCTGTTGTTCTTGATTCGAATGGACATAGCACATGACTGCAACTACCTCCATAAGATTCGCGATTTTTTCTTAATTGTTGTCTCTGGTACTCCCCATCGATTTCTTTCGTTCTCACCACTACAGACCGCAGCGAACTTGAGCAAAATTGCGCAGCTCTGCAAGCAAGGAAACCAAGACGCAGATGCCTCCTGCTAACGTCCAGGCGCTCCTCCTGGCGAAGGAGGCAGATTGCCCCTATCCTACTGCTTTGGATCTGTGCATGACGATGGTCACGGGTGAAGGCCTCTGGGGCCAGATCGATAACTGCACCAAGCTGCCAGCGATGCTCGGTCTGTTGAGCAAGCACCTCAACGTGTTTGCTGTCGCCAGTAATCGGCTCAAGGACAAGATCATGCGTAAGATCGAGCTGCGTGCTGCGGCAGTGACTGATCTGAACAGCTACGACAGTGCCCGTGAGAAGATGACCCTGATCGTGTCCAAGTTACCCAACGATCATGCTGCGCAGGCGATCTTTGAGGGAATGGGTGTGAAGATCTTGCACCAAGTGGCCAAAGGACCGGGAAAAAAGAGCATGACGCTGGGTGGTCTTCTTGCCTGGTACAGTGCTAGACCCTTGTGCACTCATTCAAATGATGCAAAAGCGTGCAAGTTCCTTTCAAGCAAGAGAACACCAGTCAAAACCATTCCTCGTCTTAATTCACAGGACCGCATCGCGCAAAAACTTGACGGCGGCACCTCCTACGACCACTGCGGCACTGTGGAAGCAGTTGGCAGGTCCTCAATTGCAGACTGCTGGGGGTTTGCGTAATATCGTGGAGCAGATTGGCGCACATGTTGCCCCCACGGAGCCGAAAACAACTTGGGACTTCGCTTATGCTGCTGTTGAGGCGCCGCTTCGTGCGGCGATGGGTGCTGCTCGCAAGGATGACATTTGGCCCATCTTGAAGAAGAAGCTGAAAGATGAAGCAGTTACCGCCAAGATGAGCAGTTACCGCCTTACCGCGACTGCCATCAACATCCTCAAAACTTGCACCGCAGATGACTTCTACCTCGGCTACGTCAAGCATGTCCCCGAGATGCTGGAGATTCCTGTCACTTCTCCGCGCATGTGGGTACTTTTTTCCTAATAGAGACATCAGAGAATTCGTAAGGAAGTAGTTCACTTTGAACACGAGCGCAAGCTCAGGATAATTGACAAAAACCCCACCGAGTTCAGTATTGTACTCGCTGAGCTTGCGCGCCAATTGCTTATCTTTATAGGCATTCTGTGTGTATCTTTCCTTAATTCCTAAACCACACAGGACAGTTCGACTACCCGCGCCGCCAGATGAAATCGCGCATGGCCATCGTTCTTACCTGGTTGTATGGTCAGTCCACTGGTGGTTTGGCAGCCCCGTGGAAGCAGTGGCAGAATTTCTGCAAGGACGATGCGAAGGGCAACGCTTTTCCGGCTAACGCGGTCGCACAGAAGCTGCCCAAGGGTTTCGAGAAGGCCCCTAAAATGGCAGCGGCCATGCTGCAGGATTATCTGCCTCGTGTCTGCACGGCAGAGGTGAAGGACGCTATGGACAAGATCAAGACCCACCCGATTCCCTTTGAGACGAACAACTTGCCAAGGCTGAATGTGCAGTGGCAGGCGCTCACTTATTAGATACAGTTCGGCAATTTCACTCAGGAGACTCATACTCTGGATCTTTGGAATGATTTAGATGAAGACGTTGATCAGCAGGAGCAGAGATGATGAATCTGGTGCGCCTTTCCTCTCGAAGTAAGTACTTCCATCAGCAACGTTTTCCATTTGATACACCTAAACCCCCACACACGCCAGGGCTTGCTTCCTAGACAAATACCCGGAGGACAAGTGTGACGCAGTGCCGGGGTGGACAGAGATGCGGAAGCGCATGGACGCTCTTCGCAAGATTCGCGCTTTAGGTGCAGAAACTGAGGAAGGAGAGCTGGAGATCCAAAAGTTCACGAGCCATTTGGCCATCTGTTCTATTGGCAAAGACCATCGCGCGATGATCGCGCCACTTTGTTCGGATATTGAAGTCGCAGCACATACAGCGGTTTGGGGGCACGCTGTCACTACGGCGCAGAATGAGCGAGCTGCAGGCAATGAACTCTTTAGGCTAAGCATGAGAGACGCCCGAGGGTCTTGGTATAGAAGGAAGCGCGAGCAGCGGCGTGATGAGCATAATGAGCATAAGAGTTTCTCCATAGGTCGAACGACGCAACAAAAAGTGAGTAAGAACATACAGACAGCAACATCGTGAACCCCTATCCTCTCCCAGGTAATAAAGCCGCGGCTGAGAATGCGCTAACTGGACAACTGGAGGAGTGGCGTTTCTTGGCATCGCGTTTGCGCATGAAGATCTCTCGCCAAGTGATGGATATGCAAGACCCGAATGCGCCGGGCAATGCAGGCCCAGCGCAAATTGGCCTCGCGGGGCCACAGCGTGTGCAAATCGCTGCTGCGCCATTTCAGTTGGGCTAGTAAGGAAGAGAACAGGAGAGGATAGGACGTCTCGGCGTTTTTTCCCCTTAAAAAGGGCATATAAAGAGAGTGACTTACTCGAGGACATCGGAAGTAAGTAGACGAAAGACATCGGGCGCCTTTCTTTGATATCGTTGGGATGTTTTGAGTCACGTTTCTACGTTCATGCCCGAGAGACTTCTGCACAGAGATTCTTCACCTGTCTTATATTGCCACTCTCTTCATCATGATCATGGTAGTACCTTCGTGCACTTCTGTCATCGTTTTGGCATTCTGATGCTTGTAAAAGTGTTTAGGTGTAGTTCTTGAACTGTAGGGCAATGCCTTGCTTCAATCATTTCAAACACGAGAAAGAAAAGAAGTGACGTCTTTGGTGAATTTGCTTCATCCGACTAGTTTCGTTGGTCACTTCCTCATCTCTTCGATGTATGGTGTAGCATTTCAGTGGGGAGGGGAATTATTTCAATGTCATGGTGATGGTTTCGGGATCTACGACCTTCGTTCATTTCGCTCATGGATTAAGTAAGTCAATAATTTCAGAGATTTCAGATGTCATTACCGCAGAATTCCTCGTCGACCTCAGCTGAGGCTGACAGGTGGCAAGGTTCTCGCTCTTAGCAGTTGTCTCAATAAGATAAAGTATTTGGTTTAAATGTTGCGCATTAGATGTGGGAACCTTCTTGATTTCAATCGTTTTTGGTCTTGTCCTCGGTAGGAGGCGTTGTCATATAGCAAAGGAAAAAGCACAAGAAGCATAGCGATATGATTTATTTGCGTAACCTGTACGCACACACTAAAAGACTCTTCTGGAGCGCCGTCGGCGCAGTTTTGTCATTCAATCGCTACAAGATATACAGCGAATAAACAAAGTCCACTTCTGAAGTACTTGAATACCATAAGAATGCCACTGAAATGGAAAATCACTAGCCGCGCGCGGTTTATTCTACGAATTAAGCAGAACTACTCGGGTTTCGACATGTGTAAGGGATATGGGTCGGGATTAATAGCGCGGGGATGTCGATACTCGGGACACATTTCAGATTATACCATAAGAATGCGACGCACTTGAGTTGTGAAGTTTGAAAGGCATCGAAAGGCCATCAGTCGAAACATGATGACAGCACTACCTGCAACCACAACAGACACGAAATGAACAGAGATGACGAATAATCAGGCTTGGCCTGCTCGTGAACATACTAGAAAAATGGAAAAGATTAAAGATGTAAAGCAGGTTGACCTGCCTCGTATCCCTCACTGGTGGTGAGCACCAATGTCTTCAGCAGGATTGGGTAGCATGAGAGCGAACACGCGGGGGGTTTGGGGTCGGGTCTAAGACGATTAAGACGGGGGGAACCCGATGGGGGTGCGAGTGGGGTGTGGGGAATAGTTGTGGGCTGGGAGTTGTTGCCAGATGATTGCCAGGGATTAGGGAAGGGGATGACGCCAATAGGGTAAGGGGTTAACGGGGGGCAACGGGGGCAGAGGTTTCGGGGCATCATCGCAAGGGCTTCCGGAAGGGATACGCGGGCAGGGTTTTGGAGGTGGTCGGGGTTGTCAGCCTTTGGCGTTGGGATGGTGGTGGGGTTTTAGTTTTTTGGTTTTCTCTAAGAGTTAGGGGCGTCGGGGTAGTGTCAGGATGTCCCGGATCCAAGCTACTTTCTGACGCTTTTTCTCCTATAAGTATCCAAGTAGAAAGCGCCAAGATTGACGATAGGAATATACCTCCTTAAACCACACGCAGGCCTCATGCCGGTCGTGGTTCTTTGTACGTTTATCCAGTGGAACTCTTCAAGAAACCATCGAGCCAAGCGTGGGCAAATGCGTACTACATCGCGGCCAGCGCTGGTAGTCAACAGTGCGCGAAGTCCCTCAGAAGCATACTCCAAGAGCACACGTCCATGAGGAAAAACCGAAAAGCCTGGCGCACTGAACAGGCATAGCAGCACGTCCATCATTGTTGTAGTGGGATGGCCTTGCGTCACGCAATGCCTAAAGATAGTAGCTGTGTCCCTGAGATGCCTCAGGCTTGAGAATTGATCAACATCGAAGAGCTCACGCGAAGATCGAGCGAGCTCCCTTTTGCTACCTTCTTCAAACAACAGCCCCCCTACTAGAATTCCATGGTTGGCCTTGATTCTGACTGTTTGTTTCCCATAGGAACAACATCCCACAGGAGTAATTTAATCAAGATTGTGACTCGTTGAGCCTATCGAACGTCCTCGGAGATCAGATGGTGAGGAAGAGCAGAGGAGCCTCGCACCTCACTGCGATCATTTCAAGAGGCTCTAGTGCGATTCTACCCGAGCGGATCAGCCAGACGAAAGGTGCTCGCTGACACCTCTGCAGCACGAGTTCGAAGATTTCTATTGAGGCGAAACATCGAGTGCAGGCATCTACTCGCAAGGGTTCACTTCCACCACGATCTAGCTACGGTCTACTGTCCAACTGAGTTGCAACATCAATACACAACAGCAGAGATCTTTCAACATAGAGCCCACTGATAGAGTTCCAGTTTCCTTGTCTTGTTCTATAAGAATAATAATAAGACTCAACTTTTGTAGTACTGAGATCCAGGAATAAATTTGGAGAGCGCATCCTCGATTTTCTGTGTCAGGACAGACACAGTCATCGACTGAAAAGGACGACGCGAGTCATCATCTGCTACACTGCGCTGGCAGCAGAAGTCGCGATCGTATCGGAGCCAGCTGCGCCGATTTATGAGAAGAATGAGAGCTATTTTCATTGGTTGAACTTTACGAGTGAATTGCTTCTAGTATGTAGTAGTTGACTTGTTTTCCATCATATCTGATAAATTGTTACTGGTTTTGATTCATGAACTCTAATGGAGAAAATTCAACTAAGGACTGCAAAAATCCGGACAAAGTTCAATCTTCTCGGGCATGATACGAATCCGCAGAACACTCGCCGCCTACTGCGCTCCCTTCTGGAAAACCCTCACCCAATTGCGAGCCAAGAACCTCGGGCGCCCTCCAAATCCCCGCGCCCCTCCAGAATCCCCCAGCATACATTTGCAGGCTGGTGCGGTGGACTCTGGAGGGGCGCGGGGAATCACATAAAACGAAACCAAAAGACAGAAAAACCAAGAGAGAGCAAGTTGCAAAAGTCGCTAAGCGAAGCACTTCCAGGACGAGGAGGCGACAATAGTGGCCGTTTTTGTGCAGTTCTTAGTTGACTTAACGCCAATAGATCACACTCGACACTCCTAGGGCATGAGCGCGCCCAGATCGTTGGCATTGACTGGCCCAAGCGGAGCGTCCGGACTGAAGAAAGTGTCGAGCTTCTCCTTCACTTCACATTGATGGCTTGGGCGAAGATTTCGCTCGAGGAACTGGCGCTCGACGTACTCACGCATATCCTCACTGTTGTAGTTGCGGCATGGATGTAGACCATTCTTCACTGGCCTTTCGATGCATTCATCGCAGTGCAGCTTGATCTTTGTGTGCTCTACTCCCTTGCAGCGAACTTGATAGGATCTGAGCTCTGCTAGTTGTTCACTGCAGTCGCGACAAGTGATGTACCCGACTATTCTCGCGCCACGTCTGCCTAGGTCCCGACGTTGCTGCTGATCCTTCCCCACTTGATTGGGACCCTCAATAGCAGCAGCTGCGTCACCTTGTTGCGCTCCGTCATCCACATTGTTACCAGCCTCGTTGTCAGTCCTCTGCCTTTTTGCACTAGGATCTGACGCTTTTGGCGCAATCCAGTCTACTGCTGACAGCTGTGCTACGGCCTTTCCTCGTTGTAGATACTGCACTAGATCACTTGCTTCGTCTGCAGCTGGTGGCAAAAAGTACTGGCCTTGCGAGGTGCATTTCTTGAGGAAAGTGCGGCACTGGTCCTTCGTCATAGTCTCCGGCACCTGGTCGAAAACGGGGCCGAACATGCTGAGAAGCTTGCGGATTTCCCCGCTGGATAGTCCGCGAGATCTCTCGCGCAAGGCGTCAAGGCAGTCATAGTCTGGCCCTTGCTCGATTATGATGATGCGACCACTCTGCATCTCTATACCGAGCGGCCCTCTATTGATGGAGCACTTGTCCAGGGCGTGAACGCGAGGAGACAGACACTTACCACCACTAGAAAAAGGACGAGACTCCCACTGTGTAGCACAATCGTCATGGGCGTCAAGTGAAAAACCACAGCACACACCTGCAACAGGCAAGCCGATCAGCGTTGCGAAGTCCTCCCCTTTCAGTAGCATCAGCTTGCCACTTCCCTCACGCGGCAACGTCAACGATTCATGCATCAGATTCGCACGCCAGAAAATGTCTGCGCCTTGCTGTGCTGAGTATCCAGCTTGAACTAGATCTAACGCCAGAGCCGTCTTCATACCACGGAGACCATAGCTGTGATAAGATGTCCCCGATGCAACATCTGGGTCAGTCTGCCACAAACGACAGAGCTTTTTCTAGTGCCTGTAGTGCAGGAGTGCTCATAGTTGTCATCGGCTTCGGCTACTGATGGCGGGACTGTTGTTGTATGATCTTGGTCGCGCGAGTCTCCTGTCTCAGAGGTGGGCAGGCTTCTTTAACGTGTTGGGCACTCGTCTCACGTGATGCTCCAGCTGGCATCGCCAGAAGCTCGCGTCGCACTGCGGAAACGTCATAAGGCTGTGCTACTTCAGGTGTGTCGATGCATGTGGATACTAGAGATCGATGTCGCTGTTTTCTAGACCACTTGGCCCGGTTCAAGATCAGCTCATGGCAGTCGGTTCGCTTCTTGCGACCTGCACGCGCGCCGGCCCAATGCTCCTCATTTGTGTACTCACCAGGTGGAGCCGAGCAGAGGGAGGCCGCAACGTTCTCAGAGATTTTCGCCGTACCACCAAGTTCGTCCTGTTCTAGATGTTGAGCGAACTCTTTCTCCAAGAAGCCCTGGCTATTGGTATCGCGGTTCGTCATGGTCTGTGCTGCTTTGTAGTCCGCTGCTGAGAAGTCAAAACCGTCAATACGCTTAAGCACAAGCGTCATCCAGATGTTGCGCAGTGGGTCATAGATCTCACTGTAGTAGTTCATCAACACCGGCGGCAGAATCAACAGCACCTCCGCCAAGTCGTCACTAGTTGCCATACCATACAGAAGAGAGTAGAAGATGAGCCGGGACACTTTTTCTAGTTGTTTTTCATGCAAGAAGTTGAAGACGGAGGAACGCACTCCCCTTTTTGCTCCTATGACCTGCGCTACTTTTGTCGGGTAGAGCTTGTCATCGTCTGGCGCTGCGGACTGTCTCTGCGAGGCACTGAGTAGAAGGCGATGATACTCACCCAGCGTGCGTGTCGCTCGAAGATGTGCTCGGGCTTGTTCTACACTGACGGCAGAGATCGCTTTTATCAATCTCTCTACATGCCCTTGAGCGCTCGCCTCCGGCAGGTTGGCAGCCTCTTCTTCTCGTATTCCACCAAGCTCTTCAATCCTGTGACTAGCACCCCAAGGAACAAAGTCGATTTCTAGAGGGAGATCGTCTACTTCTTGGGCCTCAATTAGGTCGACGACATCCTCTGGCACCGCGACAGCGTTTGGCTGTTGGACTACCTCTGCAGGAACTCGGTTCCTCTCCTCCTGCTGTCGACGTTCCTCGAGGATGATGGCAAGGCCCTTCTCAATGTCCTCCATTGGGCCTCGACGCATTTCCTCGAGGACAGCAAGGGCCAGATCACCACAGTGAGTCCGCCACTTGGCACCCTCTTGATTGCCAAACCACCTTGACTCAAGTTCGTCCCAGAGTGGCGCATCTGTGTGGTGTTGAATGAAGTGCCAAAAAATAGCAATGAAGCATCAAGGAGAATCGCAAGACAACGTCAGCACAAGAAGAAACGAAGCAGAAACGGGCACCCCTTGCGACCCTCTTCCCCACTAGAATCCCACCAAACCAGAGCCCAAAAAGGCGCCACATTTGGGCTCTCCTGGTTTTTGGTCAAAATCGTGGCCAGATGGTTGAAACCTTCATGAAAATCAGGCGCCTCGCGGTGCATTTTCTGGCGACCTTTTTCGGCCGATTCCAGTAGGTTGACCTCCGAGCCTACAAGGTCACTTCAAAACCTCAGCAAAACCTGGACAGCTCTGTGAAATCCTTGACAAATTTCTAACATTCTGCGAAGATTTCGGCAAATCGTTCCCAAATCTGGCGACCCTTTTACGGCCGATTCCAGTAGGTTGACCTCCGACCCTACAAGCTCACCTCCAGGCGCCTCAGATCGGCCCAGCCGGCGCCAGGTTTTGAACGGATTCCCGATAAGGTTCCACGTTGGAGAGGGCTCGCCAACATGTTCGACCCCTTGCCACCCCTTGGCACTCCGCTGCCAGACACCACCCAAGGGGGGCACCCAGGCCGCACCTAAATCCCACCACAGAGGCCAAAGCTTTCGAGTCTGCGGAACGTCTTCCCAGGCTTTCTCCCGATATTGTTCGCGTCACGTTGCCCGTTGTTTCAAGTTTCACACGGTTAGCGGACAGAGGTGCACCGCACTGGCTTCACGGCCTTCAGAGTCCTCGGCGCTCACCATCGGGCCACTGCAGGGCCTTGCACCCCAATAGACCTGCTCCGGGATCCCGGCCGGACCTATACCACCAAAGTCGTCACTCGTGCCCCACCATGACCGCGAAGGCCTTCCACACCCTAAAAGACCTCCAAGACCCAGCAGGTGACCACTATTAGCTGCCAGACTCACAACACCAAACCCCTCCAGCGGTCGACAGGAACGCCAACCAGTGCACCGGCAAAATGGCTCACAATATGCACACCCATGAAGTGCGGGCAGCTGAAACCCATGCGAACCACCCCACGACAAACCCCGAACCCCCTACATCCTGCGCACCTTAATCGAAGGGCCTCAGCCTCACACAAGAGCAAGAAAAACAGTACCAACTTCCAGCGCATCCCGGATGGGCTGGGCTCTGTTGGAAGAGATGTCGTTGTGGTTCGCTGGAAGGATTCCATCCACCGCCTTCTCCCTCACTCGGTCGCGCGCCTTGCGAAAATGCGGCACGAGAGCCGCACTCTTCATCGGACCACGACGGAAGGATCTTGCACATTGTCTGAGATGTGTGACGTTCTTCGTCTTGTTGCTATTATTCGATAAGCGATGGCGCCGCCCATACCTGCCTCTCAACTCATCCTTCCAGCCCTCTCCAGGCATGCTGCCATTCTCATAGCAGACTCGGCCTGGTCGTGGAGGATGCAGCCAACCAAACCCTTAGGTGGTAGGGTCGGACCCGGCGACGCTGCAACCCCGTGTCCAGGGTCTCCAAACAACGACGACACCAGGTCAGGAGCATAGAAATCCAACGCCATCGTGTGGGTCTTCAAGTGTTGCCGCGTTTGCTCGTGCGTTAGCTTCTTGTACTCGGGAGCCCCGATGTACGGCAATGCCACAGGAGCAGGATCCCGGACCTGCGCACCACCAGGATCGTCCTGCAGAAGTATCTGGTTGCAATTGCGACAAGAAAACGTTGCTACTGCCAAGAAGATGCGACCAAATAAGAAGTTTGCAAATCAAATAAATTACGAAACTTCGTCGAGGCTGCTCCTACTGTATTATATAGAGTGCCCAGCACTCTGTTGACAATAAGAAGGAAAACCCTAGAGAACTTAACACTTAAAGAGTACACTTGTAGCACTCCATTTGGTCATAAACTTGGTGATTTCATCCTCTCCAAAGCATATCCCGCCTCCCCATTTGAAACCTGACACAGCAGACGATACCGGAAATCCCCAATCAGGTCGGGTAAGCTGCTGTAGTGTCATAGCGCATTCTCCGCAGTAAGCCGCTGCAGCAAGCTGTTAGAAGTGTGACAGGGAGACACGTGAGTCGTCGAATCGCGAGCCAGTGGAAGTTCTTTGTCTTGTCATAAGTTGAAGAAGGGAAGAAGCAGAGCCACTTGAATCCGAAAGGCTTACAAGTCGCCAAGGCCTTGGATAAATTCTGTGCTTTCAGGTGAGCAGACCTACAGGCAAAAGAGTGGGAAGCGCCTTGTTTTCCCGTTGGGCAGCCCTACCAGATTTTGAAGGCGATTGGTAGACCTTTTCAATTTCGGAAGCAGTCTGAGGATAATTCTCCAGCGTAAGCTCGACGTCCTCCGTTGAGAGTGGTAAACTGTGCACCGAATCACGGCCGTGCGTGCCATTCATAAAAATGAGGAAGAGGGCCTGGCTTGGGATGGAGAAGAGCAATAATTTCGCAACTCTTATGGACGTTCTTAGTCTTGTTACACACCTAACTATTCTGAGAAAATAAAACTTAAAGGGGAAATCACATAGATTCTTCAGATTTTGTCTCTTGTGTGCGATGCAAATGAATCTTTTGGATAGATCACCAAGTAGAACTTTTCTTAACTCTAACCCAGCAGAAATTCTGCAGAATACCAAGCCACGCGTCGCGGCCGTCTGATATGCCGGACCATCGCGCAAAGCTTCAGCGTCCTCGTTCAAATCCGATAGGAATTCGTCGAAACGAGGAACCACTTTGGGCAAGAGCTTCGCTCTCGTAGTCGGATCCTTAACGAATACTCTCGGCCTCAGAGTCGTAAGGGTCACAGCCTGAGCGGCGACCCTTCCTGGCGGCATCGCGCCGCCAAATGCAACACGCTGAAACAGCTAGACTCTCATCCTTTCCCGTTATGGTAAGAAGGATCTGCTTCGTTAGTCTTCATCATTATAGGGCAACAGGCTAGCTATCGACGACGCATTTTCCTTTTTATGATGCTTTCAGTCCCATCTCATACAAGTGCTCTGCTTGTAATTTCAGTGCCTCTTCATCTCTTATCAAACAGTCTCTCACTTCTCTCAAAGTTCCACACAAGTAGAAAAGCACCTCCCCGGCCCGACATCTTGCGACATTACAGAGCTGCACTTCAGACGGCGCAAGGGTTTCGATGTTCGGTTTCTTATGGCGTAACTCATGTACAAAATAACTTTGGTGTCTTTTCCTGCTTGTCGTAAGAAGAGTGTCCAAAGCTGTCCTCACGCTCCCAGATGTTTTCAAGATTGTGCTCATGTGTCACGATGTCCCTCGTTTTTTCACTGCAGAAACGAAATGAATGCAGCTTACTTGTTGATAATGCAAAACGATACTTCTATACTCACTTTCTCCCACTCAAATCTCAAAATTACTCGTAAAGTGCCTCAGTTTTCTCACATCATCGAAAAGCTTGAGCTTCAATCTCGTTAGGTACTGAATTGCTAGTAGTCACGATCTAAATAATGTAAACAGCCAATTTCTCTGATGAACTTATATCGTTGAATATTCTCAGTTGTCTTATCCTAACTGGTTAAATTCCACTAATTAATCCACGACAAGAGCGGCGTCTTCCTTGGGCGCTGCCTCCATGCGGTCCAGCAGAGAGTCTTCTCCAGCAGCTTCCGGCTTGGTCTCCTCTTTTGCTGGTTCAACAGCTGGTTTGTCAGCGGACGGAAACAACGTCTCAGGTCTCAGGCGGAACCTCAGGTGCAGCAGCAGTTGGACGAGAAGAGCGGCGATCCGTTCGCTCGCGCTGACTGTCTGACACGCTCGCCAGGGAAAGACCTGGAGTAGCGACTTTTGATGAAGGAGTGAAGGGAGATGAGAATTAAGAGCTGGAAACTAAGATGAAACTCGGTAAAGTCCTACCATATAACGAGCATCAAATGGGAATACTCAGCATTTTCTACTTCAAGAACCAACTTCAGAAAAACCATCCAAAGCGCATCTAAATAATCTGTAGCTTTCCCGTTTAGTACCCTGCCCCATCTCATGCGTGTTGCGGAGACGATTCGACATCTGCATACTTGGCGCAACCATGGGCCCAGTGGACGGACCAGGCATGTTGGCAGGGGTACTGGAGCGAACACCACCAGCATGCATCGTGGGCATTTGGTGTCCCATAGGGTTCCGCATGTGCATACTATTCGGGTGCGGCATCTGCTGACCCATGCCACCCTGGTGCATACCATAGCCACCAAAAGGCTGCATATTCGGAGCTTGCGTCATGTTGTGCTGTGCCTGCGTCGGGTTATAGGGCATCAGAGCCTCACTGTTGTGTCCGGCCATCTGATTGGTGTGCGGAACCATCGGAAGCGCCGGCTGCATCGGTTGGGCACTGGTGAAGAGTTATGGACTTAGATTAAAGGAAACGGCTGGTGTGATGGTCTCGATTATGTTAGTCTCTATCGTCATTCTTTAGCAACAAGAGTCCCTTTCTATCTTCAGCGAGGTCATTAGCAAGTTCATGATTCAGCTGTTAGAGCTATGGAATCAATATGAGGAAAGTGAAAGCTTACCAATCTTGATACTAGTAGAAGTAAAGAAGTGCCCTCCCATCATCATCGGCCCCATGCTCATCATCATCGTGCGAGCCTGCTGCATTTCGCGCATCATTTCAGCACGAATCTCTTCACGGGTAGCAGTCTTGTCCTGGATAGCCAGCTGCGGTTCAGCCGGTTTGGAGCCATTCTTCTCCTCGGCGCCAGAAGACTCCTGCAAAGACGGATCCTCCTCCAGAGCACCATCCTCCAAAAGCGCATGACCATCCAGGCCAATAGCCGTGCCCATCTGGCGAGAGCTCTTGGCTTCTCTCTTAGAGTTGAGGCTTGCCGCAGAGTGGCTGGAAGCAGCAGCGGCAGAGCCAAGTTTCTCAGCATTCTCCTTGGCCTTGTCCAACACCTGGGCCATGCTGGTCGCGGCAGCAGGCTTCTTTCCAGCCATAATAGCCGCAACTGCGTTGAAGCGCTTGGCATGGCTGACAGAACGGAAGCCCAACTTCGTATCCATGCGTTGGCCCAAGGCCTTCAAGTTCGGCTTCTTCTTCGGATCTCTGGGAATCTGGAAGAGGATGCAGCTTATGCATTGAAAGAGCCGACATGGAATAGATTGAAGGAGAGGAAGTCTCTTGATTCAGATGGTTCTCTTCTTTGTTTTTACTATAGGGAAGTCTGGTAGTTGTTTATGAATGATGCTAGTTGCTGACAAGGGAAAACCTAGAGAAAAAGCATTCCGTTCAGTTTTACTTACAAGCCTCTAACAGTGCCGCTGCCTTCGGATCGAACTCGCACCAAGTGACAAACGCCTCAAACTGAGCGTCCGTGATGCCGTCAATGGCACCGATCTCGCACTGGCAGACATAGGACGCCAAGGCTTCTCTCGTATCCTTCTGCAGAGCATTGATACCTGCGGAGAGAAGATAGCGCTATGATATAGGCAAGAGTTAAGGCGTTTTTTGATGGTGATTAGAGTTTTTTTGAGTTAGGATCTTCATGGAAAGCGTAGTTGTCATGCATAGCAGAACTCTAAATTTAGGCTAAGGTGGAAAAAGATAAGCGCTTACAGTCGTAGACTTTCTCGTCCAGATTATTCCCAGATAAGCTGCCCAGTTTGATCGCGTTGCTCGTGTTGTGCTTCTTGTACAAGTGCTGGCTCTCCGTTTTAGTATTAACATCGTACAGCATACGCTTGGACAAGTGCGGGATGATCTGCAAAAAAGCCAAGTACTGGCCACGATACTTGGCTTCGACCTTCTTATCTTCATCAAGGTCCCAGACGGGCTCCACATCTTCCATCGGCATTTTGTCTAATTCTACCCCGGTACTCTAACCAGAAGTGAGTCAATCCGTTACCTACAACCTGATACTTCGCAAGCAGCAACACCTCAAAAAGTGGGGGAGATTGGGAAAATTTGAAGGATTTCTTTAATCAATGACCTGTAACCAATACGAGCAGACTATAGCGAAGATGCGTCACAATCTAAACGAAATCGCAGCTGTCGCCACTCGTGAAACAAAACGTCGCAGAAAAAAATCATGCTCATTTAGTACCTTTTGCGCCACTCAGAAACATCTGACTTCTTCACGATTGTCCGACATGGGTCTGCGATGGATATCCGAGCAAAAAAACGGAACGCTGCGCTTATGAAACCTCTTCAAAGTGCCGACTTGATGCAGCTAAATCCTGAATCAGCAGACCGACTTGTCACAACATTACGGGTCTAGCGTTTTGACCCGGGTCATCGGCCAACAAATAGTCTTCCGTGTGTGGTGTGCATGGGGATTATATTAAAAGGGCGTTGTCTAAGCTAGCCTGCGAAAGCCGGACTGCCTGCCTTCTTCTGCGAAGCCTTGCGACTAGCGTCTCGTGCCTTGCTCGCGCGCGCGTTAATATCTATATATATATACTTAAAATAGCTAGGTAAATAGCTAGTTAAAATTTTTTTTTTTTGGTTTTCGACGCACCCGGTAGGCTCATAGAAGTAGGACAATTGCGTTTCATAAGAGAGGTGGACAGTAAAGCATCATGATCATGATGATTCGCCTCACGAGAAAAATCAGCCGGAGAAGGTTAGTCTTGGCGCAATAAGTAGAAGTTTGAGTGTGCTTATTGTCGATAGCCATGGCCTTAAGAGGAGGTCTTGTGGAAGGAGCGGCGGATCAAAGGCGTCACACGAGCCACTGCCAATAACCTCTGCGCGCCTTCCGATATTAGAGTAGAGCCCCACCTCCCCCTGCGCCCTATCAGGTCCCCTATGGACAACCCCTCCTAAGTAAAAGCTTCATCTTCATGATGTACTGAGCGTATTAGCATGGGCCCCCTGAGTACTTAACCACAAACAACTTCAAGCACAGCCATGAGCATGAAGTTGAACAACAAAAAACAAAGATGGCATATTTACAGTTGCCCTAGGCGGTGCATTCCGCCCCTAGCCCTACCCCTAACTTACATATACATAATACATATATAGGGAAAGCACTGCTACTGCGTAGCTGAGCTATCCAGCCACCTTGATGAAAGAGGCTGCCTACATGTAGTAGCCAACACGAGTGGACCAAGCCCTGCCCGGTGCCATTAAATAGAGACCCGACCCAAAGAGAAGCCCAACGGCTACCGATGCAACCCAGCCCGCCACACCTGCGGAAACCAACCAAACCCACACCCGAGCGGCGGGCTGCCAATGAGAAAAGACGCAACGCTCCCAGATACCAGGCAAGCAGGTGCCCCACATAGCCTCACCGGCAACTTACATACTGCGCGTTACACCATTCCCATGGCGGGCCCAAGACAAAGACAGACAAACACACGCGAGGGAGGACCCACCAGAGCCCAGTAAGCAAAAGCCAATCCAGACGAGGGGTGAGCGCTCGCGCAGCCTTGGCAAGACCACCACAAGCCCCCTCACCCACCCAATGCCACCGAAGTTTAAAGCCTACGAAGCTCACAGACACAACGCAGAGAGACGAGCCCGCGGACCAGGCAACGCAGAGACACGCCCTCCGCGCTCCCGCAGGTAGCGAAGACTCGCTGACGGAGTGGAAAAAAGGGGTCCTGCCAGCACGACGAAGCTAGACTTACGCTGGTGCCGTGCGAAGGGCAAACTCGCCGCCGCAACGCAGACCCATAGGCGCCGCGAAGGCTCAGAATTGGGCCACAGCTGCGCAGCGCAGGCAGACAGACTCGCCCGCGCGGTGCAGACTCTCACCCGCGCAGCGCAGGAGGAACCACCCACGCGGCGCAAACTTAGTAACCTACGCAACGCATGGGCGAGCAGACTGACTCACCCGCGCAAAGCAGGGACAGACCCGCCCGCGCAGCGCAGGGGCGAGCCCGCTCCCTCGCGCAGCGCAGACACGCTCGCACCGGACACGCTTGCCCCTGCGGTTTCTTCACACAGGCCCCGGCGGAGCACACATGCACCGGCAGCGCACGCGCCCCAGCCGCGCCTCCGTCATCTGCTTGAACAGGCCCCATGTGGTCGACGGAACCGCCCGCCACATCCGCATGAACCGCAGTCGGGCTCGCACATAGATCACGTCACGACGCACCCGCCCCCGAAGATTTTCTATCCCACACTTCTACTAGCTGTTAGCCTGTTGAACTAGTGCAATTGATTATGGAAATGGGGAACAGCCATATGAGCCTGCGAAAGCAATCGAAGGAGCTAGCGAGAGAGTGTGTCAGCCCGAGCCTTAGACTCGTAGCAATAGTGTAAACTCCAGAACTCGTTCGCGAAACCTTACGGGAAGCGAGCAATCTTCATTATTTTCTTAAGGTTCTAGTGAAAGTTCTTGCCGTTCTTAGAAGCCTCAGACTTCTTGAGTAAAAGTTTTTCTCTCTACTTTCTACGATTTTCATGTTTGAAAAGCAATGCTTGGTAGTCCTTCAGTATCTGTGATCAAAGTCAGAAAGTAGTATGCTCGTGGTCAGTTTCGTGTGACAAACAAAATTATTAAAACTGAGACACTGAGCTATAATTCCCAAAAATCCACGACAATTTAGAGTCAGATGTTACTCAAAGTCCAAAAAGGTCTGTGATCGTGATGGAAAAAGATGAAAGTAGTTACATCTGGAAACGGTAGGAGAAGTGGCACTAAGAGAGCTCTGGCACATCTTGTATAGGGTTGTAACTGAGGCGGCTGCAGTAATTCATGTGCTTTAAGTAAATACGAGTGACGAACTGGTATCGTTTTGCCCTATTTTTCTCTCGAGAAAGCAACAGTCAAACTCTTCTTACTCTAAGTGGTGTTGATTGCGGCGGTCACTCTCCTCACTGCAGGTCTGCATTTACATTTTCGCCCCATCTCTCACTTGACTCGCGCTATTTCTGCTACCGCGAGTACTACTATTTTGAAGTTACTTCTGTCTCTCCTCGAGGCCAGCTCTTCTTTGCGGATATTTATCAGAATGCGCCTAGATTCATTACGACCAGGAGACAACAGAGTGACTCCTTTTTTACGGCCTCTTCAGGTAATTTTAGAATTAAGCTCACTTTGGTCTTACTGTGCGAAAGCGTCTTGCCTGCTTACCAGAGTCAGCGCTTTTCGTGCATTCTTTTGAGGACTATTGAGTTCAAGTTTTTGCATGTCGTGTTTGCGTTCTTGATACTGTCCTCTACTCGTAGACGCGCCTCCCGCTGCGGCTGCGGATTATCATTTCACGCAAGAGTGTCCGAGTCCTTTATAAGAGATTTTTTTACTAGTCAGGTGCGTGCCTTCCACCTCAGTAACAGTAACACGTTGAAACGTGCGTCCCCAAACTGTGAAGGACAGTCGCCATGTCTTGTAACTGACATCGAGGCGGAAGAGCTTCCTCGACTTCTGAGTCGAATTTTTGAAATTGTTCAGCATAACTATGGCATTGTTTCAGCAACGAGTGGCTGCACCTGCCTGAAGCTCCGGATGGCGTGCGAAAATACCAAAAAAAGCAGCCGCATGATTTAGACATGCGATCTCTTAAAATTATTTTGACTTTAGTTAGAAAGTCAGTCTGTTGCAGATAAAGAGGAGTAAATAGCTAGTTAAATCAGCTAGCTAAAGCTGCAAGATTGTCCTGCAGGATCTAAGGACTGGTCTCTGGAGGTGATCTCCAGATAGGTCGCAGCAGCAGGCCGGTAGAGCGTGGCTTTCTGAGAGGCAAACCGAGGACCCCTCGGCGAACAGGTCCACGGGCTTGCCTCGGAACGGCTTCGCGCAAAAAGATCGCCTTAAGGGAGAAGAAGCGGCCCACTTGAACTGAAGAAAAAGGGGCTTTCGACGTACTTACTTGCATACTTCTACAGGACGAGATGGCCTTGATTTTGAAGGATTGAAGTTCTCGACTAGTAGAGGTAGACCACGCCCAAGGCAGCACACCAGGAAGATAAGCCAGCAGACGCGTGCCCTCTCGAGGTTCTTCCAGGTGGTTTCTAGATCGCAAGCCCCAGGTCGAGAATTGAGGCCAAACTATGGATGACTTTCATCTTCTATTTCCTATGATTCTGAATTTTAGCATTTCTCCCCGCGAGAGCCCATCGGATGAGCATAATGCTCTAGCCATCACCCACTTGATAATTGCACGGTAGTTAGCTAGTATCATTGATTAGTCCGCTCTGCGTCTCTCATTTCGTCTCGTGAGACTTCTCTCAGTGAAAATGTTGTCACCTCACAAGGAGCTTCTCACATGCTCTACTCCTCTCAAACTGAAAACATATTAACCGCCGACCTCTTACTCGGGTTGCAGCATGCGAAACAGCTGCAACTCCTTACTAGTACACACATGTCTTGTTGGAATTCCTCTGATAGAAGTCATCGTGATAAAAGACACTACCACGACCAAGTAGACGTGCAGCTCAGTTCCATGATCTTCTCAGTGAATGTTGTACAATCTAGTCGTTATAAAAGCTAATCCTCGCACAACATGAAACCCATCAATGAAGTCTGACTTTGCTTTTCGGCCTCGCTTCAGTTTCTGAGCTTTCTCCTCTGCCGTTGCTGCCCTCTGTTCCTCATAAGCACGTTTGGCCGCCACAGGATTCATCAGATTGGATGCTCCGAGGTTGGTGTTAGAAAATGATCATGTAGATGGAGGTGATTTTTTTGATAGGCCATCCACTTGGATATGAAACCCAATGACCAAGACAATGACGAAGTAGATGATGTCATAATTATACTTTTAGACCTAGTACTCCAACTCCTCTGAATCAAGATGAAAATTATAGCTCTAAAATAGTGACAGCAAATGTTTGTCATTCATAACACCACCACTTCCGCGTTCGACCTTCTTCCTCAAGGCATCGCGATCCACTCTCGCAACCACATGCATCGCGTATGGCGTTTTGCCATGCGGCTTCCTCTGTAACTGCCATTTTGCTAGGTATTCGATGTTTTTGTAGCGAAGGGGGAAAAACTCCGGATTCCCCTTGGAGTATATGTTCTGTTTATGCAACTTTGGCCACGGTTCTGCACACCGATTCGGTCTAGGTGGGTAAGGTGGCGTCCAATGCATAGTGCCATCAGACTTTGCGGCTAGGGTCCAATCCCCGGTGTGGATACGATTTCGCCGGTTTGGGAGTTTGCGAGGCTGTGGCGGTGATAGTATGTAAATGATCCTCGGGTTATTTAATTGTTGTTGTAGTAGCGCAATTAAGATGTATCGAAGATCGTGATCGCATGACATCAGCAAAGCTTTATTAACGTGAATATCATTTCTTCACAGAATCTTAAATATATCAAAATTTCTTCACACAGAATCGATATAAGCAGTTCCACCTCGACTACCACAGCGACTGCATATTGCACTGACACTGAGTAGTTTCAAAGACTCTGAAGTACCGCCTTCAATCTCCTATGCGACGGCTGTGGATGTCCTTCAACGTAGTCGGGATGTATATGGGCACCACTGTACTTGGGACTGCGCGATGGTGGTAACGGAGGATGATTCCATGTCCCAAAGAACCTCGTTCGAATCGTAGATTGATGCAGCAGCGCACGTGAGCATGACGAAGATGAACTTCCTGTAGCAAGACTTGACGACACTAGAAGCATTTTTTGTTGTTCTTGATTGAGGATGAATGAGTTGTAACCCAATCTGGCAAAGGGAGCGAGTCGTCTGACAGATAGAAGTAATTTTTTTTTTACTGCATCGATGTCGTTGTCGAGCCGCTCGCCCTCTTCAGTCAGCAGTGGAATTCAATTGTTCTGTGTTCCACGCTCTCTTAGTACTCACATGTCGACCTGTTACTCGTTGAATACCCAACGTCGTCCCCTTTACTTGGCCAGCAAGAGACAGAACCAACAAAAAAAGCAATCAAAAAGGCTTCTTGAATCTTTCCATCACAAAACGAGCTTCAGCATTTTCTGAAAACACATCAACTTGTATACCATGAATTGCGGTTGAACCTGCTGGAGTTGCAGGTGCTCATCTCGCAAAAGTAAATGCACATGTAGTCAGAGTCTCGGTAAACATCGTGTTCTCTAGCAAACGCATAGCTCCGGTATTCGCAGCATACTAGTAGAGACGTACTCCTAGTAGTCCTACTCTGCTTCAGGTATAGTAGAAGCACAAATTTCTTATTCTTCTTCAATTTCGAGCTAGGCTCAAATACACATCCGTTCCAAACGTTGGAAGAGACACAAGCTCTATCCTGCCACCTACCCAGTTAACGTATTCCTTCGTCAACGGCAAACCACACCCAAATCCGGCCATTGGTACTATTTCGTCATCTCGATCGCCGAAGTTTGGGAATGAAGAAAGAGTGTTGAGGATAATTTTTTTGGTATTGGAAGAGGGGCGCTTTAGTTGCTTTACTTTTGCTTTACGTGAGGGAGGGGGTGAGACTGATAGGAAAACTAAAACATCTAGAAAATAATGAGATTATTTTTGAAAGCAGCTATATCTGACGAGTAGGAGTTGTGCATCAATTGGCTGTTCATAAAGTAACCGGCTTGGCAGTCGTGAACAAGTAGGACCAAATTTTGTCGATTTGGTCTCTCGGAATGCCGCCGCCTTCATCCGAAATCCTCACAGTGACCGTATCCCTGTCACAACATACGTCTACAGTTATCGGTGGCCCGCCGGTTGCTCGACGAGGGTTAGAGAACGTTTTAGTTGATCCTAGCTTAGGATTTTGTGATTGTAGATGTTAGGTTTAGGATTTTGTGACTGTAATATTCGTAACGTGGGTCCTCGATGGAGAGGCTAGGCGTAGGATTTTGTGATTGTAATATTCGCAACGACTTTACTCAGGGTCAGGCCACCTGCCTCGGTGCTCATTGTAGACTTTATACAGGTCACCCATCAGGATCCCTGGAGTCGAGCAGGTACCGGTGGGGCTCGACGTGCAGGATCCATAACCTAACCTAACGACCTGACGTGGATTGTGTAGTTGTCGTTGTGTACTTCTACTTGTACTTACATGTTGAATGATTGTCGCTGTTCTGTTTTTCAAGTCGTGTTATCAAGTGTCAATATCCAGAAGCCGTAATCGGCCACCTAATTGGCGCTATTTCATCTCCATCGACGCGCAAACGTACTACTTCCTCGTAATGCATCTCTCCGATGCCAAAGCCTCTCTTGCCCTGCACTGCCCTGTCGCGAGAACGAGATGTAATATGACCTTCAGCGCAGTCTGCGTTGTCGCCTCCACTCAGTTTCACAACTTCCTGGTCATCATTACTTGTTCCGTTTTCTCCTTGTCGCGAGTTATTTGCTGCAGAAGTGTTCTTTTTCTTGTCAACATTTTCCGCTGAAGCGTTTTCATCTTGTTCTTCATCTTCGCTGACCCCAACGGGTGGAACGACACACTGATCCTTGTGCCACTCGATGACAGCTCGCAAAGAGTTTTTCAAGAGTTCGAAGCATGCGTAGTGGAGGTACTCAGGTACGAGAGGGACGTTGCGTACTTGTTCTCCATGACTCCGAATCATTATTCTCGGAGGTTCTGATTGTAGAGGTTCATTGTAGTTGTATTGGATTTTTAGATTGAAGATATGATTAAATTAAGGAAGTTTTTAAGTAGTAGTACGACCATACTTCAAATATGGAACGAAAAAATCATTGATAATCTGTAGCAGGCATGCAAAGACCTTCTCGAAGAAGTCGACATTGTTCTATGCATGAAAAGCTATAGCTATACCCAATTTCGGATAGCTCAACTGGCACACCTCTGTCGCGTCTTCGGCTGCTGCTAGCAGAATACTTTGAGGGAGACTCTTGGCCTTCGTTTACCCTGCTCGTTTTCGTTATGCCTTTCCGTCTTCAGAAAGGCAAAACGAACGGCAACAAGTACACATTTCCAGCCTACCCTTAAAATACCATGCAAATCAGCATTGCGGTCGATGATTCCTTCTTCGTTATCCCACATAGCGAGGAAGTGCGTCGTCAAGCACTCTGTCCCGATACGCGCTTTGAATAGGTATGAACAAGGAAGAACAAGGAGCAGTGAGAAAGTAAAACGAGGACATACGTGTTCTTGTTGTAAAAATCAGATAGACATAGCAAGCTGTTGATGTATTAAAATAAATTAAGTACTAGTTAGTATTTTGATGTTGAGCAGCAGGCACAGGAGCGGGAGCAGGAGCGTCCGAAAAAGTCGCGACGATGATGTCTTAACTATATTTATATATATATAAAAACAACTTCTTGAAGTAGCCGTAGAAATCGTGACATAAACTCGTCGACTTTGGCGACCGATAGTAATTTTGCGGCTTTCATTTCCGCTATTCCTGCTATCACGTGTGGCGTAATCTGTCCATGACGATGTTTCATTTGCTGAATCACGGAAACCAACTCATCCGTCTCTTCTGGTGAGGATTTTGTATTCGATGATGTGGTCGTGCTGTGGTGGTTAGCCTTAGCATGCGCACCATCATCATCATTTCTAGTCCGTTCTTGGCCGCTCCTTTGCAACAGCCTCAACGACCGAAAGGACTTGTCGTAGATGTTTCGGACGTGCCGCAAGTTCTTCTGCAACTGCCATCCGGGCAGTGATTCGATCAGTTTGATTCGCACTGCTATTCTTTTCGGCAATTCTGATCGCAGTGCAAATTCGTAATCGCGTTCTGGAATCGCTAAAATCTTCATCAGGGTGAGTTGAGGCGGGATTTGAAGAGAAAACTTGATCCTCTCTGCGTCTAACAGCTCCTCTAATCGGCTTTGTCTTAGAGCTACTTTCTCGAGTGAAGAGTTGATGTCCTTCTATTTCGACTCGACGGTTTCCGCCTTAAATCAAGGGGAACTTCTTCAGTAACGCAGCATCGTCCACCACGTAGGATTATAGTGAAAAACTACTCACCATAATTGTCTGATATTCATCAAAGGGTCGTCGATCTCTCCACCACTGCTGCTTGTAGACGATGGAGTGGCAGGTGCGTTGGTTCCCGCAAAGATTAAAGGCGTCATTATAAGAGGACAGTTGACGTTTAAAGGCGAAGGAATTGTTGAATCCTGTTGCAAGAATCAATGAGGACATCAATACGTTTATCATGTTTTTATGGCTCTCGCTTTTATAGATGCCGTCGTTATAAGAGCAGGACAGTTGACGTCAATCCCAATCATACTTCTGCTCATTGGACTTAGATGTTCCTCCACAATATTTTTGAGTGTCCATAAAATAACTTGCGACAATGACTTCGATCCGGTACTAGTGGTCCATGATTCACTCGTGTGATCGCGATTCCCTGTGGTCCCCGTCGAGTGTCCTCCCGCAGGAGTCGTGGAGGAACTAGGAAAACGTCGCCGAATGCGTGCGTTAGAGAAGAGTTAATGAAGAACATCAATCCAGAGGTAGTAAACTGACACTCTGACGATGAGCCTGCAGCACTTGGGAACTGAATCTGAAAGTAAGAATGTAAGAGTAAGATTTAATAAAAATGACTACTCTACTAAAAGAGAAGGGATGGAGCTATAGTGAAGAGATGAAAACTAGCCGGCTGCTTTACTTAGTGCGCTAAGCGTCGCTGGACGACCTAAGCACCAACCTTATAAATATATAAAAAAGAAGGAGCCAGTCAAGATTTGCAGCACACCTCTAAGCCAAGGGGGAAAAGTCAACAACCGTGCTGACTACTCTACTAGGTTTTCCACATCATGCACTTGAAGCTGCGGCCGCAGTAAGAAGTACAAGTACCAAACCCTCCCGATCATAATATCACTAAGGGGTGACGAAGTGCTGTTCTTCGCAAATCCAGTTCCGGGTAACCTTGGCGAGCCTCCGTGAACCTCCGATGTAGTAACAACGCCATGTGCAGGACAAGGCTTACCTGTTGTTACCTTGTTTTCTTCGTCTCCAGGAGTTCCATCGGGACCTGGGGCCGAGGATGAAGAGCTGGACGTCGAGAAAGAAGCTACTGCTCTACTTCGCGTAAATGATAACGACGTGACAGTTGTTCTTGAAGAACAAGACTTGGCACGTGATGAGGTGGAAGAGGAAGATGAACTGCTGCTTGCGACGTAGCCTGGAGCTGTCGTCCAAGATATTTCTTTTTTTCGTGCAGACGACGAGGACGACGTCCTCCTCTGCAGCTCGCGCACGCGCAGAAGGATTCTACTAGTGTTTTTCATCTTCAATAGTGGTCATCTAGAAAGTGCAGACGAGGCTATTGTGGCGGGTGAACTGGGTCACCAGACGCTGTTCACGGTCTTCTAAAAGAAGTGGCTTTGCAAGTACTGCGTCTTGGGTCAACCCCAGTACTCTGTCCGTGTCCTCTAGGTGCAAGCACACGAAACGAGTTTCATCTGCAGCATGGTCAATCCTCCTGCTCTTCATTCTCGCACAGAAAACGATGAATCAACTTCTAAAAGTATCTGGTTTGTAAGGATATTTATATTAGGTCATCTAAAAGAAAAATCCTGCTCGCTCCTCCAGAGATTAAAAGTACTTAGAAGAGTCTGCGAAAATCAGTTTTGCTGGAGTGGGGTGGCTATTGTGGTCCCTCTATCATCGTCGTCTCCTTAATTGACCATCGGAAAGTATACTTATGCCAGAGGGAACATGCATAATTGCGGCACCCGCGCCGAAGATGATTGTTCACATCTCCTAGTACTAGAATGATACTCATCGAGCGGTTCAAAGGCGTTCATCTTATCCAACAATGTTAACTCTCCCTTTCTTGCGAGTATCAGTAGCGCTAGCATCATGGCTGTTTTATGTTGCGTCGATATCAAAATGAAGCAACATTCCTGACTACCTGCAACTACAACATCATCCCTGTAGTTCATCCTCCCTCTACAGCTGCAGCTGCCTCCTCCTCCTCCTCTTTCGGTGGTCCTGCTATTGATTCCTTCACCATGTCGCCAATATTGTTGGCCTGTGCTTTAGAGCTCAAAGCAAGGCGTGAGTCATTTCTATTCTTGCCTGCATTTGATTTCTTCACAAAAGAAGAAGTGAATGGTTCTGGTATTTTTGGTATAGCCTGAGTTTGATCCTAAGGGAAAACAAGAAGAGAACCCTTAGGATCAAATTCAGGCTATACCAAAAATGCCAGAACCATACAAGAAAATTGCCTCCCTTGTAGAAATGAAGTGTACAACATTGCGCCATAATCGATGTTGCCGCTCCAACTGTGGCTTTCATGTCAATCTTCAATTCTGCCAGAATCCGTAGTCGGTCGTCATCGCTCATCGTAGCCAGCAAATTGCAGATCATGTAGACCTTGAAGATTTCGATTATATTGTCTACTGACTCATCATTCTTACACAAAACATCAAGCGGGTCCTCTTGAGTAGAAGAAACTCAAACTCAAAGAAATGAAAAAGTGAAGAAGTTGAAGAGTACTTAGAAGGAATACTAAAACATCAACTCATTTTACATATTGCGCGAACGGATAAGCCTAACAATTTAGAGGGATGAAAACTAACCAGCTGTTTATGTTTTACGTAGTAATAATATGAATTCACTATGGTATATATTGCTGCACTGGATAAGCCTAGACTTGGTGAGGTGAAAACTAGCCGGCTGCTTTACTTAGTGCTTTGAGCGTCGCGGGACCTAAACCTTCACCCAAAAAGGTGAAAGCCAATCAAGATTTGCAGCGCACCTCTAAGCAAAATATGGGGAAACCACTATCGTCCTCTTATGGGAGCAGGTTAATGATATTCACTATATAAACTACAAACCCCTTGCACTAGTCGTGCAAAAGAAAAGTGCTAGTCTTTGAAAGTATGAAAAACCAGCCACGTCATCATTATCCACTTACTTCAACGTATCTCTTATTGCTTATCAATCTCCTCGTAAACTATCAAATAAACGCTTCTAGTACAAACGGATGATGTTCGTCCGGCAAAGAATGCAATTAAAGGTTGAAACATTTCATTTTTTAGTAGCAATCTCAAGTAGAGAAGGCTTGTAAAAATGAAATGTTTCAACCCTTAATGCAATATCGGTTCCGTGATCCATGATGTTAGTGCTTCTAAGTTGTGTTCTGCCACATAGTCGAGCGTCGCTTGCTGTTCGTCAGTCACTGAAGCGGGCTGTGCAGTTTGTTAGCGCGTCCATCGTGTGTTCATCGTGTAGTACAACAGGGATCCCGCAGTCACTGCCAAGCATATTTGTTTCTTAATATTTCCCTTCGTCCCCTTGATATAATGATGACGTGAAATAACTCTTCGGCAACGATCTGCTTAAGATTTAATATCCCCTGACGATGAAGTTGATGTTCCTCCCCTTGATATTTATCAATCTATTGGGTGCTTAGATGTTGAGGGTGGACCCCAGCACCTTTTTACAGTTATTAGGGACGGTGGATTAGGTTTATCGGAAGCCTTAAGTTTGGGGTACTTGTTTGAGGATGATCTTCTGTCGTCGCCACGCTTCTTCGTCTGGCTCTGTTGCAGCAGCATCACCACCATCTACTGTATGTTCGTCAGCATCTCCATCTTCTCCTTTCTCATCTTGATCAGCGTCTTGTTCTGCTTCTGCTTGCTCTCCACCTTCACCGCCTGGTTCTGCTACTGCTTTGCCAGCAGTATCAACATCAGCATTCTCAGCAGCAGTTGGTGCACCAGCTGGAGTTGTATCTCCTTCTGTAGCGACCCTAGCGGGGGCTGGAGCGGCATCCCCCGCATCGTCATCCTCGCCCTTTGCTCCAATCTTGCTCTCTTCTGCGCTGTCCTCCTCAGGTGGCAGTTCGACAGCTGGCGCCGCACCAGCGTCTTTCGGTGGGGGCGAAGCGATTGCAGCTTCCCCACCTGGTGTAGCGGAGGCGTCCTCTTCTTCAGGCATGATGGTCTTGATTGGATTTTTTGAAAGTGTAGTTGTCGTGTTGTCGTATTGGAAGGTACAACTATGAGATTATCAAGATGAACAAGACCAAGTAGTATCAAACTACTGTGGTACTTCAATCTTAATGCTGTTTTTAGGTTCTTAAGTACTTCTTTTCAGCTTAATCGTTTTTCCGTTTTACTTGGCACGTCGTGTCATGTTACCTCGTGATCCATCCTATCAAATCGTTTTTCCGTTTTACTTGGCATGTCGTGTCATGTTACCTCTTGATCCATCCTATCAAATCAAAAAACAGCCTTGATCCTTTTCAGCCGACTTTAAGGTCTTATTCATGAGGTCTATGATTCATACTGTTGATTCTACACTTCATCTACCGATGCTCCTTTCTCCTCTCGTCTTTTTTTATACTCTAATCTCCTTCCTCCAGAAGCAAGTCAGTGTGTTCAGAAACTTTTCGCCTACGATGTTATGTCCCTGCCAGCAGCAGCAGCAGCAGCAGTCACTTTTGCATTCAAATCTTTCCCAGAACGATATTACTGCTTCTTCTATGGTCATCTTCATAGTTTTTTCATTGCTGGAATGTTTCTTGTCAGCCCAGTTGTAAAAATAAAATTTACAATATCATCCATTAAATCATATATCATTTTCGATTCGCACCGCGAGTGTGCGACGTCTATGGAGTCGCGCGGATGTCATCTATCATCATTTGTTCTATCATTCCATATCATGTATTATCATCATCTTTATCATCAATTATGTTACTAGTTCTTACAGCTCTTCATAGAGTATTTTCCTTTATCAGCGTCCCCAAACTTGTTGTGAGTATACGTGTCTAGTTGAGTATGCTACTTTATTAAGACTTGTTTACCATATTAACATGCTAAGTACTTGAGTTTCTCTCCACGTTTCATCTTCAGCACACTGGTGATGGCGCAGTCCCAATGTCATGTACATGTGTATGCCTGTGATTCATCATCTAAGATGCATAAGTACCCGAAATTTTTTGAAGGAATATGCAACATCAGCACGTAATTTATATTACTCTTGATGAGCAAGCGAAACGAAAGAAAAAGTTTTAAGGCGGCTATCGCTATCCTCCAACAGAGGAAGGCTCCCTCTTTTCGCCGCAGGCAGCAGTACGTGAGCGATGGTCACAAGGCGCGTTTCCTCCTGTGTTTGCTGGTCGCTCGACTCTTGCCTACATGCCTGGGTATCTCGGCTGCTGCTGCATCATGGGCTGCTGCTGCATCATGGGCTGCTGCTGCATCATAGGCTGTTGCTGCATCATAGGCTGTTGCTGCATCATAGGCTGTTGCTGCATCATAGGCTGTTGCTGCATCATAGGCTGTTGCTGCTGCATCATCATCGCTTGCTGCTGCATCATGGGCTGTTGCATCATCGGTTGCTGCTGCATCGGCTGTTGCTGCATGGTCCCATAATTTGGATTTCCACCCATAGCGGGCTGCTGCGCGTTGTTGGTAGTGGTTGTAGTGGTCGTGGTGGTGGTAGAAGTTGTTGTGTACATCGTTGGCGCTTGCAGCACAACCGCTGGCATCATCGTCGGAACCCACTGCACGGCGAGCTTCGGGGGCGGCGGAGGCGGCAGCGGCGCGTAGATAGTCGCCGGGAGGGCCAGCTCGCTGTCGTTGGAGCAAGTGACTTCCGCAGCGGCCGAAATCTCATAGGTGACCTGCAGGTTGCGACCGCGGGTACTCGGGACCACGCGCGGGTCGCCACTTTTGAGTCCCATGGTAAAGTTGCACTCTTTCTTTTGTTCCGGCGCCACACCTGGGAAGCGGTCGGTAGCGACCACATCGCTTTTCACAAAGCGACGACCACCGCGCGAGTGCATCTCAACGAAGCGGGTCATCTCTGTCTTCAGCACGTTCAGCTCGCTGGTGCTCTTGTTCTCGAATTCTGCGGCCACCTGGATGAGCTCCCCTTGGCAGAAGACGTCTTTTGCACTTTTCAAGTGAATATGGCAGGTGCCGCGGTCGCAGCAGAGGCAGAAGGTAACCTGCGCGTCCGCGCTTACGTCCAACTGCTTCGCGGGCGGAGGAGCTTGCACCACCGAAAGGGGCTGGCGCGCCATCATTGGTTCTTCATCCAGGCTGATGCTCATGTCAAAAATGGTTCCGCCCCGACGGAAATCAAATCGAAAGCCGCGAAAGCCAACCTCGCGGGCTTCAGCGTACAACATGTACCGCGTTTCACCGTAAAAGCGCTCGCACTTGTCTTCCGCATCCATTTCTGTAGTGCAAAACATTTGAATTTTGTGCCGCATATAGAACAAGACAAATTCATTTAAGGGCATGCACATCATTTTTGGCTATCGTTCCTAGTGTATGGAGCCAAAATTCCTTATCATTGTCGTGCTTTTGTATCCAGGAAACTTGAGAATTGCAACAGATTTTTCTGACTTCATATCTATAAATATTGTATATTAGAGGTTGGCTTGGTCGTCAGATAATGTTATCTAGCTTCAGAAGGTGGGTCCTTCAGATAAGCTCACTGCGCTTTTCGCGGTACACAGACAACGCTCAAGAAAATCAAGATGCTACTTGCTAGAAGGGCCGAGCGGGCTTCTTGAGGAAGATACGCAATAGCTTTGTTGAATTTTCGACAAATAATCAATCACTTGTTTCCTAAGAAGTAATAAAATATATAAACTGTACTGCTCCATCCAAGCGGTTTGCGAGTTCCAACGACGCATGACCCAGGAACGTTCGCCGGCATCGGCAACGTGAATGGGACGCAGTACTGACCTGGCGAAAGGAGTGGACCGACGAGGCCACCACTCGAGAGAGGTGAGTAAAAATCAAACACCTCGTTGGAGCCATCAAATTCGTCGCTGCGCTTAACAAGCTTATCGCGCCGCGGCCGGCCCTCTCTCATATACGTTGTGTCACTGTAGTCAGGGACCCTCTCGAGACCTATCATGTAGTTTGGAAAATTTTGATGAAGACATCATCACGATGCGCACATCAAATAGTAAGTGCTTGCGCTGTATTTACTCGTAAAGACGCAAACTGAAGTACTGAAGATGAGCTTGCCTGTGATGAAAGTGGAGCGCAGTGAACTTTTTGCGGAACGAGCGCGAGGAGGCTTGTCATCTGGCGTATGAAGAATTACACCTTAATATCGCCAGCGTTGTATTTAGATGAATGCACGAGTATAGCAGAAAAAACCGGCGACCATAGCACAAAACACACGAAGCGCAAAGAAGAAGTCCGCCGAAGTCGTGCGCGTTGCCCGAAGCGCATCCGAACAAATAAACAAGGCATGGGTATAGAATTGCTTGGCCGTTTGACGCCGGATCATCTCTGTGCTTGAAAATAAAACAAGCAAAAACAAACTTTATCGACACATAAAATTATATCTTGTTGCCAAGTTTCGCACTCCTTTCCAAATATAAATCTACAAGTTCAAAAGTCACAATCTACATACTACAGCGAGTTGGCTACTTACTCTCTATCGATGTCGGAATAGGAACGAAAAGGCAGCTACAGCTGATTAGTATTTTTCTATATTTTAGTACTTGAACAAAATGCAAACTACTACAAAAGCACCAAGCGACTTGGATTCTTTAAGTACGTATTTCAGTCCAGTCCACTAGCTCCATGCCACGCAGTCCGACTGCGAGTGTGCTGAGTTGATTAGCGCCAGTTTTTCACTATACCCGATTGGGCGAGAAATTGCCCTGCGTCCTCCTTCCCCTTGATTCCTTCCCCTTTAAGATTTCAAAGCAGTCGTGGACGCCATCACTCAACGTGATTGATTCATGCGGGATAGTGAAAAACTCGCCTTAAGTTGAGTGGGAGTGGCTATGCGGAGATGGACGCGACCTGTAATGCTGTCACCTGGCATTACTTCATAAGCATCTAGTTCCACGTAGATGGCATTGCAGTTGCGACTCGCGTTCGCCCCCATCTTTTTGATGAGGATGTTGGTTCTCGTTTGACTTTAAAAAAAGTATGGGCTATAAGTAGTCCCTGTCTTGTCTTTGATATGAAATCGTCTTACCCTTTGATGAAAAAGAAAGAGAATTTTCAAAGATGCAGATGAATCATAGCACCAGGATGATCACTGAGTGACGCTTTTCCGTTTCGATTTGTTCATGGACGTTACCTCTGAAAAATCTATCAGGGAGCAACAACTCTAGCTCAAGGAAAGAAATTATTAGTAGAAGTGCCACTAGCAATGTAAAAATAGTAATAGATCAGGTAACAAGTCAGCAACTATGAAGAGGAGGCGAGGGGAAAATACATGGAAAGTTTCTGAGTCTATTTTCCATGGGCATAAGTCATTTGGTTGCCCCTCTTGGCTAAGTAGCACATTCCAAATTTCTGACAGATAATATCCCTCTCGCCTAGCATACAACTCGAGATGTCTGACAGATACAATCCCTCTCGCTAAGCATACTTTGGGTTTCTGACTGATGCGGTATCGCTTTCTCTCGACTGGTGGAGGAATAGTTGCTGTCTGCCCCGCTAATTTTCTCTCGCACTCAAACAGAGAGGGAGAAGTTTCACAGATCTGACGGGTTTACTACATGCTCAAGACAGCCAAGGAGGGCCGAGAAGCTCGGCTTTCAGCGCATTTCAAGCGGTGCCGCCTTTCTTCAGAAGCGACCTATCTTGCCTGGCTACGTGAAGGAGTCTCGTCATCTCTGCGGTATAAGTAGAACACAAAATACTTGTTAAATATATCCCGGGACGGTTGTGGTTATTTGGTTATTTTTTCACTTGACTCAAAGGCCGGCCCTGCACACGGTTAGGTTGGTCGGTCTATGTTTTCAGTGCTGTCATTGTAGGAGTTTACTGATTGGAGTCGTGCCATATTTGGGCACGCTCCTATTTCTCAAATCTCTCCACTTTCATATTCTTAACCTTTTCGGTTCTCGTTCTCTTTGTGGGCGAACAGAGTATTTTTCTCATTCACTCGGACAGAGATGATAGACTTTGTCGTCATACATCCCCTCCTACTCTGTTCGGCCCTGAGAACGTTGGAAAATATTTAATTACTTATTTCTTAACTTCTAGGACTGATATGCTTGAAATCTTAGTTTTCAATACATGGAAAATGGACGACGTTACTCGAGTTACTTACTTGTTTCACTTATGGAAAACTTTCCCTTTTTCACTGCAGGACGGCCGTTTTTACTTACTTACTTGCTTGTTTTGTACTTCCTTCTTCACTTTTTCAAATACTTAAATACTTGACTTAGTCGGTGAGATGTTCAATACTTTCGTTAATTAATTCTTTCTTTCAGCCTTTACCTTTTTCACTTTTCTACTACTCAACACTTGAGTACTTTCACTTTCTTATTCTAATTATTTACTTCAGTGCACTTTTTATGTTAATTCTTCATCTTGTTCAACCAGATAATTCCCATTGTTCGTTTCGTACGCGGTTACTTTTACTACTAGTACTATCCTTTTTCGCTTTTCCTATTTTTCCTTTTCGCGGCGGCTTATTCGGCTTCCGCATCGATAGCTTCAACCTGGAGGAGTTTTAATTGTAATAGTCCACGTTTAAACTCAATACCACGACAGATTTTACTTAAGACGTTACTTCGATTTTTAGCAGATTCAAGGAAGAAGGCTTGCACTTCTCCCGTATTGGTCAGCTCTTTGATATACGCACTACGTATAACTATATGCTTCAGGCGAGCAACTGGCTGATTGCCTGTAGCATGTTTTATGGCGCCCTGATTGTCCCCGAACTGTTTCAGGGTTCTTTGCAGAGAGAACCCAAAACGCATTAGAAACTCTTTTAATGGCGTTACAGAGAGTAGGTTTCTGTAAACTAGACCCATTTTAGCTCCTTCACTCATCCCGTATAACTCAGCTTCAGACACAGAAGTAGCGACTGTATCTTGAGTTCTACATTTCCACTGGATAGCAATTCCACACAACTCTACCAAGATGCCTGAATTGCTTCTCCATTCAGTGAGGCTCTGTAGCGATGCCCAATCTGAATCAGTGGAAACTTCTACGATGAGTTCACCTGTGAAGGAGTCAGGTGCGACGTAGTGGAGAACGCGTTGTGTACGCAAGTAGCGGACTACTCGCCTCAATCCTTGGATTGTGTTCTCGTTGATATCCGAAGTAGCAAGTACTTTCAACGCGACGCATAAGTCTGGTCTTGTAGCAGTGCAAGGATATTGCAAACTGCCTAGCAGAGACATTCTTTCTTTGTTGAATGCTGCTAGTGCGTCGGGTTCAAGAGGTACTTTAGAAGCTGCTGGAGCGATTTCAATTGGAGTAGGAACATACTTGCCATCTTCCCCTCCAAATCGCTTGAGCAGTTTCTGCGTGTATTGAGTTTGATCGAGGATAGCGGACCATGTGAGTTTATTAAGACGCACTTGAATGCTCAAGACATCATAAATTAACTCAGTAGCCGTTTCTTGAGGTGGTTCTTCGACAAGGTCGAGTCTGTGAGCCACTTCAGGATAGACTTTAGCAAAAGATTCTTCGTCGCCGAAAAAATAAAAGTTATCGACGAAGATTATAAGGATGACATTGGACAAGTGCCAAAGAGTAGGCTCTATAGCACACTGTTGCCAACCTATACTGACAAGTACTTCGTTTCTGTACTTGGCCCATGCAGCGGGAGATAGCTTTAGCCCGTTCATGGAGTACAGAACTTTTCCTACGGAATAGTGTAAGACAGATTGCAACCTGGAGTCAAGTTCGATTAGAACGTGCTCAGGGTATGGAGATTGTAAGAATGCCGAAGTTGCGTCAGCAGACTTAATTTTGATTCTCCCTCGAGATAGTACTACGAGCGCAATCATAAGCCTTACTATGCTGATATCTGTTACCGCGGCATACGTGGATAGATGGGTCTTAGGTGCTAAGAATCCCATACATGCCACGCGTGCCTTGTGGCGTCCATCACGCTTTACCGACAGTAATAGCCTGCAAGGTATGCGCTTGTATGGATATTCAGCGACTTCCTGTTCTGTAGCTTTTCTGAACGCATGCTTGTGCGCGTTGAGTTCTTTTTGGATAGCCTTTCTCCATTCTGGAGTGTCGTACTTGTCCTGCTGTTGCGAGTTTGGACTTTTTCCTTCTGTAGTGAGAAGCACTAGCGGCGTCTCATCATCGTCGAGTTCGACGAATTCACAGACTGCCAAAAGAAGTTCTAACTCTTCATCGAGTGGATTTGGTTCCATCTCGAGTCTATGCAACACTTTCGCAGCAGCGGCTTCTGCCTGCGCTGGCTTAAGGTGTTCATACTTTGGATGCTCTTTGAATAGACCTCGAATCTGTCTAACCCCTTCTTTGCGTTCTCTCCAGTGGAGACGCTTTCCTTTTTGTTGTTGTCTTAGTTCTTTTAGGATCTTGCGCGCTTCTTCTTGAAACTCTTGATAGAGTCTATCAAGTTCTGTTTTAGTAAGCTTTATTTTGATCCTGGGCCCTTTATTTTCTTCTTTTTCTTTTTCTGTTGTAGCAGAATCTAGATTACCTAACCTAGCATTGACATTAGTAGAAGGACTGACCGGATCCCCTACTAACCCAGTGGACACATTGGTCAGATGTGACTGCGTAGGGATGTCAGTGCCGTCGGCTATTGCAGGCAGTTTTGCATCTAGATTTGCTTGAGGGGTAGAATTAATTGGAATCCCCTCCAATTGCTTGAATGTGATTCCAATTGGATAATGGTCACCACATGCGCGTCGAACATTCTTTAGAACGTGGAAACTTGTGACTAATCCAGCGTGTGCTTGTGGATAAAAGACATGATCAATGCGCATGCCTTTTCCAGTAGCATCTGGGTACTTGTGTCCCCAGGTGATACATGTGTAGTCTTTTCCGTTGGGTCTTAAGTTTCTGTAAGCGTCCATTAGCTGGAACTTGGTAAGAAGAGTTACGCAAGCTTCTTGGTCAGTTTCTCTTACTCCAGGAATGGCTGCCTTAAAACGTTCTGGCTCGAAGTCCAGAGATGATGGGCAGTAGTTTAAATCTCCCATAATCATAGGTACTGCCGTCTGTGCTGACAAGTACTTATGAAGTTCTTGGTCCCACGACTGTGTTCTTTGCACGTCTTCGCGAAAGCACGCGTAGACGATGAGAATCGGAATGGGACACTTGGGATGATGTACCAACATACCTCGTCCGTTACTTAGAGCGGTACGCTCTACGCGAATGCCTAGGCCCTCCTTAACCAGTGCGGCTGTAGAGGCGAATCCATCGCGTTTGTTGGTATTGAGTGTTATCTCATACTCAGGCGCGAGCTGTGCTAAAGCTTGTTTGACTTTTGGTTCTGCTTTGGTGGCCATGCGGGTTTCACCAAATGCGAGAACGTCGGGCGAGTGCTTTAATAACAGAGAGAGATGGGGAATTCGCTCTGTTACTAGCTTTCTTAGACTATCTGGATTATAATAGATTATATCCAGCTTAGTAGCTGCGGGCGAAGTATTGTCTTTTGCTACAGGAACGACTGGAATTGAGATTCCTTGGCCGTTGCTGTCGTCGTTATTTGCTGCGTCCTTGGCAGGATCAGCAGGCAATTGCTTGACAGAGACTTTAGCAAGTTCAAACTGTGAAGCAATTTCTTTATCCTTGACAGCTTCTGCTGCGTCCGGTAGGGTTGGACTGCTAGCGAGAGCGTCTTGTTTAGGATGTGTTGCGCGAATAACATGCCACAACTCGCGTGGTAAGACCATTGCGTCAAGTGTGGTATGTTTTCTCATGTGACCTTGGTGGATACGCTTGTATCTACCAGAGTCATCAATGACGAACGTTTTTGAGTTGTCATTTTCTTGAATATAAATCAATCGAGCTGGACCGTACCAGGCCGATGAATTATAATCGAACCACTCGACTTCGTTTCCAACTTCTAGCGAGTCAGATTCGTTGTAGTAGTTGCGTTGTTGTTGCGCTAGTCTCTTGATTTCTTCAATGAACACTTTGTCGCATCGAAGTCTTTCAAGGACAGAACGAGCATCGCATCGGATTTTATACGTGCTATTTGGTTGCGAAATAGCATACGTAAGCCGATTGAGCTCGATTTCATTCATGTGCTCAGGCTCTTTGGGCATCATGAATGCGGGCGAAGATGCGAATTGATACTGATGAGGTGACAGGCCCTCAAGTATGGCTGTCGGGCTTTCATTGGCAGCGTTAACTGCCGCATGCAAGATTTGCACAGCGTGAGCATATCCATAAATCAAGATCAGCTTATGGAAGATCTGTTTTATGGTTCTATGTCGACGCTCGATCACTCCATTAACCCACGGTGATGCGCGAGGAGTAATGATGGGATGACAGCAGTGCAACAGTAACCAGTTGAGGAGCGAGAAGTTAACAAACTCACTTCCTCCATCAAGTAAGACGAATTGCGAGAGCATACCACGAGCGCGGAATTGCTCAGCAAAGTCAACGATGTGTTTGGCAGATGGTGAATCTACATTCCGTGGCAGAACGTGGATAACACTGAAACGAGAGAAAAGATTAATAACATGCAACACACAAAGCTTCCCTGTGGGTAAGGGAACGAAGAACGTGTCAAGTGCGATCCAGTGACGCAAATGACGTCCGTCGATTCCTCCAAATCGCATGCGTGGAGTGCTTTCTTTCTTGAGTCGGTTTAAGTTGTTTACTAGAAATTCGACTACAAGTTTTCTTGCGTGTTGATGGTGCTTGGGTTCTGTGATACTCTTCACAGCGCCCCAAAGCTTTTGATAAGAGGGATAAGCCATAGAATTTGCGACTTTGGCTATCGACTCCATGGAGATAGCGGCTAGTAGCAGTAGCATGCTAGTTAGTTCGCTAGGTTTGTGCTTTTTAGGTTGTTTAACTAGGTGAGTTTCTCCTTGAGAAACTCTCTTGAGACTAAGTAGTTGACAATTAGGAGTAGAATCTAAATTAGGTAAGTTAGTAGTAGTACCTTGACAAACCAGCACAAAGACTCCATGTCTTTTCTCGAAGGGTAGGATCCCTACAACTTTGCCATTGCGATGCACTTCGAGACACATCTTCAAGAAGTTTGGGATGATGCCTCGTGACATCAGTTGACTGACTGATAAAATGTTAGCTGGCGCGTGAGGCCAATAACAAACTTCATCAGCTTGTACGTCAGGCGTCAATTGACAAGATCCGATCTTTGTGATTTCGATCAAGCCATTAGCCGTCGTTAACTTGATGTCCACCGTCTTGGGGTTGGATATGGGCAAACTAGTCAGGTGACGAGCAGCTCCACTATCGATTACCCATTCGGTTGTCTTGGATACTTGCGTCGAAGACAACTGCAACAGCACTAGAATCAGCTTGGAAGAAGAACTACTAGAAGATCCTCCTTTATGTTGTTGCTGATGGTGTTGCTGCTGGTGGTGCTGTTCTCGTGCTTCTTGGAGACCGATGAGTTCCCACTTCGGAAGGTCATCCTCATTGACGTTGTGCCAAGAAGAATCGTTTAAGTTTTGCCAACTGGGACTGGAAACCTCTTGCCAAGTAGAAGTAGCATCTGCCTGGAGGTATACTGGACTGTAAGGACTAGAAGAAGTAACATTGTAGTTACGTTCTGGGCGGAAGCCCCCTGGCGGGTCTCCTTTGCCCTTGTTCTGGTTGTTCTTTCCTTTGCCCTTGTAGAAACCCTCGTAGCCCGAAGACTTATCGGATTTCTGTACACCTTTGTTAGGTTTCCAACTGCTCTTTTTGCCGTGCTTTCCGCTTTGCTTCCAGTTACTTGTCTGCACCCACAGCAATGGGCTGGGATGAGAAGCAAGATTTTGACCTGGAGGCGGATTCGTAGAGGAGGACGAGTTCGTAGCGAGACTGTCCTTCTCCTGTAGTTTCAAGCAAGAAGATTGAACTTGTTCCCACGTGGTGCAAGAATCGTCGATCAGTTGCACTTGCAAGACTTTCGGGCACTTGGCTTTGAAGACGTCAATCCATCCCGTAGTGGAGTGGATAGAGTCCGGCAGTTGATTGGCCAACAGTTTGAATCGCTCGAGGAATTCTGCGTAGGATTCAGAAGGTATTTTGGTAAAAGCAGACAGCTTCGACCTGAGAACGGTTTCATTCTCATGCTTCTGCTTCCAACTTTCCAAGAGGAACTTGCACTGTTTGGCCCAAGCCCAGTTTTCGTTTTTACTTTGCATAGCGGCCTCAAGTTCGTTCAGTAAGGTCACGAACTTCGCAGCCGTGTGCTTACATTTGATGAGCGAACTTGCGCGCTGCACAATGGTCGAAAACTTATTGACCTTCTGTAGGGATTTGAACCAGACCGAAAAGGTCATAGGCGGCCCCCAGTAATTGCCACCAATAATTTCTTCGGTCTTGGCTGGTTCAATTTCTTCGATGATCTGCACTCCATCTTCGTCGACCTTAGCGGCCGGCAAGGATGGCTTTGCGGCTTCATCATTCGAAGACGGTCTCACTTTCTTGGAGTCATGGCCAGCTTGTGCGTCCAGGACTGCCCCGACTTGCTTGGTCACTTCTTCAGCGATCTGGTTGCGAAGCGTCTGATTTTCCTTTTGCATTTTAGCTACAAGGTCCATTAGATGCGCTTCCCGTTTCTCCATCTTCTTGATCACTCCGTTCGGAGTTGATCCCTTGGCGGCGCTCTTTGGCGTTGCCTTTTTCATCTTCGGCGGTGGCATCTTGTTGTTGATGCCTTTAGTTTTACGCTCCTAACTAGATGGCTAGTAGGCTCCTGGAACCAGTGAAAAATTAATTATTTCGATGCTTAGAACGTAGCGATTTGCTTGTTAATCACAAGCAACAACCTAATAATTCGAACCGTCGAGTTCCAAAGGTTTGGAACGCTATGATAATCTTAACAATTGATAGGAAAAGAAGGCCCCGGCGTGGTTTCGTTCTTCTGCTGTTCGTTGGTGCGACGTCGTTATTGGTCGGAAAAAATATGCCTTAAGTGAGTGATATGGAAAGCCTTAAATTGTGACGCTGTTGTTGATGATTAAGTTGCGACGATGCTATTGATGACTTACGAATTGAGCTACTGCAATGACTTACGTGGTTAGTGACTGATTTGTTGGATGTTGTTGTTGTTGATGATAGTCAAAAAGTAAAAAATTCCTTCACGTTGATGGATGATTTTGTAATTGTTTTAATGTTTTACGGTGATGTTAATGCGTGAGATGATGATTGTGTTGTAATGCTAAAAAATTGATTGAATGATTGATTTTGTAGTTGCACTAGGAAAGTGAGTATTTCGTTTTTATCTACTTGTTGATTCTAATACGTTACAGATTTTAATTTTCTGTTTCCTATTAAAAACCAAAAAGTAAAAAAATGTTACTCTTGAAAGTCAAAAACTAGAGGGGGAAATATATGGTATACCTTGTTTATTTACTTATTTAAGAAATGACAGAGACCCCCACGACTATATTAGTATATAGCGTAAAGGGGCTCATAACTCCTGAAGGAGTCTCGTCATCTCTGCGGTATAAGTAGAACACTAAATACTTTTTAATTATATCCCGGGACGGTTGTGGTTATTTGGTTAGTTTGTCACTTGACTCAAAGGCCGGCCCTGCACACGGTTAGGTTGGTCGGTCTATGTTTTCAGTGCTGTCATTGTAGGAGTTTACTGATTGGAGTCGTGCCATATTTGGGCACGCTCCTATTTCTCAAATCTCTCCACTTTCATACTCTTAACCTTTTCGGTTCTCGTTCTCTTTGTGGGCGAACAGAGTATTTTTCTCATTCACTCGGACAGAGATGATAGACTTTGTCGTCATACACTACGAAAAGAGATCATATCTTCGCGCTCACATACAGAGTCCACAATTGCGGACGACAGACACTCTTTCCAACTTTTTTTGTCCTACTGTCTACAAATTCAATGGATTCACCTATTTGAACTTGAATCGGGGACGCAACCCGAACCTAGGAACGAATGAAGAGAAAAAAGGGGCGCGAACCTATAATATCGTAGACGAACTCACGCGGGTTCGCAGAACCATCCATCTAGTACTACGGAGCAGACCTCAAGAACCTTCTTCCAAGAAGTATGTCTCATGATAGTATCATGCACACCTCCAGACTTTCTCTCAAAACAGAGGACCTAACGACCGGTCATCACTCAACGTCTTCTCCAAAAATAGGCCTCATTAGACGGAACGGCCTCAAGACAGAACCAACTTCCAGCCCTCGTCACCTTTGAAGAAGATGTAGTTCTTGAAGATATTCTCAATATTTACATTCCTTTCCAATACTATATTAATCACACACTCAGAATCACTCGTGGTCCTCTCACTCATATCTTTATTACAGACGAAGGACAGAAAGCTACCACGACCATCTCAAGACAGACATATACCCACCTCAAGACAGAGACATACAGCAACTTCTCCTCACGTCTAGGCTTGCTCTGGTCCTCTCACACGAAAGCAGAGTAGTAACTCTCAGCAGGCTAGTTGTAATATCCTTATCCATTGAAGAACCCCCAACTTCCTACTTCATCCACCATTTGCGCGCCACGTGGTGAGCACTGGTCTAAGAAAGATAGAAGTCATAGTACTCATAGGCAAACGAGGCCCGTCAGTGAACCAGAGTGCAACTTGAAGACTTTGAGGCTAGGTTAGGTTATGGATCCTGCACAACGAGCCCCACCGGCACCTGCTCGCCTCCGAGGATGATGGGTGAACTGTGTAAAGTCGACGAACACCGAGGGGGCAGGTGACCTGAGTAAAGCCGTTGCCAGATCATGATCATGACCGATGTCCAAACCTTGTAGTTTACAACATCTTCCCATCTGCGATCACAGGTGAGTCGTTCTAGAACCAAGTCCAAGAGGACCCCACTGTCCATGTCCACCTGCACCTCCAGCCAACTACATGTCCACCAGAAGTCGCTAACTGACATACACAGGCATGTATTGTCTCGATTTGGTACGGCATATTGGACAGACACCTCGAAGTGTCTGCAAACAGCTTTCGCAGCACACCAGATGTCGGCAAGCGACGAAGACGACTTCGCGTCGTTTCACCCAACAAACAGTACAATCTAATTCCATCTCGCTTCTTTTTTCCTCACGCAACCTCTTCATCAAGTTCTTCTTACTAGCTACGAGTCGTTCCTCCCGTTCTTTCCAAGGAATGCGCCAGAACAGATTCACGGTGAAACCTATTACGAGCATAAAAACCACAAGCGAAAGGAGATGTTAGAGCTGCAGCTGCTTTTTGTTACATATTCCTACCCAAAAATGATGTGAAAGAATATACACGACATGTTCGTGAGAGTCTCATGTGTGACCTGTTTCCCTCTGGAATAATAAAGCTACGGATTCAAAGATGCTTTTCAACATCAACATGAATTTTTAGCATTAGGGAACAAACGGCAAGCCTTAAAGATAACGAAGCGGCGACATGGCATGGAAATGGTTGTACACTTCATGGTACAAGTTTAGGTTCTTCCAAAGCGAATTCACCCGATTGATGTTCTCGTTGGATTGGAGTATTAGAGATAAAAAGCGAACAATGGCAATGAAGAAGCGAGGACTTTCATCATTCTTAGTAGAAGTAGAAAATCGATTTCGTTGTTAATGTTATTGTTTACCAATTTTTTCTGAATCTTTAGCACCAGGACAACATCAAGATGAACGAGTACGAGATGAGCACCCTGTTAGATCTGTCTAGTACAAGTGGAACAGGTACTAATATTATAACTACTTCATCATCATCCTTCTACTTGTTGATTCAAAAAAAATCGATGCAAAAATTCCGTCTTCTTCATCTCTTTCACAATTGAATGTATAAAAGGCACGAACGATTATTAAATGCTGTAAAGATCAGGAGTAGCTTGTTAGATTCATTTAAATTAATAAGGTTGTTGATAAAGAGTACGACTCTAAAAGAACCATAAGATACTCATTTCCTTCTCCAATGCCTGCATCACACGTTCCACGGGCTTGACTAAACTCTTGTCTCGACTCTGCAAATTCCGGGTCCACGCCTGTACCATGTCCGTTGCGATGCACATGGTGTTCAGATGTTAGAGTCTAGTGATATTTTTTTCCGTCTTCATCAACTATATTTATAAGGGAAGACAAAACTGATCTCCTGGTGATTCACCATGTTGCCTTATAAATATCTTCTGGTGATTCAGCATGAACGTGTCGAGGGAGGAACGAGCATGATTCTCTCAACACGACTCGTGTACACGACTCAGAAATGAAGAAAGCCGAGTACTAGGAGCAGATTGAACAACTAAGAAATAAATAGCTAAAATTATCTAGAGATGCTGCAGCCCTTGGCGTCGTCCTGTTATTTTGTGCCAGAAGAAGAACAAGAGCAAGGTCTTGAGGGCTAAGATAAACGTGCTCTCACGTATCATAATTTTCCAGATACAACGTGTTTATCACCTCGTCCACAGTTCCTACGAAGCGGAACCGTCGCACTAAGAATGCCCTGACCGCCTGCTCTACGTTTTCCAGTATAGTGCGCACACATTGTATGAGTCCCATGGCCGTCTGATAGGGCAAGAAAATCCCGAAAAAGAGAGTTGCGGCAACAAGCAGAAAACGCGCAAGCCCTTCCGCGATCGATAGTTGAGCCAACTCCAATTTCAAGTGGCCCTGTTGTCCTTGATGATTTTTCGTTTCCAAGCAATGAAGATCGTCACTACCTTCATCCTGCTTTTCATCTTCAACGTATTGTCCTTCTGGTCGAGGTGGCACCGCGTCCAGCTGCTCTCCCTCTGGTTCGGTTCTTCCCGGTGCTAGTCTAGGTCTTCTTTCCTCCAGTTCCGACACAAGAAGCACGACTTGTGAGCGTCGGTCGTTGATGTGCGCAAACCGTTGCCGTCTCGAAGTGAGCAAGACTGAAAAGAGCTGTCTCGCTTTATCGATTTCGCGTACTACAACGTCATTTTTACCTCGTCTTGTTCCATATCCATTGTTGACTTTGACGTCAACATCTACGTCTTCATTACGTCTTCTTGTTCCAGTGTTGACATCATGATCAAGATCATGATTTCCATTGACGTGATCAGCAGTGTCATTCTCAGGAGAGGACCCTTCCGGAGAGGACCCGTCCTTCTCATCGTCAAGGTCACTACAAGGCCAACAGGTGAGCACATACCGGTTTAGCAACCACTCATCCCCGTCACGAGCTTGGTAAGTTGCTTCATTGGAGGCAGTCTGAGTCGTGGAGGTAGATCATGTTGAGGTGTCACCGTGATGTACAACTATAAGACTAACCGCTCATCTAAAGAAAAATTCTAGATCACATAGCAAGTCGTTGTATTTCTCAAATCAATGAGGATATTTTGAAACTGCACGAAGTGCAACAACATGCGTCAAGCAGAAGCACTACAACTAGCTGTACGTGTACTACTACAATCAAACTAGCTGTACTACCTCCATCGCAGCGCGTCCATCAAGTTCGAAATCGTCCCCCTCGTTCTCCTGATCTTGTTCGGCTTCTCCTGTGCGTTTTTTGCTAGAAGCCGACGCAGACAGCGCGACTTGACGAGCTGCACTTCCTAATACAAACCAGACCATTTGACCAAGCGCCATCGCGACGCTCAGACCCACGGAGCCGAAAAGCCTTAGACTGCTGCCAAACTCTGCCAGGAGATACGCCAGAGCTAGAAACTTCAAGGTCATAGCGTCTACGAGGAAAGTGCGGGTCTCGTCTGGCAGAAGTTCTCGAAGAAAAAACGCATCTAGAGTGCGATTGGCACGATCACGTGCAGCACGACGAAATGCCTGCTCTGCAGCTGCAGATGGGTCTACTACTTGGTCCTCTACTACTTCGAAATGATCTTTTTCCTCTTGATGTCGTGGTTGATGTTTATATTGATGTTCTTTATCTTCATGTGCCTCTCGATCAACATGATCCTCATAATTCCACCTACTTCGTCTTCGTAATCCAAAAACATCTTCTTCATCTCTATCCGCAACGATTTCCTCAGCGTGTTCTGGATCCCCTTCTTGCGCAGAGGACACGACACCAACAGAGGAGGCGGACTCTCCCTCTGGCGCCAATGATGAAGGCACAGTCCTTGAAGAGCTTGAAGATGACGTCGCGGGAGGGGGCGCAGGAGGAATATTATTCTTCAATTCGTACATATTTCTCAGATTTTCTGACACTTGTGCGGGAGTCGGAGATGATAACATGATATCTCTATTTCTGTTCGCGGCAGCGTTCTTATTGGGAGAAACTCGGAGATCGGATGACCACGTAGACCTACGTGTTGATCCATCATCTGCGCCTGTCGTCATTGCTTCTCCTACTTGCTGCAATCTTCTTGCTCCAGCTCCAGTAGTATCTCCAACTGTTGATGAGCTAAAAGGTGTAGAAGATGAAGAGTTAGAAGCTGTAGATGAAGACAATGCTACATTCGTCGTGGATAGTGGCCGCAAACCTGCGCCACCTATAGTCTCAGAAGATTTAGTACAATTTGTTGTTGTCGTTGTAAGAGAAGAAGTTCTCCTTTGCTGTTTTTCCGCACAGTATTCCAGCCAAGCCGCAGATTGATGAAGGACTCCAGGAGTCCGACTTCTTGCCTCGCGATCCGTGAGGACAGACTCTGTCGTAGAAAGAAGAAATGAATCCTTCATCTTTGAACTTTTTTACTTGGTGCATATGTAGTCGGGGTGGAAGTGGAACTTCTACTTTTTTTTGATTTTTTCGCTCTACTGAAAAAATCAGTTGTAATTGGTTCTTGTGTATTCGTAGGTGTCTAGGTTTTATGCATAGTAGTAACCTCGTTGGTTGTTTTTACGTTGTGTAGTGAATGGTGACCATCAGCAGGAACAGTTGAAGACACTTTTTTACGATGGTCCTCGAATCGCGAGGCAAGAAGTCGGACTCCTGCGACTCTCGCGAACAGGAGTCCGACTTCTTGCCTCGCGATTCGAGGGCGCACTCGATTGAGATTGTCGCATTTTGATTCTTCAGCTTCTTCTAGGTGCTGTTTTGAAGATGAAGCTAGATTAATGCTAGAGCTAGGCTCTTCATCTGTTCTAAAACTAAAAATTTTTTATACTACAAGAAGAAGAACTAAAAATAGAGAGTAGCGGAAAATGTACTTGGTGTACTAGGTATTTAGAACAAGGGTACTACTACTTCTTTTTACAAGAGGTAGAACTCAAAAAACATCATTTAAGGATTCAGAGGCAGGACGAAAAGAATCGGGGATGCGGGAATGCGCTTGGCAATATCTTACATACGTACCTAGGCTGCTCATCTACTTGTTTCTACCTTCATCGAAAATTCGAAGTGGTCGTCCACCTACCTATCTACTACGCTTTTTTTGATCAATGATGAAGACTATGTGCTGTCAAGCTCCTCGATAAGAATAAATATAAACACTCGCTGCGCAAAACTACATTGTATATATCATTGAGTGGTAGGACAATCGGTTGTGGTGCCAATGCCAAAATGAGTCTGTGGTAGACGAGGAGAAAGTAGAAGGCAAATTGCAGGAAATAGTTGGGCAAGTACTACGTTGGGGATGAGCGTGTCATAGGTCGTCGAAACGCTGCCACCTCTAGTGATGATTGCGCCTGAATTCAGTAGTCGTGATGTGGACAGATCATGACAGATACTTGTTGGTTTTCGTCCGCTGTATCAAGATGATGGCATGTTGACGCTTCAACATGTTCTAGAAGTAGCGCAGCCGTTTATCTCGGCACCAGGTGAGGATGAGGTCTTCATCATCATACATAAATAAGTATCTCCTCGTGATCAACATATTCGACGTGGTCGAGCATGATGCTTCTTCTTGAAAATCCTCCTTGTTGTATAAGAGACTCCAGAAAAACACGACAGTGCGAACTGCTTTCCTCTCTCGTCATCTTCACAAGCCAAAGGGGACAGGAAGATCATACGCCTCGTCATCCAGAGGAGCCACGTCATCAAACGTGTACTACGTGCGGTTTCGAACAAGAAAGAACAACAAATAACGCTCATACAAAATACTTGCGCGAAGGTGGCAGTGCTGACGACCTCCTTTTCAAATTCAATCAGACTTGTAGGCTCATTGATTTCTTGTAAAAGAAAGTGAAACTACTGAAAGTAAACTAATCTTTAAAAAAAAGGAAAAATGAAAACAGTTTCATGGAGGCGACATTCATATTCTGATAGAGCAGCGTCTTCTCTTCTGCTTGCTGTAAGCATAAGCTCCTCTTCTGCAAAGTCAAAAAATTGACTCTATACAAGATACAATTTCTTGTACAACAATAGTAATTCGAATCACGTGGTGCTGAGGAATAAAATCTGTCACCAGAGCTAAAAATTTATACGATTTCCCACGACAAATAACCCCCTTCTTCATCGTTTTCTCTCTCAAAAGTGCGTCAACCATAAATCACGACCCCAGTCATCATCGTCATCGCGTCCTCCTGATATACTGAACAAAGTGTTTACAGAGTCAACAAAAAAAACTGCGTAATTACCTTCATCTTTCCAAATAGCATTACATCAACATCACCGTGATGCATGCTGATGTAAAAAAACGAAAACAACTAATTGGGTTTTGGAATTAGAAAAAACTATTCATTGATGCTCAAAGACAAGGACAACTGTGGAATCAATTCTTGTCCAAACAGAAAAAGAACACTTCATTATCCCGATTTCTTGTAGACCATAATTGTCAACGATAATGTTATTGAATGATTAACGGTTCTGATGAATACGACCCGCCCTCACCAGCATGATATTTCATCAGCTCAAGATGAAATTCGGCTTTTTAATCGTTGCATCGCGAAAAAACCAAAGCCGCACGCGCGATTGTGCACCAAGAAAGATATTAACCTTAATCTAGCCACGATTATTATACTGCTTCATCCGGTCTTGTTGTCTACTTCATCTGCTGTACTGCTACTACTACTTCCGAAAAATATACACAATTATGAATTATTGACTGTACAATCCTAGCGCTACCGAGGACCCGAGAAGAAGTACAAGACTAACTATGGTGCTTCTTATTTAAGGTCGTCTGGATCATCAAAAAAAAAGAATCTATTCTCCTGCATCTCTCCAAGTAATATTCACGACCGTGCCAGTACTGTACAAGAAAAACTGTAGTACTTCAGCTTCAGCAGGATCTCGATCTTCTACAAATTATAATGAATATATTAAGTACAACTTGCTACATCACCTGTTCATCTTCATCTGTACTGACGATTCCAATACACTTCCAAGCTCCTTCAGAATATCTTTGTTATCTTCATGATCCTCTTCTCTTCGGGTTATACGCGGAGGCGCCAGACTCTGCTGAGGAGGACTTGAAAAGGCCTGCGAGTCTGTGCGGCATATTCGCTTTCTCCCGCCATGCTCAGTCCGTAAACACACTCGTCTGCAGGATCTTTACCTCCGTTCGCGAGCCTGGCCCAACTCGCGGAGATATCCCTTGGCTTAGTAGTCAGTCCTTCTGTTGTAGTGAGGAAGGATATATTTTATAATATAATGTGGCCGCCGGATACTCGTCTTATGATCCTGGTTGTCCGTGCTGGTGCTACCTTTGTTAAGCTCCTCCTGCCCATCTTCCATTGATGCAGCTGAAGACGGAGACGCATCGTTCTTCGTAGAAGCAGCTGTCGAGGAGTCCTCACTGCGAACCAGATAAGCACTGCCACTTCGGTCGGTCAGAGGAGTGCGAGACCCTCTACGCGGAGATCTGGATCTTTCGTCCCTCCACCTTCCGGAGGACGAGGAGTTGATGCTATTTGCTGCAAAACCACTGTGCCTGTGCTCAGGAGATGACTGGCTGTGCGCAGGAGTTGAATAATTGCTATCAAGCTCAAGGGGAATTTTAGCTTTTACCTCGTGATGCACCTCCTCAACAAGACAATTGTTCAAGCGAGGTCCGAGGAAGGATCGCTTTACCACAGTACTAGTACAGCTGCTACTCCTAGCAGCTCCAGTGGCTTCAACTTGAAGAAGCTGACGAGGAAAAGCGGTCGTACTGCTGCTACTCGCGGCACGACCTTCGAAACGATACGGTCGAGCACGATCCAGATCTGGATCTGATCTTTCATCCTCTCCCAAGGAGAAAGCTCTAGCTTCATCAGATCTGTTCAGGAGATGAAGAAGATCTGCATCAGATCTATCAAAATGCTGTGGAGCTGCCACCTCATTCCGCACGACTTGTTCCGGCAAAAGTGACGACACGTCAACGTCTTGTACTTCTCCGATCCTGAAGCCGGGCTTTAGTAGGGTTGGCGGTGGGATGAACATTGGATTTGGTGCGTCAGTATCTTGATTTTGGCTGTCTCCCCACGAGTCCATACTTAGGCTGCCAACCGGCAAATCTGGACTTTCTTCTGGCAGATTTTGATTGTCTCCTGGAGACGAGGGCGCTCGAGTGCCCATTGATGCGGCGTCGTCATCTAACCCTTCTAGAAAGTCAAGATCTTCATCCTCTGGCAAGGCTGTGTCTTGGCTCTCTTCGCTGGCTCGCACTCGTTCGACCACCAAGAGGACCGAGAAAACGACTGAAACGGACTTCATCTTATTGAGAAACAACATCCTCGTCACGAAATAACTGAAAGGAAGGACGGACTTTTAGAAAGGAAGGATTTTTCGGCCCACTTGTTTCTTACACAGTTGTAGATGAAAGAACGAGAGAAACAAGCACAAAGAACACGCACTAGAGTGTAGAAGGATTCTTGTTGACGTAGCTCTTCGTAGGTACTTAGTTGCAGTAGTAGAGGCGTTTAGTAGTCGTGGCTTAGTGAACCTTTCAATCTTCGTTAGAAGAAGGTTTAGACTTACCCAAAACGAACCTATGTCGTTGTCTTGAATCTAAATCTTGTAGAGTGCTAAATTCCTGACAAAGACAATGTCCTGCTTGACCGGAAGTAGCTTTACTGGAGGTGGACCTAAAGTAGCTTTCTCCGAAGCTAGGGATCCAAAGCCTCAAGATCCAAAACCTCAAGATCCAAAACCTCAAGATGAATTGCCCTCAGCGAGGTGTTGGATCATCTTCTGACTGTAAAGTACTTCAACTTCTTAGGTTGATCATCTCGTTTCACTACTCGAAGTTCCCTGATCTCCCTTTCTTGCGATCCAAACTGGAGTTTCCATGATCTTAGAGCTAGAGGAGGATTAGGATTAGGATAGGATCTGCCGTCCACAGTTTTACCTGCATACTCCAGCAGCTTCTGTAGAAGATGAACTACTTCCTCTTAGAAGAAGTACTCTTCGATCAAGATCTTCATGATCCACGACTCATGCAGAAGTGAGCCAGCGTGATTACGTCCTCCATAGCCTTAGCCTATGGTCTTAGAGGACTCCACCATAACTAACACCGTCTCCATAGCCTATGATCTTACAGGACTCCACCATAGCTAACACCGTCTCCATAGCCTATGATCTTAGAGGACTCCACCATAACTAACACCGTCTCCATAGCCTATGATCTTACAGGACTCCACCATAGCTAACACCGTCTCCATAGCCTATGATCTTAGAGGACTCCTGTACCACCTTTTCTTTGTACAGAAGAAGAACATTCATTCATTCATGAGTCTCCAACGCAGCCACTTTTTTTTTTGTAGTCCGAGAACGCCGAAAGGGTGATCCCAGTGTTGTCCGGTGTACCTGCCGGCGACGGGTGGAGTGCATTAACCTCCTTATACTACCGCGCACTAATTGCCTACGAACCCGTCGATTATAAAATGGAGAAAAATCTAGGGGCAAAGGAGGTGATTAATTAATTACTATAAACCTCCACCGGCTGCCAACCGTCCCGCTCTTATGCGCCGGCCTACAAGGCACGAGGGCAGGGCCGCCAACCCTGCTTACTCTTGACTAATGCGCAGTCATCTGACAAGTGAACAACTAGGCATAAATGTCTACTGGCCTAACGCCCTAAGTACAACACGTTTTTCGTTGTTGGGAGTGCACTAGCCTAGTTTTTCTTATCTTCACTGCTTCGCGCTCCCTCCTTCGCCCCGTGCACCATCCTCAACCGCGTCCCGCTTCCGCAATCGCCATAAAATAACCAAAAAGAAAAACAGAAACCGGAGGGCTTACTCCAACCAAAGGGGCTACCCTATGCCTGAGAGCCACAACTCTGCTAAGAGCGGGCGGGAGATAAAAGGATCGGCGAGGGAGAGCGATGGGACGCTCTCCCCCTTTTAATTAAGCTGCGAGCAAGATCCGAAATTTTTCTATTCTTCCAGCCTCTAGACACGGGATTGAGGAGAGTGAAAATCAAAGGCGAGGAGAGTGAACTTCCTCTCAGTAGAACAGAGAAAATCAAATGCTCTTTTCTCGTGCGAAATAGCTGCTCCAAAGTCGTGCATACGTTTACGACCTCGTCCTTTCTTCGATGATTCACGACTTTGACTAAGATGATGTTCGATTATTTGCGATAAGAAAAGTCGACTTCGAAGTTCAGTTCTCTGCTCACTGATACTTGATTTTCTAAAAGAACAAGTGCTTCCAGCTATGGCATAGTTTCTCGCCTTCCTGGAAAGATTACTTATGTATGAAATTATCTGAAATAACAACATGCGAATATACGAATGAGTAATTACGAAATATCCAAAAAAAAAAAATGTAAACCCGGACCATCGTAAAAAAGTGTCTTCAACTGTTCCTGCTGATGGTCACCATTCACTACACAACGTAACAACCAACGAGGTTACCACTATGCATAAAACCTAGACACCTACGAATACACAAGAACCAATTACAACTGATTTTTTCAGTAGAGCGAAAAAATCAAAAAAAAGTAGAAGTTCCACTTCCACCCCGACTACATATGCACCAAGTAAAAAAGTTCAAAGATGAAGGATTCATTTCTTCTTTCTACGACAGAGTCTGTCCTCACGGGCATATGGTGCGATATAAACAAATTTGAGTTCTCATGTAAAATCGTTTGCAGAAGTTGAACGATACATCATACCTGTTTTTGTACCGCCTACAACCACTGTATTAACTAATTTATCAACAAGTAGCTCGTCATTCGCCAAGCTCCAAATCGAAATAAAAATACAGTCATTTTCATTTTCAAAGCCAAAAGAAATACCAAAGATAACAAGGATCTAATTCTAATAGTGTCCTGGACGATGTCGTCATTTATTCTTCAAGAAGGATGTATAAATAATTGAGTTTGTAAGAAATAAGTGCGGAGGTAGTAACTAACGTGAAGAAAGGATTTGGAATTGCATTCCTCGTACTAGATTTTTCTCATTTATCCTGTAAGTACTATGACGAAGACTGCTCCTAAGTCCACTTGTTAATAAAGCGTGTCGTCCTGTCGCCGCTAATCCAACAAATGGTTTTGGAATCCGTTTCGCCGTGGTCCTCCGCCAGGGAGTACTATGACGTTACCACATCGCGTCAGCTCTAGCAATTCTGCCACGCCTCTTCGGATGTCACGGACATCTTCGCGCACTCTCGCAATATCAGCTTCCACTGTATGACTACCCAGAGCGACATGCATATTGCCAAACTGTCCACCTCCTGCCGGAACGAGTTGGTGCTGATCGCGGCGGTCACGGTCATGATCGTAATCGTCGCCTCTACCATCACGACCTCCGTGGTGGCTTCTACTACGTCTGCTGCTGCGTCCTCCGTCACGTCGGTCCCTATCGTCATCATATCTGCCTCCAGAAGATCTTCGCCTATCATTGTTGCGCTGGTCTCTATGATGATCATACGAAGATGATCCGCCCCCACCAGAGTAATTGTTGTACTCATAATCATTGTCGCGGCCTCGTCCTTCACCTCTCCTAGGTGGCGGCATACTGCGGTTGCGACGACCATCGTGGTCACTGGTATCCGTATCTCCAGAAGATCTCCGACCGCGGTCATCATCTCGTCTGCCACCTCTTCTACTAGCATCTTCACTTCCACGTCCGCCTCCCATCGCCATATTGAAAGATCCCCCTCCTTGCTCTGCACGCATTAACAAGTCGGACAAGTTTTGGATCATGCCTTCTAAACTTGTTCCGTTTATTGTAGTACTAGGTCTGCTGATCTGCAGGTTATTCTGACCGCTTTGAGTCGATATACCTCCACCTGGACCAGCACGGTTCGTAGCAACTGCATGTAAGATTTCGTCACGCAAATTCGCTAAATCTTCGCGATTTTGCTCTCGAACTCGGTTCACAATACTTTCTTGGAATTGCTGGAAGAGGTTGTTCTGACTCGATACTAGGTCTACTCCGACACCACCATGTGCTGGTCCTCCATGACCTGCTCCTGAGTGAGGACCTCCATGTGCTGCTCCTCCTCCATGACCATGTGGTCCATGACCTCCTCCATGCTCCACTATCATGTGTGAATTTTCATGCACTACGCGTTGTAACATCCCATCAATTGGGTCTCCCGATTGTCCCGACACTGGCCTTGGTGGCGGAGCGGGTGGCATCATCGTCGGCCCCAACATCACTGCCCCTGTCGGATTTTTGTTCCCGGTTGGTCTGCCTCTGTTATTCTGCTGTTCTTTTAGTTCAATAATCGCGTCCATGCGTGAGGACGTTGTCTGGCGTTCTGCGGCATTCTGTAGCGATCCTCTGCCACCCTGCTGCTGCCTCATCATCTCTTCCATCTCGGCATTGCGCCAAAGGAATTCGAAGACCAACTCCTCATTCCACACTGGGTTCACGTCGTCATGCATCGTTTTCGTGCGTTGACTCACCGACTCCAACTTGACATCCGTACTTGCGGGAACCTTGGTCCAAACTTGGACAGAGGCGTGAGGAGAAGCAGTGTATTCGCCAAAAAACTCATCAGACTCGTGCGCGGGAAAGAGGTACCTGAAGATTTGTTGTGAGGAGCAGGGAGTGGGGTATGTTCATGTTGTCGTTCTTGTAGGTACTAGAGGAGCCTAAGACAGATGACGTTGAAACAACTAGTACCTACGTTCTTCACGTCATACAGGAACTACTCATTATTTGAATTTGATGTATTTTTGTTACACGACGACAAGCTCAAGTGTAAGAAGTGTATCAGAAGTATGATCTAAAAATTTTTACCTTGCCCTGACCACCTTGACCGACAATTGTCCTGGATGGTACATCACACCGTTATGTCGCGTTGCTGGTACTGGTGCCGTCACCGGGTCATAAGGCGACCATTTCAGCTCTACCTCAATGCTACCTTGAGCTTGGATCTCTTTTTCCTGTCCCGTTTTCACGCTCTTCATGATGTTGTTCTGCAATGGAGTCTCGATCTTGCCGTGAAATGTGTAGAGATCGAATTCCACTGGAGCCATCTTGAGACGCTTGGAAGTAGGCGATTCCTGAGGGCGGGTTGGGGAGTGGAGGCTGGATCAGGATGGAAGAATCATGGCATTTTTCGTAGAACAAGGATGGAGGATGCATGCTGGAAAGAACCTTCTACGACTAGGAGCATACTCTACAACTCAGTTCACGACACGGAGTGACAGAGAAAGTTCGCTGTTGATAAGTCCACGTTGGTTAGCGGTAGGTTTTTGGTGTTCGTTTGTCCCGCTTGTTATGGCTGTCCCCCTTGTTAGGAGAGCCATAACAAACGGTAACAAAAGCACCTTTAACCTAACCTTAAGAAGTTGAGCAATAGCAATAGCAATACCTACTACATTAACACTAATAAGTATTTTGTTGGAAGGCGGGCTACACGCTAGAGGTAAAAACATTAACACTAACGTAGACTACAAATAAGACATGAACAAGACTCATCTACTTCATCATGAAGATAACAGTGCTAAGCAACTAAGTACAAGTACCTTCGGCGGCAAAACGCCTTCGTCTGCTTGCATCTCCCCTGGCGGAGCGTCGGAGTAGATCTGTCGGTCCGGCAAATCTGAAGACCTGCGTTTTCTTCTCAAGCTCTTCAGTCCGTTGTGCTCCGCTTCGTCGATGGCTTGCAAGGACTTGCCTATCAAGTCGAACTCCAATACGCACTCGCCCAAAAAGATAAATTCGCCCAACACGTTTTCATCGTAGCATTCGATCTGGACTCTCTGCAGCAACGCCTGTGGCTCTTCGAACTGCATCACATTCTCCACTGTCTCACGTTCCACTTGGGTCTGCTTCGTCTGGATGTGCACTTCCGCGTGGTGCTCCGTCCAGACATCCGTGAAGTTGTTCAGCAGCACGGAAGTCGGCATCGCAACGACCAGCAGCGCTGTGAGCATGGAAACAATCCCAGCTAGTTGCCCAGTGAGGGAGGTCGGGGCCATGTCACCGTATCCCACGGTCGTGTACGTCACAAACGACCACCACATCGAATGCGGGATCGATTTGAAGGGCGTCGCTTCGGTTTGATCCGCTACCCAGTTCCATCGCGTCCAGGTGCCCTCCATAGGGTCCCAATTACCGCTCTCTGCGAAATATATCACTGAAGCGGACACTGTGACGAAGAGTACCAACACGAACAACAAAACTGCCAAGGCCAAGAATTAGCGATTTTTGAATAAAAAGTTGGCGTCTCTTCTTCTTCTAGCTCGTTTATCTATGGCTTGGCGTCTCATCTTCTAGCTCGTTTATCTATGTATATGTTGGCTTTCCTCCTTGAAGAAGACATATTTATAGACGCGCATAGAGAAGATGCCAACTTTCAAGCCTTAAAAGAAGGATCTGGAAAACACCCTACCAATGACGGTTAGTGTGTTCACGTATTTCGCCACCTTCATGAACCGGAACAATCGAGTCAACCTGACCACACGCAACACCGTACTACCCTGGACGCCACTGTCTCCCACTATGAGTTCGAGATAGAAAGGTACAATGGCTAGGACATCTACAAGATTCATGGGAGTAAAGACGAAATTGACGAAGCGACGCAGTCTGCCTGAGCGTCTTGCTAGACTGTATTCCCCAAGGCACAGTTTCAAAAGGTACTCTTCCGACAAAATCTCCGGTCGGCAACCATGGCAAGTCAATAACCTGTTGTAAGTAGCAGGTGCGAAAGAGATGAAACATCGAGATGAAGGTACTAGTGAGATGGTTATTAGGTGCGGATGTTGAGAAACGAGATGATCTTGTAGGTGCGATTGAGAAACATACAAGATCATGAAGGTAGTGAGCAGATGGAGAAAGTAAGTACCGAAACACAAACTCGTCCTGTTAGAATAAAAATTGTACCTCAACAAGTATTCTGCGGAGAAGATCAAGACGCACACAACTTCCAGTTGATCAAATATCTTATGTGCTTTCGGTTCGCACTCTTTCAGACACATTTCCTTTGTCGCATCGGACCACGTAGCCCTTGTCGACGTTGGCACATCGCAGGTCGCCTCGCACTTTGCAGTGGGCCATTCTCGAAACTCAGGCAAGGTTCCCACGATGAAGAGCATCGAAGAAAACATAATCGTAAACAAGAGCATGCAAGAAAGCCAGTGGGCTAATTGGCACGATTGCGGTTCCTCGAACGTCAAGAAAATCCGTTCTAGAGTAGAGAGGTTGAGGTAAAAGGTGTTGTCCTTCCAAACAGCAACGAACTCCCACCAACCAACGGCCCCGCTTTGATCCACATCATAGGTTTCGGCACTGTTGAGGTCGTGTGAAGAGGTAAGTAAGTACTACTTTGATCCACATCATTATGATTTTTAATACAATGTAGATGTACTAAGTAGGTAGGTATTAATATACAATGATGTACTAAGATGATGTAATGGCAATGTAATAGCAATGTTGATGTACTTACTATGACATAGGTTTCAGCACTGAAAGGGTGATGGGTGTTTAAGGTGGAGAAGTGCTCACTCAAGACGTTGGTTGAAGCAGAGTAGTAAGTACAGAGATGGACTACATGGAGGATGTTGATTGAGATGGTTTGAAGGGATAAGCCTAGGGATAGAGGTGAAAACTAGCCGGTTGTTTTACCTTAGTGCTTTGGGCGCCGCTGGACCTAAACTCCAGTCTTATATGATAAAAACAAAATAGCCAGTCCAGATTTGCAGCACACCTCTGAGAAAGGGGAAAACCTTAACAAGATGCTGATTGAAATCAAATCATTCTGGAGTAGGCGTAGGCGAATCAATAGGGATCAACATAGTTGAAGTTGTACCTCCCCCCTAAAAATAAAAGTCAAACATAAAAAAGAACAGTCGCTTCATGATCCTCTAAGAAATCCATATCCACGACATTTCCACCTACTACAAGTACTAGTTAAGTACCGGAATGAGCTCGGATCTGCGTCGATGACTCGCAGTACACGTCGCATCGCTCGTTCAAAGTGGTTTATGTGGATTTCATCCTTCTCGTTTCCAAATCTATCGCACAACGTCTGGAACAACTTCCTAAATAAACCTAAACCCAGTTCGTGCTTTTGAGGTGGAAAAAGCGGCCTTCGTTCGTCGTCCTGGAGGAAATCGAAGCGTGTGTAATCGATAGGTGGCAAAGCACGAATAGGAGACTCTTCGTCTCCCACTTTCAACATGCCTGCACCTACTTGGGGTTGCGGCTGAAACGGAGGTCCGCCCCCTCCCTTATTGCTCACCATCATGCTTGTTAGAGCTACCACGCCGCGTCCTTAAGTGCATCATCCCTGAGTGGTCCTTTTTTCCCTGAAAAAAGAAGCCATCAAGGATTGCATCATTAAGGATCATATGCGTTAATACGGGTAGCCTTAAGCTTGCCAGATCTCCGGTCGCCGCGGCACTCGTGCTCATTCCCGCACTCGTGCTCTGCTCGTCGATGAGGGAGAGTTTTCCAACTTTATAGTTCGTACCTGGTCCACCCATATTACCTCCGGGTCCACCACCACCCCCACTATAGTAGCTGTAGGTGCCACTGCCAGGCGTCTCTGTTCTGGCGCCATAGTCTTCGGCACGATGCTCGGGGGAGATCATGTGCCCTTGATGTGGACCTCCGAACGAACGTTGGGTGTTCATCCTGGAAGACATCTCCATCTTGTTGTTTTTGGTTTGAAGCTTTTTGCGCAACAATTTCAATGACAATAATTATGGACTCACTTATTGTCCATCGAGGCGTAGTTTTGAAAAGTATTATTGTAGAAGTAGGTCGACATTGGAGAAAAACAATTTCATCTTGATGAGGCGAAGGTGGAATTTTTCATGTACTTGGTTTTCAGGACGAGGGTCGTGTATTAAAACAATGTGCTGGAAGAACACTCATGTACTACTTCTAGAAGGAAGGTAAGAGTAACAGTAAGAGTAGAGGAAAGAACCATAAGGAGAAATGGAAGTAGGTTGTCGTGGGGATGAAGGTAAAGGTAATAGAACCTGAAAATCGTAGTAGATCCAACAAGAAAATCGTCAGCGTGAGCGTTTTAATGTAGCATTAGAATTAGAGAAAGCTTTCAGAGCCAGAAGATGGAGGAACACAGAGACAGAATCTTCACTCATCTCTCAAACAGAAGCTTTTGGAATCAACAGAGGTGCAGATCACCATCATGCTCATGTTATTGCTTTCACATGCGGATCACCATGATCACGTTGTAGCAGCAGGAGCATATGAACATCTCAAACAGAACAGCTAATCACGTGTATGAAGCGTAAGTATCATGTTCGTACCTGCTTAGTGAACAATCTCTCTACATGATCTATTATGCAGATTGTATCAACTACACAGAGAACAATATCTCTCACTGGACTCGACAGATCACATGTAGCAGCAGTACGCTCAGGGACAGAGACAGACTACTTCAGGATATTTGTCGTGCGCATGCTGGAGATCTCTCTGAGACGAATGTGAACACGAAACGACGGATAGCGATGTCCACAACACCAACAGCTTGCTTGATGATGTTATACTTAGTTTTCATCCAGTTGCATCAAATGCAACTATTACTATTTCATTATCTTTGTCATGTTGTTGATTTTACAATCATACTAGGTACTGCTCGTCAATTCTTGATGGTGTACAGTATAAGTGGAATTTGTTTCACGCAGTCGTGGAGCTGAAGTGCGTGTTACCTCGGAGAACCAGCAAAAGTAGAGTTGCCTACATTTCCACCTGAAGATAACAACAGGCGACCAGCAGGAGGTGGATTTTCTTGAGTCTGACTCTGACTCGTTCTTCCCGCTCCCCCTGCTACGCCACTATTCACATCTGCTCTAGTTGTTGTAGCAATGTGATTCATTCTCTGACTCCAGAAATTTTTCCAGTCTAGACAATGAATAGGCATTGCATCAAACCGATGGTCGAACTTGTTGGCTATCCAGTGAGGCTGGTCCCGGATCCACGGCAAGTCCATGGCTCCGTAGACGCAAGCACCGCGAACGTATTTTCCACGACAAACAGGGGAGGATGAAAGTATAGATGTGGTGGGGAGGAGATGACTGAGGTATTTTCCACGACGACGACGACGACGACAGACAGGGTAAGTAGGCTGAAAAAAGATGTTGATCTTGATGATGTACCGAGGAGGCTATGAAAATTTGGAGAAACAAAATTTGGAGAAACATGTTCCCCACAACTACTGGTGGTTGCTTAGATTTAGATGTTTTTCTTTTTCTTCGTGTGATGTGTTGTTCCATAAATTCTGCGTTGTAAAAACCTTTTCTGCCAAGAATGGGTTGAAATTCCAGTTTGCTCCTTTCGCCAACGTCTCTACGATCCCTCGTCTCTGGATCACTGCCATTTCCGCTTCCCCGTAGCCTAATAGGAATCGGATCACGTAGTTGTACAAAAATTTCACGAGGAAGTACTTTCCCTGTGTCTGTACAGGGTCATGCTTTTGAGCGAAATCTTTGGTCCTCAGAGAGCGAATCTGGAAATTGATCAGATGGGATCTAGCTCGCAGTTCGGTCAAATCGTAATCCCGATGCGGCGAGAAGCTGCCAGGCACCCAAGGCCAATGCCGAACTAGAGTTGCCCAGATCATTTCGTCTGGGCTGTACGTGTTCTCAATCCACTTAAGGAAACGTTGCATTTGGGGGTTTTGTTGCAGGTACGTGAGGATGTTAGAAGTTAAGAAAACGTTGCATTTGGGGGTTTTGTTGCAGGTACGTGAGGATGTTAGAAGTTCTTGTTCTTGACAATGCTGTACACCGAGTTGCTGATTGATTGATTGATTGATTGATTGACTGATTGATCATTGATGTACCAATTCACGAACTAACAAATTCTTCCAATCCACTTGCAGAGTATTCCCTGAGCAGGTGAGGGCAAAACAAAACTGATGCTGATCAAATCTAATATAGGCATGTGAACCTTAGATAGTCAAAAAACATATCTTTCCACTTGAGGTTGAGATGAAAAAAAATCTAATATAGAGAGGAGCCATAATCATCGGCTTCGGTAGTGCATAGTAAGCACCTCCGATGAAGAGGCCAGTTACCGGACCAAGAGGAGATCCAAACCAATTCGTATTTGTCGTAGGCCTTGCTTTGCTATCATCCCTTTCGAGAAAAGTGGTATCCTCGTAAGCATTGTTTTGTGCTAGAAGAGCAAGTTGACCTGAAGACGACGAAGAGGCAGATGTAGGTGCCGCGACGGCAGATGTAGTTGTGCTGGCAGCTGTGGAGGTTTTGGTGTTACCTGCTTCTTGTAGCAGTGTTTTACTAGCCTGTTCGTCTTTCTCTTTCCAGAAACTCTCTGGCAGATAACTAGCTTGCGGTGGCAACGGAAGACTATCCTTTTCGGTTTTCGATACTACCACTCGAAGAAACTTTCGCCAGTCACGATCCAACTCCTTAGCATGTTCTTTGCGCTGCCTGCATACCTCCTCGCCATCGCAGGATCTCTCGTTGTTGATCCACGCTCGATAACGGGGTTTGATCTGCCAATATTCTCGAACGCGCCAAAGCTTGTCTTCCCAATTGGGGTCAACGCTGAAGGTTTCGCCACGTCCGTTCAACGCTTTGAAATCCCTGACCAGTTCGAGGTTTGTCTTCAGTGGGTAATCTTGGCCACAGAGGTTGACCACATATTTGTAATCCACAAAAGCGAGATCATTCAGGCATCTCAAGTCTGCTTCAACACGAGTGTAACTGGCGTAATAGACTGCCACTGGATCGGAGACCAGAAAAGTACTTCCTTCTTTTGCTGAAGGATACGCCACGTCAAGAGATGAAGATGAAGATGTCGTAGTGCTCTTTTTCTCCTCGCCCACAACACCCGATGCCATTCTACCTCTTGCGATATTCAAGCAATGAACCAAAGCACGGACTTGGTTGCGGAAAGCAGGAGAAGCTTTTACGTCCACGTGGATGCAGTAGTGGTTTTGCCGGTGCCAAATCGCACGCAGCAGTCTTTCGAGTTGAGCAATCTCACGATGCACCAGAAGTGATATTGAAGGAAATGGAGGGAAGGTGAGAAAAGTAGACGAAAAGGGGATGAAAAAGGAGATGAACGAGAATATCTGGTAGGCTTGAGATAAGAGCCGAAAAATACAAGAGAAGTGAATCTACGGGACAATTGTTCGTAAGAGAACATATCTTTACAAGATCATGACTTCGTTTAGAAGTAGTATCTAGACGTCTTTTTCCATTTCCTTGTTCAGTCTGAGTAGTATCGAAGATCGAAGACAGAGAACTACAGTGCTAGACGTTGTTGTAGCTAGACTAGCAAGAAAAATAAGAAAGTGAAAGTCGTGTTTCATACAATATATGCCAGCGGGAACGAAGCTTCCTCTTCGGAAAATGGAGAATCCAAGAAATAGCCGCGCTTTCGAACGAAGTCTAAGCACTTGTCCTGAAACTGGTCTTCATGATTCATCAAGCCTCTAGTACTTCCTTTATTCTCGTGGTCAGTGGTCTGTAGTTGCAGTGCTGCGAAGATGTCGTCAACAAAACTGAAATCTGGACCAGGGCTCCGACCACCAGAACCAACTCCAGATCCAGAACTCGAAGAAGCAGTAGTTGCATCTACTTTACTAGCAGGACCTTCTCGCTCTCCCTCTAGACTTTTTTTCGCCTTTTCAAGTTTCGTTTGAAATGTCATATCGTTTTCTAGGCGGTCCGTCACTGCTAGCGCATGCTCCGAAAAGGAAGGCTCTACTAAGGGAGTGCATACGTCTGTGGCTGTGTCCCACACAGGACCCCTCCAAGAAGCAAGCATACTGCCACTAGAAGAGGAAGAGGAGGTCCTAGAAATTGCAGAGCTACTAGGAGAGGAATAGAACTTCCGTTTTGCTTCTGCCGTGACAGGGTCTAAACTTTTGGTGCTGCTAGTAGAAGATTCATCTGCTTCCCCTGCACCAGTTTTGCTAGTGCCATCACTTGATGGAGTAGATGAGGACCATAAATCATCCACAAAAGTCCGTTTTATCAGCAATAGTAAAAACAGTATCCCCAGTATTTGACAACAGCGTCTGATCCGGCATCTGCCATAGCTACAATTCGATGACGCAGAGCAGGTTCCACTATCTTCGTCAACTTCCTGTTCTAGTCCTGCAGACCCCATTTGTGAGTCCGTCTCGCAATGCTCGTAGTCATGGCGTCCACTACTCGTAGAAGCAGGCGCTTGTCCATGAGCAAGGACTAGGGACTCTCTTTCCTCTGGAGGCGCTTTCAAGCCTACTTTGCTCCTGCGTGGTAAGCCAGAGCCGGAGCTAGTAGGTCGACCTAAGACACTTGGAGAACCTGCCATCTTCTTGTTGTCATCTACTTATACATTTACATGATCATCTAGTTCATCTTCTAGTACATGCAGCACGTCATTCCACTTGGTGCATTTATTTCATGTGTCTCAGTGGTAGCCGATGTAATTCGGGTTGGCGGAGTTGTAGGGAGGGAGCTAAGATTTCAATCAAGTAGTTGCACTTTGACACAAGTAATTGTTCAAGTTCATCGCGATTGCTCTTCACTCATTCAGCTTCAGGGATAGCCTTTTCTTGTTGGGATTGATCAGGAAGGATCTACCTCTATGCATGCTAGTCGCGGAAACTGTTTTCATGCGTTCGCCTCATCCGGCACCGCCCAACCGCGCAGTCTTCAACCGAAGCAGGAGAGACACTATCCGTCGTCCGTACCCTTAGGTCCCAGAAGGTGGGCTACGAAAAATGCTCAACTACCAGCAACTTCTTTATTATTATTATTATTATTATTGTCGCGCGTGACCCTATCGTCTCACCAACTAAACAAGGGAGCAAAGATGGAGTCTCTCTTTCTTATCAACAGCTTTTACAACAGACTACAAACAGTTCTCGACCTCGTCACAGAATTTAAAAAGAAAAAGAATAATACAAATACTCAGAAAGAAAAGTCGCTATGATTGATGTCGCAGACGTGGTAACAGACTTGTAGTGCAGCGATCGTTGCCGCTATTACCCAAGAATCGACCAGATGAACCAGAAACAACACTTAGGAGATTGAAGATAGATTTATTACCTAGATATAATGAAAAATACTAAAAGCTGCACGACGACGACCACTGGCTAATTAAATCAATACTAACTCGACAGCCCCCTGGTGCCATGATTCTTGAACATGATTAAGAAAAAGAAGAAAATAATGACTGATAAAGATGTTGACGTTTACTAACATACAAGACTTGCTTTTATTAAGAAGCCTTCAACTACGCATGGGAGAGTTGAATTACAGATCTTTATGCTTCGACTTGCTCAACTTTGAAGGTCAAGACTTTTTGTCGCGTGATGGTATGACTTCCTCCGTCCCATCACCAACATTAAGCGTAACCCAAAAAATTGTGAATTCATCAATGCATCCCCACAAGAATCTATGAGTTTTTTCTTTTATTAACATCAACATCGGTCCCACCATCACCATCGATCTGTCGTTGTCAAAAAAGAGAGACTGTGGGACCCAAAGAATATTAAGTTAGTCTTAGTTGTGGTACTAGCATTTAGAAGAGTATTCTCTTCATGATAATGATTGATCTATGTTGACTAGTAGCAATTCAGAATTCTGTTATTTGAGTCCTTGGTCATGGTCCAGAGTCAACATCTGCCTTTACACGACTACGACTATATCTTAATAGGCCTGGTAGACGTGTATAGAGGTTGCTTTTAATAGATACAACTATTCTTGGCCACCAGAACTTCTGTGCCTACGCACGACGACAACTTGTACAGGAAAGCGAAAAGGCTCAAGTGAATCAGAATTTTATCGATCTTGCTTTTTTGCTTCGACGCGAAGCAAGTCAACAGTTCTTATTATCAATGCTGTTCATAGGTGAAAGGCGATCGTACTAGCCGATCTTCCACCGGACTCCATTATACCTGTGCACTTTCTAAATCTATGTATAAGTAACCGTAGCCGGGTTTTTGAATTCTAAAAGAAAACTTCGCTACAACTGACAACGGCGCTCAAAACAAATAAGCTAAATCCACCCCTGTTGTAGGCCCACAACATACACGGAGGTAAAGACAGAGACATCTTCGCTCATGATTTTCAACAAATTGAATCAAGATGTCGTGTCTAAAATTTTGACTCAAAAATGAAAAAGAGTAAGTGGCAGACATCAGACAGGACCTAGAACCTGCTCACCACCAAATAACTCTAGGCACGAGACCATACCAATACCAAACTACTAGATGTAGATCCTCCACTCCTCCACAACTATTACGCTTTTTAGTTTGATTTCTTCTATGCAAGGCTAGTGCAGCAGACAGTCAGACGTTGTAAATCATGATCTAGAATGAGTGTAAACGAAGATGCAACTTGGTACTTTCTAAAAAAACGGCAACACCGAACAAGTATGAAAAAAGAAAACTGCCTAGTATAATTGACGCTCACTTTGCACGACAGCCACAAAACTACAAAGATCAAGATTTATTACATAGAGTGATAACGACAACGAGAGAAAGATGAAAGACTCATACTCAACGAACAGACACTAATAAGCAACAATGTACAATCATCTTCAGAGTTCAGACTACGAAGATATCAACAACTACAGGAGCAACTTGACATTTCTTGTCATATTAAGTTGTCTGCGACAGGTAGAGCACTACACTATGATTTACCCACCAGCTGCAGGCGTGCCAACTGAGACACAGGTGAGAATGACTGTGCAGTCGTCAGAACTGCCCTTGGTCAACGCTAGCGTCACTACGTCGCCTGCAATTCGTTCCAACACGCTCGCTACTTGGTGCTCGGGGTCGACTGTGAGATGGGAGATCATGTGGGGAATAAAGACCTCATTATTATACATAGGTTAATACGTCGGTTAGTTCTTCATGTTGCTGCAGTAGCTCGGTTTCTTTCTTGACAAGGTCAAGCTCCCACTTGTTTTATCTTTTTTGAAAAGTAAGGAAGGATCATTAACAACATCATGCAGTTGCAGGTCATCTTTTTCTGTATGACAAAACAAACCGACCAAGAAGGTGGAGATGAAGGAGAAAAAGATAAAGCTCTAAAATTACAGTCTTTTCCAGCTGTCGCGAGGTACTGTTGAAGCTGTCGAACGGACTTCTGCTTCGTTTTGATGATATTCAAAATATCTTGCCCGCTAACGCAATCCCAGATACCTTGAAAAGAGGACGTCGATGAATTTGTTGGAAAGCCAAGAAAAGATCATCTTCTATTTCTTCACGATGTTTTTCTCGTCGTTTAAGAAACAGGTACAAGTAAGTAGATGAAGCACTGCAGTTTCTAAGCTTTGTAGCAAAGAGAGGGAGACAGTACTGGAAAAGATGATGAAACTCTAGACCTAAAAATTGCGGGCATACCATCCGTCCCCTGCACAAGAATGCCCTGTACTGAGCGAGCATCCTTCTCTTTTTTCCTCCCTTCAGCTATGATGTCGATCATTCGCGTTTCCGGAACTATGCTAATAACCCCTTTCGGCACCTTTGCCTTCACATCAAAATCGCCGATAGTTCGAGTGGGCTGGAGATGGGTTCATGGATGATGTATAGGTAAGGGATTTTAGGGTTCATGGATGATGTAGTGACCTGAATGGACATCATGCAGCTAGAACATGAACAGTAGGCGTAGGCGTTGCAGGTAGTTTTTACGGGAGTTGAAACAAGAAGCTGGAGCTGCACGCAGGTGATATAAAAAAGTGCTCTTCAGGGCTAGAAGAAAGACCTGAAAAATACCTCTAGCCCCTCTACTCTGCCGTCTGACACTCGCCATCCGCAAGAGCGAATACGCTCCACCTCGTATGGTGCTGTGGCCTTCAAATCTCGTGACATCCAGCAGAAAGCCCCTGTATCAAAAGTACTGCCGTCAAAGCTATTCAAAGGTATGTACACCGCTCTGCAGTCTCCAAGATTGGCGCACCACAGATACCTGAAGATACTGAGAAGGAAATGGATGACCCTCTTCTTACTTTGACGAGGATGCAAAGTAGAAGAACCTCTAAAATGAAGACGATGCAAAGTAGAAGTAGTCGTCGCGGTCGTGGTCATTTTTTTCACTACAAATGATGAAGTTCATGAGTGCGACTTAGCCTCATATGATCCCTGCTTGTCGAATCTACATCTAGTTGGATCAACACAAAAGGATATAGTGAAATAAGTAGTATCTTCACCTTCCCCACACGACGCAACTATTAGCACAGCATCCAGCTGTGCTGCCTGTTTTCAAAAGCCCTTTTTCTATCTCCTCAAAGGCCGTGACGTGTGCTTCGTGAACCTTCTTCTTATCCAGAAAACACTGATTGAAAACCACACTCGGGAGTTGATCGGCTACCTGAGAGATGAGGATGAAAAACCACACAACTCGGGAGTTGTTGATCTGCTACAACCTGATAGAGGTAGAATAATTGGTGGAATTCAAAAATCAGCTGCCCGTACAACTGAAACCTGTAGCGAAGAGGACGAAGATTCTCAGAGATTCATTAATCTAATCAATTCTCTGCTTGGGGTCGGGCGTTGGAGAAGGACACCGACAGTACAAAGAGGAATGTTATAAAAAAGTAAAAAAAGGACCATATCCGCCGCCATAGCTCCATCGTGGCCGTCTAATACGCCAACGATAAACATATCCACCTGCTCTGACTCTCGTCTTCGCACATGCTCCTCGCAATAAAATCGATCCTCGTTTGCTGAGATTGTAAATCGGAGCGATTATAGTTTGTGGCGGAGCAGACCTAACTAGGAAAAAAAGGAAAATTTAAAAAAAGCAAAGGTTATCTTCGATCTAAAAAAACTAACTAAGCGCCGGCGCTTTCGTAGTCCACCTGTCAGCCGCATACTAGAAACTATGGTTCAAATAAATAGCATCTTGGTAATATTCTTGACAAGTAGAAGGTGGTCCACCCAAAAAGTAAAAGTAGTAATTTGGAGTACCATGATATCCCGGTCTGTTTTCTTCGGAGTATGCTCTGCACATGTAATACATGTCGACTTTGTTACTCTCCTCCAGTATCTCCTTAACCCCCTTCGGTTCCACTCCAGCTTCTATTGCACTAGGGTTTCCGCTAGCGGCAGAGGGGACGATGAAGGTAAGAGAAAGAGGAGGAAAGAGGAAGAGGAGGAGGTCGTGTAAGTAGAAGAATCATGTTGATAGATGAGCAAAACGAAAACTAGACGTGGTCGGCTGTTACCAAGAGAACAGGTGTAGAACAACCGATTTTCAAAGCAGTGTTGGTAGTCACAACTACAAGTCATAAATGCAGCAACTTCTGGCGCCAATAGACCTCGTACGCTCGGCTCAGCGACGGGCACACCCCGTGACGTTCGGTGAATCTTCGGCATCTTTGATGTCTACTAGTCGTGCTTCAGTGCAGCTTCAGCGTCTGACAAGGAGCCCTTGAATGAAGATGACGACTCTTTGTGTTCGGCCTCGGTAGTTGTACTACGTGTGCTTTTAAATATCGAGCCACGAGTCTTGTCTTGGTGTTCAGTAGTTGATCTAGAAGACCTATTTTTGGAAAAGTACTTCTTCTACTACTGGTGATTCAGAAGGTGAAGGTGTTGGTGTATCTTCACAGCAGCTACTACTCAAACTACAGTCCCAATAAGTTACGGCAGAGGGCTTCATCGATCTGATAAGACGTCACGTTGTTGCTGTCTGACAGTCACCTCGTGTCATCGCGCCACGACGAGTCGTGGAGGAAGAAGATGTTGTCCTTGTTGCTTAGGAAAATGCTTAAGCACATTCTGCTGCTGCAAAGTATAATCTTTAAGCGCCGAGGGCCCTGATGTTGAACAATCTCAACCACAACCTCATAAACAATATTAATGTGCAACTAGTACATTACTTAACAAGAGAAGAACCGACTATACTTCTTCCTACAGTACAGGTACGTGTCAATTCATTGCATCCTTTTGGTTGAACGAGGAACAAGTGTAATAAATGCAGTAGACCGTTTTTCGGATGGGTAAAGACTCCTATTGCGCAAAGACTTCCGTCACAGCATTTTTTCATCGGTCTGCTCTACTTTGGGCATTTCCTCCACGTCCACTCTCTTCTAAGTTCTTCTCTCGTTTCTACTCTTCTATTCATTCATTCACTCATTCCCATTCGTTCTCACAAATAGTTCTGTGTAGTTATTTTTCCATAATAATTTTCTACTGGTAACTACTCATCTCTCTCTCCTTGTTCTTGTGCTTCCCCAAAATTTGCTCCTTGATGATGTTCCACCACCTCTCCTATTCTTCATCTTAATAGTGCTCTTAGTAATTATAATACAAGCTAAAGATTCAACGAAGGATAAGAAGTAAGCAAAACGGTGGGTGCACGACAACAAAAAGGTAGTTGATGTATGGCTAGCGAAGATCTTGTACCACTTTGCTAAAAACGGACGCACGTCGTGCACGAGGACCAGTAATTAACTAAGTTGAAATTCAAGTGCTTCTATGTATTCATCATCTACTTATATCATATGCGGTGACAGAAAAATCCAAAATGATATTTACAGTCGCAGGATTAACATGGCAGTTTCCATCATCAACACGGAATGAGGTTTTTACATCATCCTCATATCAACATGAACATGAAGTTACTACTAGAAGTTTATCCGTTTTTGAATTTTTTTCTGTGTTACCTAAGACATGGACATCAGATCTCGGAGATGAATCTCAAGGAATAATAATAAGTAGCAAGTACTCAACAAGATGATATGTTTTGTTTTGATAGGATATTAAACACCGATTCGGTACATCTTGCTTCTAGGTTGATGTATTTTATTGTCTGTCTACGACCTCCTATGTACAACTAGAAGTAGTTCTTGTGCAGCACGCCGCACCTATTATTTTATTTACTCTATTATTTACACGTCGGCTACGTCGACCTCTCATGTACAAACAACTTCTTCAACAAATTATTGAAATTGTGACATGAGCAGTATGGAAAGATATATGTGAATGGTGTTAGAAACTTTGTTCGATTATAGAAAGACGCGTGAATTCAAGTTCGAAATTTGAGTGTTATGGTTTTTTTTTGAGTTATTTCCATGTACTTATCTGCACGATCCGCAGCGACTCAACAAAACGCCTCTAAAAATGTCCTCGAGAAGATGCAGAGAACAAATCCATACTACCTATCGCGGCTATCCCCAAGAAGGAGAGTTCATCTTCATGATCTACACCATCCACAGGAGATAATTTTAATTACAACAGCTTCTTCTTACTGTTACTTCGAGTCATCATCCCCCTTATTTCGCAATCCGTCGAAGCAGAAGATGTCTCGTACAGAGCAGACTGTAGAAGTTGTTCCAGTCGTCCCTGTTGGTAAAGCTCCCGTTGTTCCCATGATTGCAGCTGTTGAAACACTCGTTCCTGGTCTAACAGCTGTCGTTTCTCCTGCAGAACCAGCGGAAGAGGGTTTCTTAGAAGTGGGGGATAGGATCAAGAAGTAGGTATAAGTAAAGATCATGTGCGTCGAGTAGCTGCAACATCTTCGAATTCGCTGTAGTCGAAGTCTTCTAAATCACAAGATGAAGATAATGACGCGACGAGACTAGAAGAAGTGCACAACACCCACAGTCGTCGTGTCTTAACATCAAGAGGTGCTACAACAGCGACTGACGGCAAAGATGACGTTTCACCTTGAAGATGTTCTTGGTCATCGTGGGAATGGGCCCCATCTTCCCCATGATCTGGCGTAGGCGTAGGAAAACTAGGATCTTCTTGTATTTCTTGATCTTGTTGTGATCCTAGTACCATACCACCACGGCCAGTAGTAGGTAGTGGTACATGTACATGGCCTTGACCATGGAGTGGTCCACCATGTCCTCTTCCTCCTACTTCGGTAATATGCAATTCTGCACCTCCACCTTCCTCTACATCACCTCCTAGTACACGTTGATCAACTACAACTCCTTGACCTCCTCCAACTGCTTGACCTCCTCTGTGTTGAAGTGCCTCTCTGTCTCTGAAAAATTCGTCCTCTAGGTCTTCCTCTTCCCCTTGCCCGTCAACACTGTCTGCAACAGCAACACCAACATGCTGCATATAATTAGGTGGGCCGAAAGTATTCCCAATCTGAGGAGGTCTATGTTGTTGTTGATCTACTTCTGTACTAGTTGTTCTAGGATCGCCAGTTCTTGTCGGCTGTTGCTGATGTGCTGGACGTACATTAGATCTTCCCGGAATCCATCCCGAGAGTCATCTTGGCTTTGTTTTTCCCTTAGAAAGGAACAAGATGCGCCCCAAGATGCTTCTAAAGATGGATCACCGGAACAAGTAAGCCTTAGCAGCTACAGCAGTTTCTCCTGCTCCTACGACGTAGTGATGCGATGCAAAGACACGGGCAAAAATTCCCTGAAAGCGCTCATGCGCGTATTTCTTATGCACCGCGTGCATCTCCGTTGCTTGGCGCATTGGTTGCCCTTCTCTATTTCGCGGCACAAACTTACGTGGTGCTTCGAATGCTAAACTGTAAAGCTGCTTTACGAGGTCTCTCTTTGCTTTTAGTTGTTGAGCCGTGTTATTGTTCATCATGCTGGCTGAGGTACTAGAGGATGTTGCTGTACTATCGTTTCCACTTCTTGTACTAGAAGTTGTAGTGCTAGAACTAGAAGTGGCCCTCGTGTTGTTGTTCATCTTCATGTTGTTGGTATCATCTAGATCTACTCGACTTCCTTTTCCAGAAGTCGAAGAAGGGCAGGTAAATTTTTGACGAAGAATCGTGTTCGCATCACTGTAGTGCTGTATTTCTTCAGGCGACTCGTTCACAGCGAAACAGAGAACCCACTGAACCAAGATGATCTCAGCGCAATCCATGGCTGCTTCTGCGAGACTACTCGGGAAGAGATTAGAGGCACTAACAGCCCATCCTTTGGAACACCTTTTAGCTTCTTCAGTTGGCCAAAAGATTAAAGATGGATTGACGGTAGACCCATAAAGAGACCAGACAAACTCGCGTCCAGAAGTGACAGTTCGAGTATGAAGTCTGCCACATAGGACCGGTCCAATTCGAATAGGAAAGCCTGATACCCATGCGGTGGAGCGTCCTTACCAACATTATAACGCTCCGCGTCCTTAATGTTAATACCAACATCAACATTATAGGTCGTATTATTATTTCGTCCCCGATTTATAGCCAGTAGCTCTGAAGCATAGGCATTGGTAAGAGAACGGATAAACACAGGAGACGACTTTACGTCAGTCGTTCTTGTACTAGACTTTACGTCAGTCGTTCTCGTTGTACTCGTTGGGTCTCCACCAGCTGAACCAGAAGGACGAGCAGAGGGAACAAATCCTCCACCTCCAGAACCTCCTCCTTCACCACTTTCATCCCTTTGTTCTCGTCCTGCTCCCATTGACAAAGAACCGAAAGTACCGAATCCAAAACAACTACTAGATTCAACATCTGCTCCACGCCCGCCCGCGGCTGCAGCAGCTCCTTCATCATCTTCTACATCTTCAGACATTTTTTGAGATGTATCTGGTCCTCTAGGAGGAACTGGAGCGGCGCAAGGAACGCAGGCATTCTTAGACCTCTTCCGGGGATCTTCTCCCAGAAGATTCTTGAAGAAAAGCATCTCCTTGATCTTGGGCGGCCCGTTTCATCTCCCTTACCCTCTTAGTTACACGGAAGCCCACGAAAGATGCTTTTCAAACAACATGGGAGATTCGCGGAAGCCTTAACATTCCTCATTCCCAAGCTGTCCATGCTAACGACTGGATCTAGACACATGCTGCCACGCCATACCGGCACCAATTGCGGAACAAAGCGGCAAACATAATATCTCGGATCACGTGTGACGTTAGAAGAACAAAAAGAGACCACGTAGTTCTATGTAATTAGCTTGTTTGAAGTAGGGATAAGCCTACGATTAGAGGGAAAACTAACCGATTGCTGATTAGCATCTTCTCTCCTGTGGAATAATGTTGATCACTTATCTTTTAACACCTGGCCATTACCATCTTCCTAATCCTATGTATCAGAAAAATAAAACCCAAGAAGGCTTGACGAGGATGGAAATTTTATGGAGTAGAAAGCTCTCTATAATTTTCGTTGCTTCTCTTAACTAAAAACGTGTATGCTGTTGGCACCCTCAACACGTGACCGTTGTCGAGCAGGGTTTTCACTACGCAAAACTCCATCCCACGGATCTCCTCTTCGGTGTAAGTGTGCTCGCAGATGAAGCCTGGGTCGGTTGTGTAAGTTATCATAAATACATAGGTTCTTTCAACTAGTAGTCGTGAAAACTCAGATTGAGGATCCCGAAAATACTCCCGAAAATGCCATTCGGCTTTCAACAGGTGTCAACACATCAAGTAGCAAACCGACAGCACCTATCAACACTATCAACGTGATAGCATGGCGTGGTGGGATATACCTAAGAATAGAGGGAAAGCTAAGCGGCTGCTTTACATTATGTTAGCAAAAGTTAGTACGAAGTGTAAGTACATGTACATCATCCAGATCAACATGAACCTGATAGCAAAATAAGTAAGTTGTATGACGACCATAGCACTACACACACAGAGCACAAAGAAATCCGGCGGGATCGTACGCGTCGCCCGGAGCGCATCAAAACAAACAAACAAGTAAGTTGTACTCAGCAAAACTATGTTGTAAGCAATTCCTCCACAATCGCAGGTCTGGTTTACAGCAAAAGTAAGTGTAAGTTGTACTCAATTCCTCCACAATCGCCGGTCTGGTTTCCTCGACTTTGCTGCTGAGCAAAAGACACGCTAATCCGACTAGTTGAAACCGTTTTCGGCTATTCAGCACATGGAACTGCAAAATTAGAGCTTCTACCGCGTTCGCACCTTCTTCCTTGAGAGTAAGTAACTGAGGACTCAAGGAGACGAACCGGTTTGCAATGCTCTCGTCGCTGCTAAAAACAGAACAAAAATCCACCATGCTGGTAGCCCTAGCAGGGTGATGGTGGAAGCAGAGGGTGGACCTTGTTCAACATGATGACGATGATCGCCGAATAGTGTGGCTTTGTACGGTTTCCAGAGAGAAAGAGAGGAGAAAAGATGAAGAAGAAAAAGGAAAACTGATACTCGCTTCGCAATTAATAGTATCCTTGGAAGGTGGGGCTTCCTTGAGATGATGCTGAGGACGATGCTGAGGATAGCCTTAACAAAAACCGGTCCAAGATGTTTATGGTTAGGAAAAGCGTCGACGGGAAGTCAAACCGAAACTTGTGATGGACCTCGACGAGCCAATCAACCAGAACAGATCGCATCTCGACTGTTATGTCAAGTTGATTGCCGCAGATCACTGGAGCAGGGAGCCTCGGGATTTTGTTTGGTGTTGTAGGAGGAAGAACAAATGAAGAAGATGCTGACGAAGATGATGTAGTCGAGGATGATGAAGCGGCTGCTGAAGATGTTGAAGATGTCGCAGGAGCTGATATTGTATCGGGCGATGCCACTACTTTCATCTCGTCATCTTTGTGACATGCTTCGGCTATAGGGGCTACGTCCTGACCTGAGCAGGGGGGTTTATCATGAGTTCGTTGGTTGAGGATATTTTTACGGTCGTGAACGTGATGATAAATTGATTGAATTACTGTAGGCTACATCATATAAATCGGCTAGCATGATCTTGAATTTTACTTGATGTTTCGGAAACCTCAAGTTCTTGTTAATATTACGTAATAAAGTGAACATTACAAAAGGTGGCAGACAGAACAGAAAGATCAAGTTGTAGTTGATGAAGTTGTACAATATTCCTCCAACGTTCGCAGATACGCATATTCATCGTCACAACTGTTGTTGACCAATTGACCAACATCGTCAGGTGAAGAGGACTGAAAAAATCCAGGGAACCGTCGTAATCTTGGATGTGGTGCCCAAAAACTTTGCGTATTCACTGAATCAAGGAACCGTTGATGTCTTGAAGAAGCTTTTCCTCTTTGAGAGGACTGCTGCTGTAGTAGTCGTTGTCCTCCGGCGGTAGAACTACCCCCGGCTTTTGTTCTTAGAAGATCAAGCTTTATCGCAGGGCTTGCAGAAAACACAGAACGAATAATCATAGCAGATAGAAACTATATTAGATATTACCAAGATGAAAGACAGTACATCGGAGGGTGTAGTACAGAGTACAAATTATCCACGCCTTTTTAGCTGCTACATCTTCTTCATCTAGTAGTGCTCTTAACTTTCTGAGAAAATAGTCCGCATTCCAGGGACGCAGAGCTGCAGGAGAGCGCTTCTCTTGTCTGTTTAAAGTTGAAGATGCACCAGCGGCTGAGGTTGATGCTGACGAAACCGAAGGACCTGCTCCGAAAGATACCGGAGAAGCAGTAATCGTAGTTGCAGTGGTGGGAGCACTAGACACGACGTGCCTGTTGTCGCTAAAAATACTAGACACGACTTGTTCCATCTCCTGTTGTTCTAGTACTCCTTGATCCGGCCCTTGTTCCACCCCCCGTGGCACTTGTACCGGCACCCGAATTTCATCAAAATAGGGATGTGCAAGTGCTTCTGCGATCGTGAAACGACGATCTGGGTCCATCCTCAGTAAGCCACGCAAAAAAGAGACTCCAAGTTGGCCACCAAGATTTTTGACAAAAGAACGCTGCTCTGATGTCGTATACCTTGTTGTTTGGTGGAGAAACAGAAAGAATTTCGACAAGTAGCCTTTGTTCGAACGAAGTCGTTGTGGAGAATCGATTTATTGATGTTGATGTTCTTGTGATGCGGGAGGTGGGCGGACGCTCCGCGTGAAAATGAAGTAGCCGTAGCGCTAGAGATGTTACACTTGAAGACGAAGACATAGTTGTCGAATGGCTGAAAAGATGAATTTTCTTTTTTTCGAAGTATTCGTGGCTGCACCATCGATACAATGGGCTACAACTTCATCTCCATCTTCATGATCATGTGGACCACAACACCTATGATCAGGAAGAAATACAGTTACAGTTACCGTTACAGCTACAGTACAGCTCCAGTACAGCTACAGCTACAGTTACAGCTACAGCTACAGTTACAGCTACAGTTACAGCTACAGTTACAGCTACAGTTACAGTTACAGCTTATTAGGAAGAGAACATACAACAGTTACAGTACAGCTACAGTACCTTCCTGTAAAAAGTCCACAGGGTCTCCACTTCGGGAAATCGCGACCAGCGAGAGCAACCCAATCCGTTGGTGTCCCTAACAGCCCAAAAAGCTGGTAGATCCAACTTAACTCGCTATCAAGTACCAGAGACGCCAACTGAAGGACGAATTGAAAAAGAACAAGGCTCGATAAATCTTGTTCACTCATAGAAGTCAAAAAATCACGTTATGATTGTTCAAGTAACTAGCTAAATCACAAGTTGTAGTGGACTCAGTGACGGGATCATTGGAGCTTCTGTGCTGGTAGCCTCTAGTGGACTCAGTGATGGTAGCTCTGTGCTCTACTTTTTGCTAGTAGTAAAGAGGTCTTATTAGCCTTCGTGTGTCAAGATCAAGTACATTCGGCGGCAGCCATTGCGTAACCCAGCTACAGCCGATCTTCCTAGCGCACAGTGTGCCTAAGAGCAAGCCCAGTTGCCACAAGTCACTGTCGAAAACGGGGTTTTTCCCTGGTCCCGGGTGTACGGGGACCACGTTACTGGGAGGAGGGATCGCGCTAGTCGTCGTGGTGCCACTGCCCGTGGGGTCTTCTACTTGGTAGAAGAGTATTAGCGGTTACTACTGGAGGTCGTACTAATTCATTATGATGTAGTGGTGTGGATCTTCTATTCAGCAACCTGTCCGCGATATAACAATTATAATTGATGCTCTACTGTACAAGAACCTGTACTAAGACTAACTTCAACATGATCTTTTGTATGCGCAGCATATTCGTACTCACAAAAGAATCTTTCTTGTCATCTTCCTCGCCATAAAAGCCTCGTTTGTAGTGGTAGTCCTCCAGGTGGTTGCAGCTGTGCTAGTAGCGCTTCTGGTGGTTTCTTCACGTAGCTTATGCCCAGAGATTCCCGGTCATGCGCTAAACGTGCAGTCGACTTCGGATTTATCCCGGAACCGAAGAAAAAGTCCAACAACTCAATGGGCCTACCAGATTCTGAGGGAATTAGATGAACCCATTTTATTTTTCTGCGGGAATGGGATTTTTGTAACTAGGAGAACCCTTCAAATTTGAGGTGTAAACAGAGAATGCAGTCACTCATACTCTACTTCAAGTTCCTTAGAACCTCCACCTCCACGACTGTGAAAAGTTGTGTGAACAAGAGCTTCAAAAAATGCCATGTCTTCATCTACAAGTTCAAGTGCAACAAGAACCCCGTAAGCGATCAATCTACTAAGCCAGTGGTCCCTGGATATGATGGCGATGATGAGCACCAAGATCCTGAAGCCTTAACCTCTGAGCAGGAAGATCGTCAGGATCTTGGTGCTCATCATCACCATCATACTCAGGGACTGGCTTATTAGATTGATCGCCTACAAACCTCTTTGTCTTTTTTCGTCCTTCTCCATAAATCGAGCACGACTTTACTAGCATCCAAGTTGCCGTGCCCATTACCCGTAGCATGCAGCCTCCTCAGAAGCAAAAGGATATCCCTCATGATTCGCTTGATCGCCAAAGCGGAGTCATTGCTTCCCTTTGCAACGCCGACTTGGGAAGAAATTATGAAAGGAGCTGGTGCTGGAGGAATATTGAAACTAATTATAAGCAGTACGTTTCTCAAGTAGAACCAGTCGCGGAAACTCCTCGTATTGGTGCGTAATTATCCGTAGTTATCCTTTGCGCAGTTTCTATATATTGGTTGCAACAAGAAGGGATAGCCTAAAAGTAGAAAGAGGAAAACAAGCCGGCTGTTTATTTAAGTGCTTTGAGCATCGCTTCGCCGTTTTACGCGCATCAAAAGCCAATCAAGATTTGCAGCACTTATTTCAACTGCCATCTTAGCACAGTTTCTATATAAAAAAAAAATTGGATTTATTACAACATCAGCATCTTGCTCTTCGCAATCAAATCTAAGTAGTAATCTTCACATTACTCTTCACTTCATCTGGAATGATCATATATTTTAACCGCCATAACTGTAACATGATCATGAGGTGCAGAAGTTGTAATTCTTGGATCATGTTCCTCCTCAAAAAAATAGCCAGTCACGACCCCCTCTTCCAGCACCCGTTCATCTGCTCGCTCCTGTGAAGTAGGTCGACCTCTCGAAGTGGAGGTAGAAGAAGTAGAGGCTGAAGAAGTGCTACGAGATGTTGCGGCCGTAGATCCAAACTGATGTTGTCCACTTGTTATACCACTACTACTAGAGAAAGTAGAATTTTTCAACAATGGATTTTTTGACGTCGTCGAGCTCGAGATGACATTCGCAGTTTTTGAGTTTGCTGTACTACTAGAACAACTAATGGTGGAGGTGGAAGCACTAGCACTACTAGAACTCGGGTTGGAACTACACCAGTTCGAGGTGCCAGGAAGTTGAATACGGTCGTCGGGGACTATGCTAGGGTGGTGATCGTGTGGACTACGCCACGCGGCTGGTGTGTCACCACTTCCATGCGAACCGCGCTCGCTGCCAAGTCTCTTAATCACAGGAAATAAGGGTAACAAATCTTCTACTTCGCCTCCTCCAACTCGATGATGATTATCATTTTCTTGATGATTTATTACTGTTCTTGCCGGCTGTTCCAACGCGGCCGCTCCTGCTGAAGCTGTTGATAGGGTACTACTCTTACTGGTATTACAAGATGCTGAACTTGAAGAGCTGCTACCGGATGCCGAAGAAAAGCATGTTCTTGTCGTCGTTTTTGAACTAGAATTTCCAAATGCTGGCTCTTGTCCTTGTTCTAGTTGCGCTCCTCCTCCGTCATCACACGAGTGGTCACCTGTCGGAAGGTCAAATCGTGCAGGCACTAGGAGTTCCACATCATGCTCTAGTACAGCTTGTTGGGGATCGAGAGGCAACGGATCCCTCTCTTCGAAAACTAGGTGAGTCTCAGCGCGGATCGTCTTTAGAGATGGTCCGTTAGACCGTTGGAGAGTAACAGTAAGTAACTAAGAAGATGCCCCCCGTTACAACATACTAATTACCGTAGTTAATAAATTGAGAGTTGTAAGTATCAGTAACTGTAAAAAATATGTCGATAAGTGAATAGATTGGCGTCTATAATAACAATAGTTTAAGTGATCAGTAACTGTAAATAGTTGTTGCACCAACCAAGTATAATTCAGTATTAATAGACTGAAACTTCGCACGCAAAATTCGATAAGAAACTTCTGAACTAACATCGGCACGTTCATCATGGGGCCACATCAACCCAGGAACCCATTACAATTACAATTACTCTCGCACAAAGTACAGTGCAGACTGCCTTAAGGGCTCAATGTAGTATCAAGCGGCCATAACATGTCACCTCTTGGTAAGGTGCCAGTATCTGGAAGGGGCTCTAAGGCACTCTCCGACTGCTCCTGCGACTCCTCTTGCATACTTCCGTAAGCCATATCGAAGGAGAGAGAGTTAGCCAAGGATGATGCTGGAATGGCAAGGTAGTTGAAGGAATCTCAATATCTTGCTGAGGAGGTCACCCAAATTTTTGGATGGTGCTGAAATATTATTATTTTTAATGCATTTGAGGTGTAATAATAATATAGTCTCTTGCCTTAACATTTTGTCTTTCCAAGAGCGCATTTTTGTGATCGACATGGTCCCTCCTGTTCAGCTGCCCCATGTTTCTGTTTATTCTCGCATACCACAGCAATGTCGCAAACCACGGTATCTCCCCTTCACATCTGACACCAGAAGAAGTGGCAGTACTCTTAGAACTTGTAGGCTTAAACCACACACGAGATTTAACAAACTCAGAAAAGCGACATGGAAAGACAAAATGGATCCAACATCTTCCATCTTCTCCTCTCTCGCTCTCCAGCTCCACTTCAAGAATCTACTGAACAAGCCTCAGAAGTATTCATAAAGGAGCCTGCCCCTGCTGCGGCCGGGGGTGATGCCCCCTTCAGAAAATGGGACAGAAGAAAAGGAACCTCCCGAAAGACAAATAACGCATTCCTTCGATTTTCGTCCAAGACCACTCGCATTAACCGGTTTTCTTGCAAAAACGGATGGCAAAGGTAGCGCACCTGAGGAGATTGAAGAAACGTGTCGTGGGTCGTGGGTCGTGTGGCTACAAAGATCATACTGGTGATAACGTAATCATGAACGGGAACGGCAATGGAGTTTAACATCTTGTACCGCAGCATGAGCAAGCCCGTCGCTGTCCGGCTGGGGGGCTTCGACCACAAGCGTGCATCGTCCAGTGCACCTGGAGAAGAAATACCAACTTTTCTTAGAGCACCAGACGTACTACTAGTTCATCTAGTTCTAGGAGAAGACCTTCTAGTTAAAATAACATCTTCATCTAAGTAGGAGCAACTACAAGTATACTTAAAGATCATAATGAATCTTCATCTTGATCTTCAGTCGATGCATGCTTGAACAAAAATATTAAGGAGGTACTTCTAGAAGAAGGAGGCGAGCCTAGGTGTTACTCGAGGGGTAGAGGGCCGCGCCTAGTTGTAGCTCATGAAAGATGTAGGAAGAGGTACTACAGCATGAGGATATATTAGTCAAAGATGTGTCGTGGACAGGGGCGGCAGCAAGCATTATACCGATAATATAATGCCAGGTTTGCTACTTACCTTCTTAGGCTATGCTTGTTTGAATGGCTCTGGTATTTGGTAGCCTGATTTTGATCATAAGGAAAACAAGAAGAGAATCCTTGTGATCAAATTCAGGTTACCAAATACGAGAACCATTCATTGTTATGTTAGTTGATTTGTTAGGTTTGTTAGTTGTGTATAATGAGGTAATATATAAAGATGTCCTGGTTGTGCGGTTTGCTGTTGTTGTCGAATTACCCGGTACTGGTACAACATAAACAGAAACAAGCAACTGACAGAGCCAGAGGACTTAAGTATCTATAAGCCAGAATTATTAATTAGTAATTTTGTGACGAGTAGTCGTAAGTAGTAGTATCAGCCTTAAGTATCTATGTATAAGTTCTTTAGGATAAGGATGATTCATTGAAGCATAATTTTGACAATATGTGAAAAAACGCAAGGAGCGGTCTTCGGCAGGTGTTCTGTGTGTCCTTGCTTCCAAGCGAGAAAAAAGTCAGACGCGATGATGGAAGCGATCTGTTCTCTTGCCGACAGCTGCTGTCCTTCTTGATGGGGTTGTTCAGAAGTAAAAGTACTAGCTGTTCCTGAGTTTAATACGGCTCCTCCTGTAGCTTCCCGTTGTTCTTGATCTGGTACAACAGATCCTGTTGAAGGGTTCGTCGTGCCAGCACTTGCACTTTGATCAACTCCTGGTCCAGCACTAGCAATCCTTTGACCACCTGCATCACTTCCGTTTTGTTGATATGCAGAAGCAGGAGGCAATTGTTCGACATCTATGTCTACTGCAGCACTACTAGCTGCTAGAGTACTAGAAGATTTTTGCGAAGATTGATGAAAAGGCGCAGTTGTGGTAGTAGTTGTTCTAGGCTGTTGTGGCTGTGGGCCTCCTGGAAGATGCTGCTGATGTGCTTGATGTGATGTTATGACAGGACAAAGTGTACTCACTAGCCAATTGCTAGCTTCCCCCTAAGACAATTTTTTCAGTACAATTATGACTAAAAAGTTGTATGTTGACTATAATGAGTACACTTCATTATCTTTTCAAGTTCAAGATCAAGAACGTCATAAAATAAGATGGTTTTTGCTTCGCAGAGATTGTAGTCTTTCCGAATAAAACCCGCAGGTGGTGTTCCCACAAGTTCTTGTGATAAGCGATCTCCTGGAAGCGGCGGCATACTGGCGCGACACCCGCTAACTCGTCTGCGCGGGAGTATGAAAAAAGGAAACGATGACGAGCTAGGCTTCGGTAGGGTAACGGCTAGTAAAAAAAGGCTACTTATTCAAAGGGGGGAACAACCATTAGTTAAATTGACGTAAACTAGCCACGTTTATTACAATGAACCAGATAAAAACGAGGACGAGGATGAAAGATATTAAGTATCATGGAGGAAAATAGTTCATCGAGGATACGGATCATTCGCACTATTTTCCTCATTCGCGGTATCTATGTGTAGTGCTCAGCATTCAATGGTCACTGACTCTGAAAGAAATGGGCCCCATGCCTCTCCCTTTGCTTTTCCTTCATTTTTCCCCCATCTTTCCTCAAGAGGGATCTCAGTGACCCCAATCTCAATGGTGACCATTGAAAGCTGAGCCTTAATTCATGGAGGAAAATAGTGCGAATGATCCTTATCCTCGAGGAAAATACTTCTACAGGTACCACGTCATTCATTACCATTATTTCCATAACAAAAATTGGAATATGAGATGCCAGTTATCGTCGCTTAGTTCCGGGTTTGTCGTGTTTTTTAACAACATTTTCCCACGATTTCGCGAGTCTTCGGAAGTTCTGGCGATGACGATGTGAATCCGTGTGGCAATCTGCCTAAGTAGATAATTTTCCTGAAGACGACAACTTCTACTTTGTTTAAACTTCTATATCGATTTCGATAGCATCGGTGAAGCATGTGGTCACCAAAGACGCAACAAGGAGAAGACGTTGAACGCGTCGAGATGCTGCTGGTTGTTGTAGTTAAACTTCATCTTCTTGCTCATGTTCATGTTGATCAACTCATTGTTGTACCCTACAATCGTTGTTGTACCCTAATAATTATTGTTGTACCCTACGCCCACAATCCGTTGTCATCTATGAAGTAATTTTCAACACACTTCTCTGAAACCTCAAGTTTTTCTTCATCATTCTAAAACTCTGCAGTTATTGTACTGATTTTCATATCCAAGAACCGTTGATGCTTTCGCTTAACAGGAATGTCGTTGTGGAGGTCTATCAACATCATCTTCATCGTAGTCTTAGTTTGTAATTAGTACTGGAATTAGGATTGCCTGTCTTGTTGTGCTAAATCTATTGTGGACGCGTTTTCTACTAGGCCGCGGTCAACCGTCATGTGTACTTTCTAGTAGTCGTAATACTAGTATTTCTATTTCTAGTAGCTCGTCGACATATTTGCATCTTCTTCACTTGTTCTCATTCTTACCGCTATCAATACCACAGAAGTTCATAACTTTTCCCTTGTTCTACTTCTACAACTAGTATACTAATACTTCTACTGAATGACTCTTCTACAACTCGAAGTACTTGTTCCACATTCACTTTGACAGCTCCTCCTTATAGATACAACTGGAGTTGCGCCAGTTTTTCTGTGCAATGATGATGATCTGGTACTTTTCCAGAGGACCACGACAAGAACACCAAGACAGTACTAGTACAGCTGTTTCCTCGTGGAGACGACCACGACAAGACAATAGATACTACATCAGTTGATGTTCTACTACTTCTTTCTGCGCAAAAACAGCAGGAGTACACTTTGCAAGTTTAGCCGCGTTCATCACTTCTCACAAGTGATCTGCTTTTTCTACATGTGTTGATCTTGTTCTACTACTACTTCCTTCTGGTGCTTTGTTCTTCTGCAGCTTTATAACTTCTTGTTTCTCGTTCTTGTTGTCACAGTATAACAGGAAATGCAAAGGAGGACATTACAGTCCTGGAACACAGAAGAACACAGGGAAACACACGACCTAGAACAAGTAGTTGTCGACTCTAGTTCAGTAGTTGTCATCCGCAACTCACCTCCAGGAGCTCCTGTTCATGTTGTAGTAATGGCCCATCATCATGTGGTGGATTACGCTTACTCAATACATGCTCCTGCTATTTCACCCATGATAACAAGTAATATGCAGCCATGATGCGCGTGTTATCCTCATCCTCATGATAAAAATATGACAAGAAATATGATCCAAAACCAAGAATAATTGTTGTACTTGTAAGTATCGACGTTTAAGTTTATGGGGAAGTATGAAATTCTTGCGACGTGTTCTCGTAATATCATGATCTTCTGGTCATCATGGAATTGCGTATGACTCTTATGTAGTCAAGAACTCTGTTCTTGTCGTGTGATGTGGTAAAGAACCCAGAAGATCTTTGAAGAACACGGCCAATAACAGCATCTCCTCCACAGCCACAGGTACCACTACAAGTAGAAGCCGCTGCAGTTTTTTACTTACTCCCAGCCCCGACCTTGACTTTCCCCGAATTCTTCCAATCGCGGACGGGAAAAATGTGTTGCAAAGAGCCTGTGGTTTGGACTTGTTGCGTCGGTTGCAATTTCGGCTGCCCTAGCACGTTGTCCACGAATTGCTCGAAATCTTCTGGAGAAACCGTTAAATCTGGCATACTGCGCATAATCTGCAGTCGGAGGTGATTAGAGCTATGAGGGAGGGACGAGGACTGTAAGTAGGAGCTCTGCGGTACGGACGAGGCGTGAAGGAGGTAGGAATGAGGACGTTCGGAAGATCATGGAGGATGAGATGCAGATACTAGGGTGGAGTAGGAAGAGGCTCTGAGGTGCACGTGGTGGAGGATAAGCGTGAGTCGTGCTGGCGAAGTCTTCTTTACAAAAATGATATCGAATAATTCAGAGACGAGAGCCATAGACATATATTCAAATGAGATAACAAACTAGATATTGTTGACCCTGCAATTCAGCCCATAACATCGACATCGCTCATGTTGTGCCGCATCGTTGTACTTTTCTCGCACATTACCGAGAACAAAGCTCGCGTTTCCTTCTGTGCGCTTCTGCAAGATTTCATCAAGGATTCGTACTTCTTCTGCAATTTGACTTAGAACCAGAAGCGCAGGGTGTGAATCAAAGTAGAAGAAAGTCAACATAATTCGACGAGTTTCATTTTGTTCTTGTTGATGTAGATGTTCCCCTGATCGTGGAAAAGACGGCTTTTAGAACTACATCGATACATAGTAGAGCAGCATTCTAGAGTTCACCTTTCTAAAAGATGATGTTCTTGTACTGGATGGTGCTTATAAAAATTCATCAAGAGGACGAGCATAATCAACCCCCTCTGCCGATCGCTGGCTCGCGCGCTCCTTTCGTGAAAAGGTTCGACTATGTGGCGCGCCGGGAAGTTTCAGGCCATCCCTGTATTAGAGGAATCTCTAGTATACGGAACGAATGTATGCATCGCACAAATCATCATCTGGGTTCCTTTTCCTTCTTATTTTCTTTGTCGTCCACCAGATGACTTGTTTGGTCGTCCTGTAGGTCCACCAGATGACTTTGGAGATGCATTTCCTACATTTCACTCATAACTATAGAAGGTTCCTCCAGCCTTCAATCCATCGTGGAGACAGGTCACTGGCGCTTTCTCTATCTTGCTTACCTCCGGATGCTCGCCGTCTCGCCAGTTCATCGCAGGCAGCACATCCGCTTTCGGAAGCTTGAATGGCTTTACTCTGCCCATTTTTTCGAAGGTGGAGCTAGAGCTGCTAGGTAATTCCTGTACAATACTAGGCGTAGGAGGCAACTCCTGTAAAATCAAAATATTAAGAAATATTCGTGGTCGTGATCGGAGATAGGTGTTCTTTTAGAAGCAGCTAATATGGTTCTTGTAGTGAAGATACGTCGAGGAAAGCCGGATTATTGGTCTGCCTAGATCACAGCGCACTTCTTCTATGCTACGTCTTTAGGGACATTTACACAGATCACGATGCACTTCTATCTCTATGCTACCTTTTTCGGGACACAGACACATGAAGTTCACGGCTCTTTAGAGCCCTTTCGATGCACTGTCGTGCTGCGTGGTATGATCATTCTTCCCAAATCAATGTAAGTTCAAAAGAAAGCATCGATCAGCAAAGAAAAGTAGCAGGTATGATCTTTTGGTAGGCAAAGTTCTACCAAGCATTAGGAGTGTAACTCTTTGTTCTTACCTGTATCAAGCAGGATAAGAGCCTCCCAAATTCATGTTCATCTACCTAATATCGCTATCAGTATCAGTTAGACTAACTTGTTATCAGTTAGACTAACTTGTTCCTGCTTAGTAGTAAAAAGTTTTCTATTACTACAGAGGTCTATACAACTCAACAGAAAGGCGCGTCATATTCACCAGGCGCGGGGTCGAGGAGGAGGGTAGCTGTGCTTAGCGGGTACTATGGTCGAAACCAAAGCATATGAGCCTGTACTTGTTTCATGATAATGAAGACGACTAGAAGTTAAAGGAGCATAATTACCGGAACATAGAAGCATCACAGACTCAAATTGATCAGTAACGCCGTGCTGAAGCATGCTCACACTTCTCAGAGGACAGATTGATCCCGTCTCAAATCACACAGACACGACCTCTTCATGTCGCTGGAGGACACTCAACAGATCAGAACATCCTCCGAAGGCACCGAGAACTTTTGACAATTATCGAAAACTACTCTCAACATCAATAGTGGAATTCCATATCATCCAAAAAACTAGTACAGGACCATGTCTATGAATTTTGACTTCCTAGAATTGACGTGAACACAGTCAGCAGAGTCAGCTTTTCTTTCGTAGTGCCTTTAATTTCAACATAACTTAGCTTTGATGAAGCGCCGGAGGACGCAGGAGTAGTAAATGTTTGGTTTAAGTTGTCCTAGTGGTCCCAACGCATGTACTCGGGCCAGTTGAGGTCGACGAAAAGCATCTTACGAGGACGCTGGAGAAGAAACGCCCATATTTCGGAAACAGAAATGAGACAAGACTCACGAGTAATTATTTCTTTTAGAAGTGACTCACTCAGGAGTAGTCATTTTGTTGGAAGGATCCCTTACGAGTATGAAAATCATCCTTGCTCAATATTGAATATGAAACACTGTAACACGATGCAAAAAGTGCATGTACTAGACAATAGATTGCATGAAGGGATAGCCTTCAGGTAGATAGAGGAAAACAAGCCGACAATAAGGGTGACGTAAGTTCATTCAGTACTCCACCCTGTGTTGCATTTGAAGAAGATTGTTGTTTATTCAATACTAAAGGGATTGAAGTAAGTAAGCATAGTGATCATGCACGAGTAATAGTTCCTGAAGTCGACAAGATTGCTACTCGATAATTCGTATGATCATGAAGCAGTAGTAAATTGCGGACAAGATAGATTGAATCTAACATAGACTGACTCTTCTAAGAAGACAGTGACAACAAGATAGAAGACTCTTCTATTAGAAGACAATGACAAATTTCACTTCTTATACAACGCGTGTGGAAGACCTTAGACAAAAAATAATTGAATTTGAATTCCTCTAGAGTACTATGTTCAACATCATCCTCCCTCAGCCTCTATGAGCAATCTGTTGATCATCCTCCCTTCGCCTTCCTCCTAGTCCGAGCAGATTGTAAGAAATCTGTTGAACATCCTCCCTTAGAAGTAGCCTCCACACTGGTTCGAACAGTGGACCACGCCTCCCCTCAGGAGCCTTCATACTAGTAAGAGGTATATTAATGTGGACGTCGTCTCCCCTTACTAGCCTTCGTACTGCAAGCAGTGGACGTCTCCCCTCAATATCTTCTGCAGTTCTTCGGTGGCAAGCGAAATAATGATCCCTTCCGGTATCGTTTGCAACGTGGAGGTCCTGACGAGCTCCCATGTTTAGATCTTTAATTCACGGTGTCCCAGTTAGTTCTCCTAGACTAATGGCGGGACATCTTGTTCCTACCTTGTTGAGAGCCATCTTTCTTGGGTCTTCTGTTTTTCTACCCTTAGAGGAGAGTGAGTAGGATGCCCCAAGAAGATGCTTTTGAAGAAGAGATTGACGGGAGCAGGAGCCTTAACATGTAAAAGCCACCACACTGGTGTGTGCCTCTGGTGCGCTGCCCCCGTTAAGTCTTGGGTCTGAATGCTTCCACTCATTGAGAATGGCGAGAGGGTAATCATGTCGTCGTCGTCATTCCCCTGAATCGTCGTGAACGACATTACCCTACAACATTACCCTTCTCAATGAGTGGCATCATACAGGGTCTGTCAAGTCGTGCGGTGACACGCACAATGCGGCTCCGGTCACGACTTCTGCCGAGCTTGTAGAAGCAGTTGATGTTCTTGTTAGAACTAGCACAAATCCATCTTCAGAAGAAATCTACCTAGCACATCAAATGCATCTTCAAAGGATCTACTTCATATAACGCGTTTAGCGTGAGATAAGTGGTAGAATGAGAGGAGTTGTAGAGAAGTTTCTCATCTACATCAATAAGTAGTACTAGTAGGAGTAGCTTGATCCACCCCGTTTTGATATTGTTCTGAAGATAGATTTCCATTTCTCAAATATATGTGAAGAAGCGTGTGACAACATTTGAGAAGCGATATAAAAATAAGGAGTCTCAATTTTATATTGGTCGGAAGGAGTCTCTCTTAATGAAGAGCTTCCATTGCCCAGCAGTGCAAAAGTGTGCGGTGCGTATCGTGCTACTGAGAGATTCTCAAATTTTTCTGACTTCGGCATCCGTGTACTACTGGTGCCACGTGCTCCGCGCATCATTCTAAGAAGCGAATGCTCAAGAGCTGCGCAAGTTCCGGCCGATGCTGGAGACCCCGAAGAGCCTAGATGGCGGAAAAACTCCAACAACAACTCGAAAAAGTGACGAAAGAAATACTCGCCCAAAGCTTGTTCCGGTCTAAAGTTTAGACGTATGCACTTCCACTTCTAAGTAAAAAATGGATACTTATAGACGAGAGAAGATGTTGAATATAAAGCTGACCATAATTGAGAACCTTGTCCTCCACCACCAACACCATTCCAAGAGGAGCTTGATGCTAGCAGTTCCCCCGAACTGGACGTGCCTTCCCCTTGAAGTGAAGGTACCAAAAGTGCTCCACTCACGACCGGATCCGCAAGGAGCTGGAAAATGAGATCCAATATCACAGTTAGAACTTCTACCGCATGGAAGGTTCCATTTTTCTGGAAGTCACACCCAATAGGAAAAGAAGATCCCGAAGGATCATGAAAAAGTAGATGCTGGTGTTAAGGACAAGATTGATAAGTAGAAAAAGAAGATCCATGATGCGAGGGGGCTGAGGATGCTCTACTAGCGGCCAAGGACGATGTCAATGGTATTAAGGACGAGGTTGAGGATAGGTACTTTAGCGGAGGGAGTTGGGGATAGTTACTTTAGCGGTATGGACTCAAGAGAGTACACGAATTACTCACTGGGGGATGGTTCTTTAAGGCATAGAATTCCCCTAGAATGGGGAACTTCTGCCCCTAGAATCGAAGGCGTCTGCCCCTAGAGTCGGAGGCTTCTGCTCCTAGAAGACCTACAGCCGTATTTCTTGAGTACTTATTTAGCCGACCACGGGGTTGAGGATAGGTACTTTAGTGGTAGAGCCTTAAAACAAGCCGTGCCCGCACCATGGGTTTCAACAGTTGAAATGACAACAGAAGCAGCGACAGGGAAACAAAAGGGTCGGCAGCCATCAGTTGGTCTTTCCATGTCTTAGAGGTGTAGGAAATTCATGATCCGAGAAAACATCTGGGTCTCCTATTTTCTTCTTGTATTTTCCTTTCCCAAGAAGAGGAAGAAGATGTTTTCCATTTCCTTCGGAATGGTATATCACTAAAATTCCCTACAGCATGCACTCATAAATGTCCTCGTGTCGCTATTTCTTCCCGTACCAGTCGTAGTACCTCCGATGTTCATGATACAACCAGTCGCACTAGTACTAGTTGTAGCAGAAGTGCCACTATTATTAGATCTTCCTGGAATGCATGACCTTGAACGTCATCTTGGCGGGTCTGTTTCTCCCTTAAAGGGGTGAATCCTCAAGATGCTTCCGGAGATGCAGATCATGGACGATTAGGAAGATGAGCCATAATATTAGGCGAGAGCTGCCCATTCGCAGTAGAGTCGATTCCGTCTTTGAAGTGCCACGCTAGGCACAGCAAGATAAATTCTTGAATAGGGAACGGCGAATGCAGCCAGCTGCTCGGAAGTTGAGTCTGCGCTTTCAATATTAGAACAACAGTGTTAGTTGAGCTTTAGTAGTAGCAATATTAGTTGAACTAAGACCAGGACGAATCCATCTGCGGATTCATCGTGATTCACGAAGCGGAATCCATCTGCAGATTCATCTTCGTGCCCGTATATTACTTTTCAAACCGGTAGTACAAAGATCCTGCTCGGGAAGGTCGCACTCCTGTCCTGTGTACGTCCCTGATGCCATTATTCTGAATTACGACCATTTTTAGTTTTTGCGTTAGGACTATATGCCACCGCCCTTTCAACGGAGTCTGAAATTGTTATCGATTTCCTGTACTGGCCTTAACAATATCATCGACATAGGCGTTGTGTTCGTTGGGGGCGTTGTGTTTGTTGGGTTTCCGGAAGAGGATGCGCCAGCAGAGGTCGAAGAAGTACTAGTTGTACTAGTAGAAGTAGTAATGAAAGACTGGCGCTTTTTCTCCCCAGAGGGCCCTAGTAGATAGAGAGCATCCTGGCAGAGGCAGTAGTTGTCCTACTTGTCCCCTTGTGAAATAATGACCGCAGCCAGGATGTTGACCACAGGGGTAGACTCCTCGTTAAACAAAGATTGACGGGAGAAAAAATATCATCCAGCATAGAAGTTCCACCAAGTCCAACATCTGACCTTCGTCCCTGTCGTTTGCTCATGGCCGTGTAGAAATTTTCTACATTGCTTTGAATCAAACTCCTATTACTGCCTGCCCACTCGTGGAAAAGCGGAGCGACAAAAGTCAAACCGATATCCATCTTCGCGTTAGAGCGAGAGCATGAGTGGATAGAAAAATTTCATTTTCAATTGTATTTATCATTATTTAACCTACTAACGACCTCTGGTACTTGAAGAGAAGTCGTGGTAGAGAAAATACCACAAACGAAGAGAACAAAAGAAACTGGTGAGTGAATGTTTGTTGGTCCTCCTCCGACGGTCTTTTAATATTACTACAGCAATTAGAACCCCTAATGTCCTCGACGTCGCGGTTGCGGTAGGTACCTAGCTAGGAAAAAGATAAAAGTAGAGTAGACGTTGCTGAGGTAGCAAGTGGAAGAACAAGAACCCTTAACTTAATTGTAAAGTACCCTTTCCCCTAATTGAAATTGTAGTGCTACAACCGCTTCCTCCATGAGAGGCAGTTACTTCAGCACCTCCACGTCCATGTTCATTCAAGTTCAACGGGAGCTGCTGCATAAGATCAACATGATCATCATCACAGTACGGAAAAAGCAGTAGTAGCAGTTTCGCTCCCGCACAGAACTCATCAGCGAACGCAGGCTCTTCCACATTTGGCGTCCTAGTGCCATCTCCTGTGTCCCGACTTCCACCATTAGAGCTAGTACTAAGTCGCATCTTCCTCTTGGAGAGTCACAAAAATATCCTTGTAAGAATAGATACTTAGTTCTTCTTTTTCCCGTTGAAAAGGAAGCCAACAAGGAGGATGGTACATCATTTGAGGCTGCTTCAGGCTCAGCGGTAGGCTTAACACTAGGTTCTCGACTTCTACTCGTTGACGCGGTATTGCTGCCACCTCCGTGTAGGAGCTGTGTGCTGGACGACATGCTGCCGGGATGACTCGCGTTGATGTTGTGTGTGACACAACTTGTTGTCACTCCACTTCCTCCTGCTGCTTGTTGTTTTAACGATTGGAAGTACTTTCGAGCGTGCGGCAAGACCCAGCGTTCTTCGCACATGAATAAGCCGTAAGGCACGAACTCTGAGAAAAAATGTCGCAGCAGTGTCCTCGCTCCTAAAGAAAGGGATCCGCAGATACGCTGAGGAGAGGACACTAGTTCGGGAGAGGCTGTAGAGGCGATCGGACCGTTGAACAGAGCCGTCGACGAGCTTCCTGCTGAAAGCATCATTAGAAATGACAACGACCCTCTGATGCTGGCATCAGATTCAGATGACATCTAAGATAGCTAGTACTAAATGTCTTGCTTTTCTTTATCAGTAGAAAGTCTACTCTTGGCTCTTTTTAAGTCCAAGACACTGACACATCTCGAGTAATCATCCTAAACATGATGATAAACTAAGTACTTCGTTCTGGCTCAAATAGTCATCCTAAACTTCTACTGGGAAGAGGAATAAACAGATTGCCTATTATTATATATTAAGTCCATCTATTCCGACCATCTAATCTACTCACAAGGAACAAGCCTTAGCATGAGGTCCCGTCTTGCTAGCTCACTTTGTACCTGTGTGGCACCGGCGGGAGGTGGGAGCAGGGCCCTCTGCTGCGCACGCTCACGGCAGGTGTGCAGAGCCGTAGCATGTGCGCGTAGTGCCACCGTCTCCTTCGGAATCACACTCACGCGTTCAACAACGAAGTTACAATTGGAGCTACCGCGTCGCATCCCTGAGCCCATCCTTGCGCCCCGTTTTCTTTTGAAAGTGGGGCCAAGGATCGATGATGCTGAGGATGCTTCAGAGGCAGCCTTAATACAAGGTCCTTCCTGCTCTCCCACCTGTACTCCTACTCCCTGCTGTACTCTTGATGCCAAAGCCTTCAGAAGAGTTGCTTTGCTCATTATTGCTGAACTATTCTTCGTTTTAGAGCAAAATTGAGTCAAAGGCTCCTGCAAAATCATCTCCTCAAACAAGTCACAGCCAAAGTAGTAGTGACAAAAAAAGTTCCTACTTTACTTCAGTATCAGTTGATAATCAACTTGTTCTAGATGAAGCACTATGAACACCTATCATGTACAACTATAGTGCTGACCACAAACACAATGCTGATGTTCTTAGCCTTAGTGGTCATCCACATCATCCATGATTACATTTACTCACACCATTTCCCGTAAGACCACAAGCAGCTCCACTTATCTCCAGTATTCGGTAACGGACGTGGTGGCCAAGCTCCGAATCTATCGAGGACTCCACATAACAGGTGAAGAGAGTGAAAAATTCGACAAAAAGGTCCCGGTCGAGTGTCTTCTATTAGAAATAAGAAAAGAAGTGAATCCCAAGTTCGTACTAGAATGAAAGAACACCAGAATGAAAAAAAAGACAACTTTCAGGCGGGAGAAGGGACGCAAGCCAAAGGTCACATACAACTTAGATAACTAGGTTAACTAGCTAAGGCCACCCAAACGATGCTTCTGCACTTGGCGTCCCATCCCCCAGGCTTATCAGGTGGAAAAGCGCTGGGGGGGTGGGTGCTCGCACCTCAAGTAGACCACCACGTTAAGTTGAACAGAAAAAAAAATGACTTTCGGACGAAATGGATTGCATCAAGACGTCGCCTTAATTGTAAATCGGGAGAAGGGACGCAAGCCAATGCTCTTGCTTGGCACGGTCGAGTAGAGGCGTTCGCAAGATTGTCAGGAAAAGCGGTCTGCATTCTGCGACTGTTGTTAGAGCTACCGCGATTTTTTACATAGGATCTCACGTCACGACGTCGAACCTCGAGAGAATTCTACAGATCATAACGTAGTCTACTAACGAGACTCAGTTGCCAGCTGACGAGAGAGCAACCTTGTTACCTTCGTAGTCTACTAGCGAGACTCAGTTACCAGCTGACGAGAGAGCAACCTTGTTAGCTTCTTCTTCAAGTTCATGCTTAAGTATGTACTTGAAGAAGAAGCTAACAAGCATGGCATGGAGTGCATGGATCACATGGAGTAGCATGGAGCTAAAGGGGGAGCTTCTTGCGCCCCTTAAAGCTCTGCGCTCCATGCGCTCCATGCTACTCCATGCACCATGCGTGCTATAAACTACTCTGTATACTTGTTAGCTTCTTCTTCAACTACATACTTGCTCTTTGGCGGTTGTAGCATGATGCTTGTTAGCTTCTTCTTCAAGTACATACTCTTTGGCGGTTGTAGCCGTAAAGTTGGTAAACCGTGGGCAACTGAGGAGTTCTTCTTCTGCTCAGCACTAGATGCGGAACTCGCGCTTGACGTATCTGAAGCAGCTTGTTCTCTGTTTTCAGTTTTTTCTTTTTCCCTTTTATAGCAATCACTCAGCATCACAAGACTCAGTTGCAGTAAATGGTCAATCATCTGCGCCTTCTGCTCGATTCTCTGTGTCTGCTCTTGATTTGGGAATTCGAGGAAAGAAGTGGTCAGAACCCATAAAACTTGTGTTTGTCCTTCTAGTTCTACGATGAACTTCATCATCAAGTTAAGATGTTTAGGATCATCATAGATAATCTTAAACATCTTAACTTTATAATGTTGCACGGGATAAGTCTACTATTGTGATAATAAACATTCAGCATCGACATCTACTTCATCGAGAACATCTACGTCATCAGCATCCCCAGCATAAGAACTACTCCGCTGCACCTCTAGTCCTTGAGCTTTACTTGCAGTGGTATACCGGTAAACAAGGGTCTGAACCAACTCGAGTAGGGCCATGCGCACCATTAACTCCGTTTTCTCCGCTTGCCACAACGTCAGTAAAGTCTCGAGAACCTCACACTTGGCGGCACACCTGGAAGTGAAGTTAAGAAGTGTAAAAAACGCGTACGTACAATGAACTAGGACTGCTCGTCAATGTTGACCAGTTAAATACTTGTACCCTGGTTCTCCGTTTTCCAGTATTTTTTTGACTAGAGTCAGGCAGCTCCACTGTGTCGTAGGGTTGCTCACTTCCCTCAGCAGCAGGACTAACGCTTCTGACAGAGCAGCCTCAATTAGCGGTAGCTTGTTGGTAGAGGTAGTTAAGTGGTAGTAGTTGTCATCATGGACACGTCTCTAACAGTCGGTAGTAGTTGTCATCATGAACACGTCCCTAACACCAGTCGAGATGAGTGTGGCACTAGTTGTAGTGGTACCAGTAGCAGTCATCGTAGTACTTGTACTGGTACTACTAGTGACACTAGTGTTTGATTGATTTTGATGTGCCTCCCTGGGGGGGGGAGAAGTGAAGAGTTAATCCTAGTAGTGTGTTGTCTAAGTAACTACAGGAGTGTTCGTGAACTTCTATAGTAGAGGTTCGTCTTGTTGAGTGAATTCTTGCAGGAGCTCTCGCAGTTTCATATAATTATGGGAAGCATAACTCAATTTCTGCCCAAACTGGGTGATCACTATGCCTCGTGAAGATCTGCTCCAAAGCAGGCAAAATCGAGACGCGAATGAGCTTACAATGTCCTTGCTTCAGAAATTGACATAGGACTTCTAAAACCTGCGGCACAAGTTCCGGAGGCAAATCGTTGCCCCAAGCCCGAAGGAAATTCGAGACGCGTACGGGAAGCACAACGTACCAGACAGTCTGTTCCGGTACCAATTGAGGTTTTGGGCATTGGTTATACAATAAACACGCGGACCTGAGAAATGGCAACAATTTCGAAAAGACGCCACTGAGGAAATGTCGTTGCTCCAGTAGGTTTGGATGTTGCTGACCCTGTTTTAGATGTAGACCTGTTTCTTTTGTTTCTGTTTGTTTCTCACCATCTATCTGTTCCTCTTGAGAAGCAAACGGGAGGACCGAGATGTCGTTCATCTATGGTAGTCCACCGGCGTGGATAATCTATGATAGTCCACCGTTCCATCTTAACTGTTGGTCGTCTAATGTAGCTGGCAGATTTTTCGGTCCCAAAGATCGTAATTGTGTCTGGACACCAGTAGAGTCTGCGAATTGATTGTCCTGGCACACCTTCTTGAAAAGGCCTTGGCAAGTGGTCAACACGCTGATAGCCATGTCGTAGTCCTCCACATGGCCAAGGTCTAAAGGGCTACCACAAGAAGCAGAAACAACTTGTTGTTGATTCACTCCGAGCTCTCCTACACCTCCAGCACCTAGTCCTCCTGAAGCTCCCTGACCCTGAGAAGATGAACCCCCGTCGCCGAAGCTTGAGAGGAGTTGGTCGATCCATGCTGATAAAGATGGCCGATAAGACTCGTGGTTGTACAACGCTGTCAAAAAACGGTCCCCAGCAGCTTTAATTTCCGCGGCGTGAGCATATGAAAGGAAATCAAGAGAGGTGTACTCATCTCTTTCCTGCTCAATAAACTAGTCGGGCTAGTAGGCACGTTCTAAGTAGCAGGAAGCTCCTGGCTGCGTCTTTTCTTAAGTATGAGTACACCAACACTATATCTTTTCATAAAGCAGGTCCTGCAATCAAGTTCATTCCCGAGTCGTCCTCGCTTTGATCTCCAGCTAAGCTTTGGATTAATTGCATCGCAGGCGAGAGACTATTATCCGCATACAGATGCTGTCTTGCTGCGTCTGATAACGGCGTAAAAATGTCCCCAATAAGGGAACTACTGGCAGAAGAAGAGGAAGATGAAGCGGCAGAAAGACCCACTATTAGTCCTGGTTGTTCCTGAGAACCGACTCTGCTATTGATGTTGTCAGTCCCCCCATTGGATATCATGCTCTCATTTTCCCTCTCCAAAATGATGTTTAAGCGCAGACACAAGCGACTCACCAGGTCTGCGAGATACGGTATTGGGTACTGCCGCAAAAACACCTGCGAGAACTGCTGATAGCAGGTTTCTGCTCCGATTAGAGCTTCAGGGGATCCATCTTAAAAGTCATCCTGGACCCGTTCCTCCCTTAGACTGTCTAAGGGAGGCACGAGACGCTTCATCTGAAGATGGATTGCCGGAAGTCTTAATCTAAGGCGCAGCTTCTCGCAGCTTTGCTTCCGATTGCGCCAACCATGCCGGAAAGTATTTTCTAACCCCTCAACCGTTCTCCGCGTTACTTTTAGGAGCAAAGCCAGTAGCTGAAAGTAGTCGTCTTCCCCACCAGGCAGGTTTTTCAGCACTAGTATTCTTCTGTTAGCGCTAGTTTTTCACTAATATGCCTGGCTGAGTGAGTCCCGCCCTTTTTGTTTTTTCCCCTTTAAATCAATGGGGACTCCACTCAGCGTTACAGTTCACGTGGGATAGTGGTAAAGGTAAAAGTAAACTGGCCATAATTCTCGAAGTCCTCCTGTTGTTTAACATATGGAGAGAACAGTTGCTACCTCCTCCAGTAGGTCGTGTCCCAGCACCTGCTGCTCCGGCATCTTCCGTACTACTGGATAGACTTCTTGCACTGCCTACTGCGTTTCCCCGCGGATGCGCTTCTCTATAGACCGCTTCCAGCACTGCGACGTTCAAGGCTAAACACCGGCTAGTATGAATGGCGATTTTTCCAACTAGCCAGACCATCGGATCACGGCTAGTAGTACTTGTAGTACCCTTTTCCCCTTAATAAGGGATTAAGCGTGAGACAAGTGCCAGAAGGTTTAATGGAGTTACTTTTCCCCTTAATAAAAACTACTACAGGGGGCTTATTAAGGGGAGCCGCGATGGTCTGATCTAGACGAAAGGGAAAGCATCATTCATAGCTAGCGTCCGCCTCCATCAAGGACAAGGGATGTTGCTTCACTAGTCCGCTCCACCGCTTCAGGAATCCTTTAAAGCATTTCAAAAACGGCACTAGCTGGGCCAAGTCGTCCTCCAGGCGATAGCTGAGTCCAGAGAAATGTAAATTCAGGAACCTCTCTTCAAATTCTTCTCGAAAGAAAATCACAAGGTTTGTCATGATTTCATCTGGCTGGACAGGTTGAAGCATGTTTGGTACATCCAAAGCCAGATCCGTGATGTGAACGAAGCCCTTTTCTACGAGGATCATCATGCTGCTATTCACGTATTTTCTCATTCGCCAGAGTTTTTCCCTTGCTGTTTGATCAAAAGCAAACCCTTGCGGTGCCGTCTGCAAAACCTCACGAAGGAGTGTAATTTCTTCGTTTAGCTTCTCTGTTTGCGCTCCGTTTGCTTCCTTAGAGGAACCTACCTGTATGTTATTCCACCACCAGTAGAATTGCACTTGCATCTTTGTTCAGCTTTCCTAGAATTTAACTTGTTTGGTGCTGGATGTACTTAAGTCATCTGTTGACAACAACTATCCTTTCTTAACTTGTATCTCCTTCTCCAACGTTTTTAGGTTCAAGGCCGAATCCAAGAGCAGCCTCAAAGCTCGACCCACGTGCGTAAAAAATGGGAAGAACAAGCGGAAAAGGTCAGCTCCTATTTTCTGAAAGGCCGTCTTGTCTGCCAACAGTTGTTTCTGGCTTTGCTCTTTCAAGACTGAAAAAAACAACTGCAAAAACAAAAACAATTGCAATCTTTCCGTAGAAGATGATGAGGATGATTGTGGACCACTCGAGGTTGATCCTGCATGATTCGCATTGGCTCCTCCACCTCCACCAACTACACCTACACCAGCGCCGGATGGTATTCCCAGTAGTCTTCTCGCTAAACTTATCACCACAGCCCTTTCAGGAAGTTGCGATTGTGATTGTCCCGCTAACGCTATTGATCTTAAATCTTCCGCAAAAGCCTGGAAATAGGAAGCGAAAAATTCGGAAAGTTCTGGAAAGTCTTTCGGAAAAGAGAACTTTGAGATTTTCCGCAGCAAAGTCATCAAGGTCTCTGTACATCGGCGTCGTGCCAGTGTACCATCTTCAGGACTACTTCCTAGACTGTCTAGTTCTCTTCTAAAAACCTTTAGAGGTAGGTTTTTGGTGCTCGCTTACCCCGCTTTTTATGCCTTTCTCCCTTAGGAGAGGCATAAAAAGCGGTAAGAAAAGCACCTTTAACCTACCCTTAAAACCTGTATGATTGCACGCTTGATACTCCCACGAACTTCCGTAGTTAGCCCGCCGTTGCTCGTGCCCAACGGCGCCAGCACTTGTCCCTCGCTCGTTTCATTCATCATCCGACTGCTTGCTGCACGATAACCCCAGTTTCGCGAAAGGGCGTTTTTACAACAGGCCAAAGTGAGAAATTTCAAATTGAAATCCCTCGTCTCTACGCAGTACAGTTCGAGGAGAAACAGGCAGAAGTCCGCTCTTGTATCCTCGCATTGCTGCAAGAAGGCGGCAGCATTTTTTCGAGTTACCCCATCAGCCGACGTCGAACCCAAGAGAGCTTCCCGCAAAAGCGGGAGACTTAGGTTCGCGGATGAGACAACTCCTGCCATGGTGATTCTGATTGTGGCGGTCCTTCTTCTGTTCTGATGTTCTTGGTCTCTGTCTAGAAGAACAAGTTTTCGTTCTTCTCCACGACCTTAGTGGCTCATTCTGCAACCAGCAGCAAGGAAGTGACTGGTTGCGCAACACCAAGTTGATGCTCCTCCAAAGAAGGTGCGGCGAAAGCGAAAACAAAGCGACGAGGACGATGATGAAAGCGGATCATCCATTTTTTCATGATCGCACATACTCGTGATAAATAGGACCAGATTAATTTTTGAAATTAAGAGACTAGACGATCAAAGTTTAACAAGGTCGTCAGTCTAGCTCTAGCTTCATCTTTTAAGATATGATTCTATCGTCTTAATTATTAATTATAAGTACATCCCTGGTCGTGGTGCGATGCATCAGCTCTTACCTCCTAAACTGTATTTGTAAAGAAATCGTCCATGGCATTCTAGAGTTTGGATGAGGTCGATGCGTCATAGCTACTTTCGAAAAATTTCATGCTGTTGCTGCCCTCTCCTTGCAAACTATTAGAAGTGGTCCTCAGCAGACAAGCTTGTTACAAGCGAACGTTGTGCGTGACCGAGGTTATACTTATACGACAGATTTTTTTGCTACATATCTTTTTTATCGGAGTCATTTTCAACATCAACTTCTAGTACACGTGAAGGCTTATAATGTCGCAGATTCATCATCAATCAGACACTTTTTGTTCATGTAAGTTTAGCTTTTTTCTCCTGTCATCATAGGACGACTAAGTAGTAGCATCAGAGTCGAGTAAAACAAGGCTGCTCCTTTTCGAACAATTGTTGAAACATCACGAAGCCTCTCTTTTGAGGTGGGTTGGTCGCCGCACAAAAGCAAATTCATCTGATTTCTGCATTTGCACTAGGTTTACAACAAGATAGGAGGTTCCTCTCGAACAGTGAGAAATGAATCTTCTGAATGATCATGAAGGCAGTTGTCAATCAAAATCAATGGCCATAGATATTTCTTTGTTTGCATTTCCAGTCTGCTGCTTTGATGAAGTCGATGCCTCTCCCGCTGAGCATCTCCGCTTCCATCGTCCTTTGGGGGACTGTCTTTTGCACGCAATACCCATTCACTAGCCTCTCACATTTCGCTTGCGTCCACTGATATTTGTTCACCTTATGGTCCATGCTCATTTTGTAGAAGTCGGTGCCGTGCTTTTTGTACAGTGCTTCTACTAGTGGCACTTCGACCTCATTCAGCTTGAGTTTATGCCGAGCCTCAGTGGGGACTTCTTCTGGAAAAGACTCGCCGATAGCGCATGCCAGATTGCTGTTGATCTGTTTTTTTTTGTGAAAAAATGTATGTGGACTTAATAAAGACTACAAGACTTTCGGGAAGTGTAGCTCCTCCTGTCACTGTAGTGTGTGTTCGATTTTTGAAAAAACTTCAAAGTCCAGTTGATACTTCCATGATCGAATGTCCTGCGATTGATGAACTTCTTTACCTTCTCCAAGTGGTGGCTCCAAGGCATATCCTTTCCCTTGACATGTTTTCTTAGGGTGTGGCACGCTATCTGCTTCGCGTTTACATTCAAAACCTTCTTTTTCCTTCTCGTGCACACCTGCTGATTTCTCCTCTTTCTTAGCGTTTTCGGCATTTTTTCTGATTCAATTTGTCGCTATAAATAGTGGAGACAGTGGTGGGAATCGCTTGGTAGCGAAAGAGAAAATAGATGAGGATGCGATTGCGCTTCGCGCTTATGTAGGTTAGGTGTGGGCCTACAACGAAAACTGGTAGACGTGAGCGGCTACTGAAGAGCCAAAACAAGTAGCTGTTGTTCAGTTGTAATCGAAGACTGAATATACTGAGAGCAGTGAGAAGAAGTAGTAGGCCGCTCTCTTTCAATCAACAAGCAAGGCCGTATTGAATTACTGTTGCTTTGAACCTAAAAAGCTACTTTGCCCAAGAAAGTCACTTGCACCCACCTGATGAAAAAAGTCATCATCTCTAGAAAAATTGCTCTGTAGGATCTTTGGCAATATCCATTTTTTTGCACAGTAGGTTATGGGTCCTGAACATCGAGCCCCGCCGGCACCTGCTCGACTCCGAGGATGATGGGTGACCTGAGTAGGCATCATGATCATGTATCACATCGCCTTCTTATCGATCTTCTGACCATGAGTGTCGAGAACGTTTCAGTATGCATTGATCAGGTGGACGAAAATGGATCGGAATAGGAACTCGGAGCAAGATGATCTTCCATAATCCCTTTTTTCAGAGGCTGGTGGGACATTGAACATTGAAGATAAAGTCCTGCTCCTGGTGATTTTTCTTATCTCAAGTATTCAAGAATACGACAACTGCAAAGCCGACAATGTTCTTGTCTAACTAGTTCTCGTGGATAACAAAACCGTATACCAGTGCTCGATCATCAGTAGTTGTGAGACTTCTGAGACCACACCCACAGGTATTTGTAGTCCGTCGTGCATAGTAAGGAGAAAAAAAAATTGTGGTAGGAAGATCGACACAATTGCGATTCATCTTGAAATCGAGTGACAATGATCATTCCGCGCATTTTTAAGCTCCCTTAGCTCCCATGTATTGGTATTGGCAATCATTGCTTATATATTATTGGCACAAATAAAGCCTGCTTGTGGGAGCAGCAAGATTCAGTAGGGATTATGTAGAAAAATTCGTGAAAAACGCCGTCTAAGATTTTTAATAAATATATCACAAATAACGATAGTAAGAGTAACTCATGTTAGTGCTGGTTTGATCTTTTCGATGGTAATCAAACAATGAAGATACAACTTACACGTTGTAGTAGTTGTACTTCTTAGTTCTTCAAAAATCCAAAGTACTGATAAATATATAATTCCTCGATTGTTCTTCGATAAAACATGAAGGTTCCCTTCTTCAACTAAGAACAAAAACTATGACGCGGGCCTCCTGTTCTCAGCGCGCCCTCCTCCAACTACCTCGTGCAACAACGAGTATTAGATGTAGGTTTTTGGTGCTCGCTTACCCCGCTTGTTATGCCTTTCTCCCTTAGGAGAGGCATAAAAAGCGGTAAGAAAAGCACCTTTAACCTACCCTTAAGAGTAATCTTGTGCGAGAGAATGGTTGTCCGCTTCTGACTGCGCCAACTGCAAGGTTAATGCCTTGTTATGCGCCTCCATTTCATCGGCTTTTCGAAGCAAATCAGCGAATTTGCTACTCAAAACTGCATTATTGTCCTGAAGTAGCTTTTTCTGCGCAAAGAGTTGCTCCACTTCTATTCTGTCTTAGAGCGAATAGAACCGCTCTTCACCCTGAGCGGCCTAGTTGTAATCCATCCTGACTTGAGACTCATCTTGACTTGAGACTTCTGGAGATCATGGGGGAGATGAATTAGGGCAAGCCTTAACTGTGAGCTTGTCTCTCCAGTTCATCGCTCTGCTGGTCTTGCTTGGTGGATGGAAAAAGAAGTTGTTTGTTGTTTTGTATTTGAGTCAGGGCATTAGAGAAGATCAAGATGATGTTGTATCATCAAAAGCTGAGTGGTGAAATTTGCAAGTATATGTCATAAAGAAGGAGGTCTATGATATTCTGAAACCCGCTACGCGATGTCTGGAGAGTTTACTTCACTCACGCTCTCACATGCCTGTAGTCATGCTGTCTAAGAAATACAAGGCTAAATGCGGCGAAGATGCATACTCTTGACTCAGACTTTTGCAGGTACTTATACATAGAGAACCCCTCTGAGATCAATGAATGCCAGCCATGGTACTTAGTCAAAAAAAACACAGTAGACACAAATACAAGACTCATGCTCTCATCTTAACACTAGCCTTTTTCTTCAGCGACTCTGCAGGACTTGCGACTGGAGCTGCGGGGGGACAACTTTCTGGAAGCTCGTCGGTTTGGTGAACGAGGTCTGCGCAAAGCTTAGATCAAGATAAGGACAAGGAGGAGAAAAATGTACATGGATGTCGAGAGAGGCCTCAAGGTCGGGCAAGTAAGCTCCTGATTTCAGCGTCTTCCAATGATCGGCAAGTCTTGTGCTGGGTGCTGTCTAGTAAAAATTGTGACAATTGTTTACTATTTCCTCCCTAGCGTTACGAAAAGCAAAAGGACATACTTACAAATGATTAGAGCTTCTTAACTGATGCAGTGTTACTCGCGTCCGCCAATATACGTCCCCTTATTGATGTCGCAACACCAGGTGCCATCGACGCTCGTGAAGACAAAGGAGTTCGCGCGGCCGGCGAGCGCTGAGACGGTAAAGGCGATATACTTGAAGAAGACGACGGTCTTCTCCTATTATTTCCTGTTGTCCTTAGTGCTAGCTTGCCTGAATCTATCTTGTTCAGAGGCATCTATTCTGTCGGGTTTTCTCCTCAGTTACGGAAATAGGAAAGGATCGAAGATGCCTCTCTCTCTCGTCAAGATGATTATGAATTAGGCCAAGCCATAAGATCGTCCCCGCTGTTCCTCCTGTTGTTCCTTTTGCTATACCAGCAGGGGTTGAAGATGATGCTAACCCCAATTCTAGATTGGCAACTTTTGTTGAGAGCTTCTCCAATTCTTTGATCGTTTCCCCCAAAAGCTTCTCTTTCCGAACTAAAAGCTGTGATTTCTCAGCTACTTGTGCGCGAAGAAGAGTAGGTCTTAGAAGCCGCGATCATGTTGATATATGATGAGATTCACCTAGGACTTTTCAAAGTCAGTATTTCTACGAGATCATGTTGACAGGGGGGGGGAGGGGGGGCTGTTCGGCCCTGAGTCATATATTTATAATATTCTTGAAGGATATTAACTTAAATTCCTGTCAAAATTTTTGCACATCAACGAGCAGATTGACTGATGTGCGCGACAACTATCAAAACTTCCTGAATCCGAATCCCATATGAATCTCCAAAACCCACAAGCCATAGAGTCTCCTCTTTGTGTGACTTGTTTTCCGATGCTTGAGCGCTGTTTTCGCTGTTTAAGGCATGACATCTGGCTTTCCATGCCAGGGCTTCTCCTTGAAGTACTGCCCGCGCCTCACGCCACGCTGTTGTCTCCCGCTCATGCGCTTCGGAATCTCGCTGAGCAGCAGCTAGCCTTTCCTCCTTTTCTCGTTCCAGTTGCAAAAGTATGAAGCAAGGAAGAGTACTATGATAACGTCGAGGGATGTAACCGCGAGATCGAAGTTGACTGTTTGCAACTTCCAAGGAGTAGGTACATTCTGACTCTTTCTTCTAGAAGCATTACTGGTCCTACTGTAGCTAAGTGCATTTTTGTTCACCACCAGTTTTAGCGACTTTAATTTCTTTCGAATACAACTGTAGACAAACTTGCAGCAATACCAACTGCATTTGCGCTTGCAGCATAAAAGTAAGTTCCTCGACTTTATCTTGTGCGACTTTCAGTCTGTCTTCCGCTTCCGCCAAGAGTTTTGTGCTTTTTTCCCTAGCACCTTGCTCTGCATCCAATTCTCTGTGTAGCGTCACCAACTGAGAATTTTGCTCTTCTGACAGGTGACGCAGTTGTGACAACTGATTCTCATGCGCTCTGTCCGTTTCTTGTTGCTTCAGTCTAAAATCTTGTTCTAACAAGGCCAATTCTGCATGCCATTTCAATTCGATGTCATTCTGCTGCGCAACAGTTAGCTGCATTTGTTGATCAGGAGGAACGGTAGAGGTAGGAGAACCAGAACCAGTACTCTTGTTGTCGTTTATGTTTTTGGTATAATTCGTGTCTTTCTTTTCCAGCTTTGAAGATGACAACATAATCGTCCTAGTTGTAGACGTACTGATGTCTTTCGATCCGGTCTTGCTATCTTTCGATCCTGCCTTGCTATCTTTCGACGAAACCGTCATAGTGTCCTTTGATCTCGGAGAAGAGGCCTTGCTCTTCGGTTCGACGACTTTAGAAGACGCCTTTGTTCTTAGACTGTCCAGTTTCGGACTCGCTTCTCGAGGCGAAGTGCTTGCGGATTTCAATCTGGGCGGGCTATTGGTCTGGAGACTTTTATTTTCCTTTCTCAAGGCGCGCTGACGTGAGATTTCTAGCAGCAGATTAGTTTCTTCCTCTGTTTTTTGATTCTCGGACAGAATCTTTTTTTCCGCTTCCAAAGCAGTAATTTTGGCTTCGAGTTGTTCTTTCTCAGCCTCAAAAGTTTCCCGTTCCTCCTCGTGGGCACTTACTGTACTCTTCAACCTCGCATCCGCCAATTCTCCTTCTTCACGCACCCTCGCATTCTCCCGACGTACCTCCGCAGATTCATCCCTGAGTTCTTCCACTTCCAGCATCGTCCGTTCCCTTTGAAACTTCACTGTCCTGATCTCCTCCTGAAGGGCTTCGGTTTGCTCACGCTTCTGCCTATCCTCTGTTTCCCGCAGAGCGATCAATTCTCGTTCCTTTCCTGCTAGTTGCTCTTTCAGTCCCTGAATGTCGGCTTGTGTTTCGCTTCTGATAAGATCAAAACGACGCTGGAGAGAAATATTGTCAGAAACAAACTTCTCAAACTTTTCCCGCCAAGAACGCTCTTCAAGTCGGTGCTCCTCGTGTAGACTGTCAAATAGCTCACGCAGCCGCTTGACGAGGGCTGGAGAGGAGGACAGTCCTCCTGTAGAAAGAGAAGACGTTAGAATCACAAGGCGAAGATGAAGAGATTGGAGGGAAGCGTAGCAGAAGCAGACAATTATGAAGAAAGTTGTACAAAAGGAATTTCATTTTCAAGTGTAGCACCTCCAGCGGGACGCTCTTTCGCTATGGGGTCGTTGGGGGAACTAGGGGTACAACCTACGATATCAAGACTTAACACGACACTACGACTACATATATCGGTGATGCTAGAGATTCAGATAAGTAACAAGAATGGTCTCTTAAGCTGCTGAAGAAACTCGCCTTTGCACCCGAACCCGCTGAATCCCGCATATTCAAAAGCAGCTTCTGCATCTTCACAGTGTCTCTTTTAGTAGCTCTCGCGATCTTGCGACTCATAGTTGATGAACCAGGTTTTTTCTTCGGTCTTCTTTTCTGTTTGTCTCGACGAGAGTCAGTACTAGATGCACTGGGTGTAGGATTCAATGCACTGTAATCATCATGTTGATCGTTCGATGAGCCGAACATGATAGCCGGTCCTCTTGACGTGCTGTCTTGTGCTTCCGGGCTGGACGCTGACATGGTCATCATCCTGGAAATTGAGTCTGCCTCATCTAGTCGCATACTAGTCACATCTTCGCCAACATTCCCATTCTCATCCTCATCTTCTTCACTAAAAGAATCTTCATCTGAAGATGTTGCTGTACTATTCCCACGACCAATACCTCCTCCACTAGTAGAAGATTGCTGCTCTTGCAGTGCCTCAGCTAGCGCTTGCTCAAATGTTTTCCTTGAATCTCGCCACTCTGCGACCTCAGAAGTGAGAGAATCGCAGAATTCGCCAACTTCCTGCTCCAGTCTATCTTTGGAGGCGCCGTCATCGTTCAAGTCTCTAATCTGTTGTCTAGCTGCAGCTAGTTGCGTATGCGCCGTTTCTAGCTCTACTTTTGAATTAGAGGTCCTTCTTGGAAAATAAATCAACATCGAGAAAAAAGTACCTATGGCATAGATTAAATGATCTTTATCTTATGCCTTAACCAAAGAAGCAACTTGTTGAGCGAAGTTGGTTCTTTCAGCTGACGCTTTCTGGAATTCCCGTTGTAGAGCAAGCATGTCATTCTCGGTACTCGCGAGGAGACGGTGAAGAAGAGGCGCAGCTGCTGCTTTGGCTGTCGATGCTCCCGATGTGGCTGTTGTACTGGTAGCAACTGGTTTTTTTCCTGATGCATTAGCAACTGTTCGTACTTGTTCTGTTACTTTTACTTGTTCAAGACCCTCTTCTTCATCCTCACTGTCAACAGACGCTTCTACCTCCCTAGATGCACGACCATCGCCACTACTCGTCGCATGACTCTTGACGAGAACGGACTCGCCCGCAGTATTAACATCTTCTCCAACAAGGTCTCCGTCTCCTCTAGTACCACTACCCTCACGACCAACAATAAAGTCTCCTGTACTACTAGTACTAATAGGCTCACATTCACCTTCAACAGCATCTATTGGTTCAGGTTCCTTCACGGAGGATAAACGTTTCGTGACCATTTGATGCAACTGGCCATGATCCTTTAGGACAGCAGCAACAGAACTCTTCACCTTCTCACCTACTTGTCTGAGCTTCTCCGCCAATTCGATGAGATGCTTTTCGTCTTCATTTGCATACGTTTTCATATTCGTAGTGGTCGTAGTAGAAGTGGGTATTTGTTGTGTTTCGCCTTCCTCCTCAACTGGAGTTTGAGTTTGTCCTCGCATTAGTTCTTGATCTTGTTCTTGTACCATCGTCACTCCAGATGAAGGTGGTGGAGCAGATGCTGCAGGGTCTACTTCTATTAGCTGCATCCTTTCAGCCGCATCTGATACCAATTCCCCTATCTCCTCATTCTCTCGATCGACATCGTCCTTGTCCTTAGGGGTTTCGAATTTGTCGAATTGGTGGAAGTATCTCTCATGATCTAGCATTTCTGTGGCTCCTTTTCCCCTTGATGAAAAAGGCTTCGAAAAAGTCATGAAAAAGTCATCGAAAACATCCTTAATGTTCTTCGTGTCCTCTTCTCCCACTCCCGTATGGCCTTCCATTTGCTCCACAATGCTGCTCAGTACCCCTCCAAGAACCGTGATGAGACGACTTCCGGCTGCACTTGAGGCTTTCCAAGTTTGTTTCTCAAGCTGTCTTTCCTTTTGTATCCGCTCTCGCTCGCTGCGGTCTTTCTCTGCCTCCGTCTCGGTAGAGCGCAAAAGGATTTGCAAGTCTTCAACGCGTTGGGTTGCGGATGTTAGATCAACCAAGTTAGTTGTAGGCAAGTAGAAAAAGATTCTGATTCATCGTTACTACACTACGAAAACCAACTACACTCATAACTCCAATCTAGCTACATCGGTCTCATGCAGTTTGCTGGTTACTTCCGCGAAATCCGAAGCTCCGCGACTCAGAGCCTCGGTTGCCGAGGCGAGTGAGGATTCTAGTTCCCCTATCTTTTTCCCACCCGTTTCCATAGCTTCTTTCAGGGTAGCGATTTCCGTAGATGAGGAGGTCTGGAGGGCAGTGAACCTGGATCAAGAGGAGAACACGAGGGATTAGGTAGTGGAGAAGGAGAAAATTGTTCGGGAATAAAAGATGGACCACAAAGTGGAAGAGTGAACGCCAGATATCGATGGATATGTAGTTGTACTTCGCTTCGTTTTCTTTCCCTTCTTTCAATAGTGTAGTTGTACTTCGCTTCGCTTTCTTTCCATTGTTTTTCGTGTTCATCATGCATTTTCTGCAGCATCGCGTCTAAACTTTGTCGCTCCTCCTGGCTCTTCACAACTCGATCCTCTTTCAGCATGAAACGCTTATCCAAGTCATGCTCTAGCCGTTCCACTTCATACTGGGATTAGAAGAGTGCGTGGTGTGCGCAGTCGAGGTGGATGTGGAAAGATACTTTTTCTATGATGTGAAATAATAAGAATTATAAATAATGCAAGGTCATAATGCAAGGTCATCGTGGTTGCGACACTTTCTTGCCGCGCAGCAGTCAGGTCTGTTTCCAGTTTCGCCGATACGCGTTGCAAATAGGCTATGGCCTCCTCTTTCTCCTTCAGTTTCATGCGAGTGTTTTCCTCGGTTTTGGCGATCTGGCTTGTCAGCTGTTTTACCATCTTTTCGCTATCAGCAGAGTTTGTTTTTATCTTCTGCTGCAACTCTGTGATTCGATTTTTTGATTTCTCCATCTGCGACTCCAGTTCTGACACACGCTGCTCTTTAGCAGCTAGTTCCGAGGCAGAAGCGCCAGCATCTTCAGCCCCACCTCCCGCTCCATATTTTTGGATCAAAGTTTCAGCTAAATCCAACTTTGATTGCAACTCTTTAGCCAAACCATCGAGACGTCTTTTTTCAGCTGCGACGTCCTTGGCGGACAAAATCGGACTCCTGGTATTGCCAGGTGATGGAGTTAGAAGATGCTAGTCGTGACAAATTGAGGTTGCCGGATTTCATTCGTTTAACGTCTACCAATTTTGAGGCAGTAATACGAGCATGCCACCTATAGATACCTAGAAGAAGTATACTTTTGCACGGGATAAGCCTACTAATGTGATCGAGGTGAAAGCTTCTAACCGGCTGTTTTACTTAGTGCTTTGAGCGCCGCAGGGCCTAAACCTTCACCAAAGGGTGAAAGCCAATCAAGATTTGCAGCACACCTCGAAGAAATATATTATAGGTCATCATATTTTATAAGAACAGGTATTTAGCTGCTTGAAAATGTTCTACCTGATCTATGTTCTAGTACAGTAGAGTTTACCTTAGTCCAAGAGAAATTAGAGAGTTACGATCATCCAAGACTACACCGCACGTAACGATCTAGCTCCCGGTGATGCTGCCATTGATCGCCTCTGTTGCGGTGATCCCGACCCTGAACGACGAGCACCCTTCTGTTGTTTTTCCTGCCGCAGTCGCTCTTCTTCTGCCTTTTTCTCCTGTTCTGCTGCCTTATCTTTTTCGATTTGCGCCAGCTTCGATTCTGCGGCTTCGAGTTGCGAGAGCTTCTCTTTGGAGATTAGATGAGGCGTTTGAGGGTCAAGAACATGAAGATAATTATAAAGTGTGTGAACAACGACGATGAAGCTACAACTTCCTTCTCGCGATAGTCTGCGGCCGTTATTTGTTCCCAAGCTACAAATCGGACGCGCGATCACAATGAGCCAACGGCATCTAAATAGTACAACATAACAGTAATGATTCCTTCTCCAACGCTATGCATTCCCGCTCTTTGGCATCCAACGCCAGGCTCCTCTCCTTCAAATCTTGTTGTAACTCGTCTATCTCCCTATGCTTTTTCTCCAGCGCACGTCTTAATTCGCGTTCGCTCTCGTTTCTCTGCCTAAGACTTAGAAGAAGCACGACTGACATCAGTAGCGCTTGTATTCCTCCAGCAACTTTCTTATCATGATCTTTTGGCAAAGAAAATAAATGCAAATGCGATGACTTCGATTATGTACAACTACTGACAAAATCTTCGTCCATTTCGATTACCGAGGATAAAACTCTGTCAACATAAAAGATCTGCTTCCCGCTGTTGCGAATGTCTTTTCAAAGCCGATGTGTGGGCGATTTTCTCTGCTGTATCGACCCCCTTCTCAAAGCCCATCTGGTAGTGCCTCAAAAGCAACCTCAATTTTTGTCCGCCTTGCTCCAATCTCGGCAGATGGCGTAGTAACCACGGGATTGAGGAAGGGTCGCGGGCACTGGCATGGTCCGTAGAGCCTCTAGAAGCCTGTTCTGATTGGCTACTGCGAGATGCTGATATACTCGTAGTTGTTCCCTCTATGTCACTTGTCATGTTCGTATTCTTGGACACACCAGCAGAAGAGGAAACTGAAGAGATCGGATTTGTCTTATCCCTTACTCCTCCAGAAGCTACACCAGCACCTTCAGGCCCAATCGTATTTGACGCTGAAGCGGGGCCTCCACTATATGCAGTTGCAGCTACTTTCTCCCTTGCTTGTCCTAGTCTGGTGAGCTCATGATTGTCTAGATCGATCAGCAACAACTCGCGTGGGTCCTCCAGTGCGGTGAGCATGGAAAGGTAATCACCTTCGAATTTCCTCACTTGCTCTTCAAAGCCTGTCCAGAGTACTCTTAGAATAGACCAACACAACCCCTTCCTCGTACTAGTAGACCTGCTCCTGAAAAATGCATCTCTCTTGAAGAGAATTCTCTTACTACTTCTTGCTTCAGCTTCTATTATCAGTTTTAGGAGAAGAAACTTAACCTTCTGTGTCTTCTAGTTTCGGCCATCGCAGTTTCCCGCGAAGTCAAGGACTTGCGAGCTCGACTCAATAAAGCTGCAGAGGAGGACGAAGGAGCGGGAGTTATAGCGCCATCAGCGGGAGAAGGGACTTAGAAGAAGCGCAGTCCCATCTGTTTCTCCATTTATTCCTGCATGAACAGAACTAGTCTTCTGCTCTTCGATTAGCTCTAATAATTGTGGTGGAGCCGACCTAACTAGAAAAAACACAGACCAGAGGAATACTAAACAAGTTGTAAGTACTTACACCCGAAGCGGTACCCTCTATTTTTTCGCTAGATGAACATTACTAAGACTCCGCCCGGTGTTCAATATCTGATTTTTGACGCACGATAGCATAACTCCCACCACCAACGACGGCCCCATTATCCCCACCGGCATCATCCGTCCCACCTCTTGGCGTTCCTCCCGTCAATGCCCGAAGAAGTTCGTCTTCTCTGTCTCTCGAAGTTTCCAATTGTGTTTCTAAGAACTCTGCTTCCCTGAGCTTTGCATCAAACGCTTCTCGTAACTGAGCAAGCATACTCGTCAAATGCTGGTGTCCTTGCGATTGTGCTGTCGCGACGAGAGCAGGTCCCGAGGTGGACATTATTTCCCTTCGTGTTCCACCACCGCCTCTTGTGGCAATCGTCGACGAAGATGGGAGTGAGGTAGGCCCTGCCATCTTCTTATCGGGACTCTGAGTGTTCAAAGAAGACAGGAGCTCGACAGGAGCGCCCGACCACATCATTTTGCTCTACAAGAACTTACATTCGATGTCGAGATTGGTTTTTCAGTTTATTTTGATATTAAAATTAAAGGTGACGTTCTACTTGTTCTTTATCTTCGCTCATAGATAGTGCAACTAGTACCGATGTTGCGACTATAATGGCTTTGAATTTTTCATCTCTTCATTTTTTACTTTTCTCGGTTTAGTAATTGTTTCAACTACTTACATAGCCTTCGTCCTACTTCGATCCTCTAATTCTGCAGGTCGTTTTTTGCCAGATCATGGACACCAGCAAACAAGTCTACCTATCTTCGCTATCATCTTCCCAGGAGCCCTTGAGAAGTTTTTGTCCAGAAGATGGGTTTAGGTTTATTTCTTCATTTCTTATAGCCTTTTTTACATTCAACTTATCTGCAGGGTCGTTGCGCCCTCGACGTTTTATCAACGTTCATGTTGTAGTTGTATGTCAACTCATCTATATTCATTCAGCTTCATAATCTCATCGATCCGTGTTTCATTACCATGACCCCAGGGACTTGCAGAGCCTCGCGGCAAATGCACATCCATTTTTCAACTTCTTCATATGTTGCGCAATCATCCGTCAATCTTCAATGTTGACTACGTCATAGTATTATGTTGAACATTTGCATTTACAACTACAGGATCAGAGGACTACAGGTTCAGGTATATTAACGTTCTTAGCTAATCGGGTACTAAACAAGTTCTATGACAGATATCACACAGTGAAAATAATATCAGTCCTCCTTCTACACGACAGCAATCCAAGTCGTGTAGAGACAGAAAACTTCATGTTTTTACGGGTGAAACTGATGTTGAAACCTCTAAAACCGTTCTCTTGATGTCGCAAGCCGCGGCTCGACTTCATACTGTGAATGAAGATGATGACTTTGACGTTGATGAACAAACTAGTACGCAGAAGGAGTAACTAGTTGTACTGGAGATGTAGTTTCTCACTCTTGTAAGTGAAGCTCCTAGTGCATTCGTTTCAATTCGCGGTCGCAGCGAATTCAAGTACTCGCTTTTGCCAGAGCAGGGCCTACAACAACACCATTCGCCATCATCTACGCATCATCCACGACCACCTCCTCTAGAAGCGCCGGCTACTTACTTAAATCCATTCGTCATCATCATCGTCATCGAGTTCGAAACCGTCCGCGTCGGCGCCTTGAATTTCAGCGAAATCGACGCGATAGCGGAGAATACCACCAATGCCGCCGAATCCCTTCACAAATTGGTTGCCTTCTTGCGATCTATCAGTCACAAACTCCAACGTGCAACCAAAGTTCTTGAAGTTGTTCACCTAGCAGGTTTATATAATTGTAGTTGGGTTGCAGAGGATCAGGTTCACAAGTCGGTAAATACGATAGAGAGACACATCAAAAATCGTTCATACATAGAAGAGCAGTCCTTAATGATGCGAGGGAGTTGTACTCCTCAAAATGATTTAGTACGTGAAAACAAAATAAATGTGAACAAAGTTGTACAATCCATTCGGAAAACGGTGTTTTTTCGAGGACTTCCAAGTCTGTCTGCCCTTCTTTCAGAAAGTCTTTGTTTTCCTCTTGCTTTGGCGTCTTGTAAAGTGTATGGCTTATGTCGGTCACTGGATTCCGCAACACGTATCGCATAAGCTATATGGTGAGTTTTTGGAGTGTGTGTGTGTGTGTGGATGATGATTATGTCGGATGCAGGTGAAAAAGATGAACTCGGTTCTTTGTTCTTGTATCAAACTCCTACTCCTACCCCTACCACTAAAGAAACCTAAACCTCCTTTTCTCCTATACATAGGTGACAAGTAAAGAGTACGTCCAAGTTTTCCCAGACGATGAGTGTTTCCACTGCTCCCATGTTCAACCCCTCCACCGTTTCTGATACGCCAAAGCACACCTTACCCGTATCTTGCGCAATTTCCTCCATGAAGCTACAAATCAGCTTCTTTTCTTAGAACTTGGTGAGCGCAGAAATCTATCTTGGTGAGCATCGATCTTCTTGGTGCACCTGTAGTTGACTCTAGTAGTCGTTCCTGTTGTCACAAACAGGAGGCAAGGCCAAGATAGATCTGCTGGAGTGAGAGTGAAGATGGATTTCGATTTCCGAACAAAAGCCTTAATTTTCTTGCAGAAACTTAACATTTCTGAGAGTCTCTCCGGCAAGTTCAATCGCCTGATTGAAGCCGTTCTCGCCACCGTAGGAAACATCCACAACCTTGAGCACAACTTCTGCGAGTCGACCATCGAACAAGTCGGAAGCTAACAAATCATTCTTAAACTCGGCGGAACCTGGAGCAGGAGTGACATTGAGTATTCGTTCATCTTATGGCTCTATTACAAAAATTTCGAAAAAGCTTTATTTCTTAGAAGGATGCATCATTCAAGGTCGTAACAAAATCTAGACGAAAAGTCTACCTGCCAAGACTAATCCTTTGACATTTGGCCTGTTGTCGGAGATGAACATCTGGACTGCTGTTTCTGCTACTTTTCTGACGTAGTTGTGTCGCTTCTCCAAACGCAGACGTGCGAAACGCAAGGCTGACTGACCTCCGCGACCGTGCTTTTTCGGCAAGTCTACTGAAAACTTGTGCAGCACTTCTCTCGTATTGCCACATAGTGTGCCGTAGAGGGAGCCGTTACCATCCATGACGACGAAGCCAAATTTATCGTCATTTTCCAAAAGACTTTGCAGGTCTTCAGTGTGAAACTTGTTGTCGCACAAATACAGTGAAGTATTGATGGGTCGAAACGGCTCGAAATCAATCGTCACTTTCTTCTCCTTACCTGGTCGTGGGATCATGTGGGGGTCCGTCGGTAAGCAAGAGCAAAAATCAAGTTGACGAAATTTTCATAATTACTCAACGAGGTGGAGATCATCGTCAACTACATACGCGTGAAACTCATACATCAACTCCTGCAATCTTGTTGAACAAATTCTGCACAAGTACCTTCCTCAGTGATTATTTCACCACAATAGATGACAAGCCCATTCGGCGGCGTTCTGTTGTACAGCTTCAGTCTCTGCTGTGTTGATGCGATTGCCCCGCACACTGATAATCGATTCACTCGACTCTGTATCGTTGGTTGTGGTATGGTTGTTTAACTATTATGGTACTAGTCGAAGTTGTGCAGTTGTCGTGACGAGTATTATTGTTGTACACGATGAGGTGTATGTGTCATGGTGCCTCTTTTGTAGCAATACGCGTCTATCATGTATGAGGCCGTTCAGTGAAGCGGTACCTCCTAAGGAGAGCCACGACGCCGATCGTAAATAAAAGTTTGAGCAACCACAGTTCTTGATGTATTGGTTGATATGACTAGTGTAATGTTGCTGTATGATGATTTCTTCCAGTTGTAACTAAATGAAGTAGAAGCTACAAGAACAACAAGAACTACAGTGTATTTCGACAGTAGTAGTAGTAGTAGTAGTGTACCCATTCGAGAGGTGTAATGTTTAATCTACCTTAATCCTGCTTGCCGTACTAGCTTCTTGCACAAGCATCTGTGAGTATCGATTTATATCATCTCCAGGTGGGATGATTAAAGTAATCATGCTGGTTCCATTTCCTCTTGCTGCATCAAGGGTCTTTATCAACCGCCTGATTTTCCACTGGTGGATGGCAGTCTCATGGGTCTCGTCTTGGGAGGCCATTTTCGCTTGTTATTAAATAGTGCACGAATTTAAAGTCAAATAAAGTTACTTGAGGTTGAAATAAATTGATAGTTGTTTATTTTAGTAACTCGTGGTCGATGTTCTCAAAAAGGCGCCAATGTAGTATTAAGATGCCCCTTCGACGTTTACCTATAATTGAGTTAGCGACAGACTCAGACAAGGAAAAAAGATGAAACAAAACTCTCCTTTGTGAAAATGAGGCAAGTCTTCATCTATTCGCCTGAAAGACTGCAGTAATTGTGGGAGACACTACCTAGTAATAGCAGTTTGCTCTATTGGAGGTAACTTCGTTAACATTAACTCAAAACTAAGCTTGTAGTAACAAAAGACAGCATGACAGCTTGTGAAGAGAACCTCCTAGAGACCAAGCCACCAGACTCTTCTGAAGAGAGTACGATCAGCAAGAGAACGTGTGGATCACAGTTTTGTTCAAGATCGTTGTCGCTGGTGCAGTTGAAACTTTCTTACACGGTTGAATTGTAGATTGTAGTCTGGCTTTCATGACACATGATTCATCATTCCTCACTTGTGATCGTGGATTTTGACATCTTCAGCGACCGGGGAGCAGAGCAGGAAAAGGATCAGTGACGCAGATGATCATCTTGTTCATGGCAACAAACAACGAGGGCACAGATTAATCTACTTGGGGAGAAAGAACAAAGCGTGGCACAAACAACATGCGTGCTGTGCTGGTGCTTCCTGATACAAGACTCTTCTTTACATTTCTATTGGAGGAGTACAATTACAGTTCTTGTCATCATATGCAGCTTGGCAACTGCATGACCCCACACCATTGGTAGTGTTGCTTTCGGCCGGTTCTGAGTAGATAATGTCATGTTGAGTGTATCGCCAACTACATCCAATTAATATGTTTTTTTACCTCTAACAATTGTTAATTTCACTAGCAAAACAGGGATGACAAAACTTCACCCGTGCTTTCCACGAGACACGAAGCAACAATCTGTACAAGAATTTAATTACAACATGATCACTACTACCGTAGACTTTAACGTCGTCGCGCGACTCATATTCACTCGCAACTACCACTAACAGTAACAGTATTCTCGCGTACCAGAAACAAAGTAACTAAACATTCTATTTCAACATCTTGTTTGCCACCTATGTATTAGAAACGGTAACTAATTCAAATCTGCTTTGACTAAGAGTTCAACTTCGATGGAGTTCTGCTTTGACTATATTAAGAGTTGTTCTGCTTTGACTTAGATAGAATATCTCGACTTTGCTGCTTACGATTCTTGCTTTGACATTTGACTTTTACGGTTGCTTGAGAGAGTCCACATTCTTCCTTGTGTTTGTTGAGAGACAGAGTTCTCACTTGCTTGACCTTGAGTTGGAATTAATACTAGAAGCAGACGCACCACCTTGTCTATCTCATCTGCTGTGCATTCATTCTTCGACCACTAGGTAGATGAAGATGATCTAGATGTAGATCTAACTAAGTACTTACAAAAAGGAATAGGAAAAAAATCAAACATGATTCATCGTTGATTCCATTTTCTTGTTCCACCCAGTTGTAGTTCCAAGAGGCGGAGCCTAATGTGGCGCCTAATGCAGTGGCCCTCCCTTCTCGAAGCCATCTGTACACCACCGATCTGGGTTGACTACCTTGAATCCACAGCCCTTGCTATCCTCCTTGTAGTTCAAACAGCAACTCCAACAGAACCGTCCCTCGGTTTCGTTGTAGGCCCACGCACCGGGATGGAAATACTGCTTGTATCTGGAGTGGCAGGCAGGGAAAGAAGAGGTTTGCCACTAGGAGAGCAGACGATCATGATTCTAGCGAATCTAGCTGGACACACAAGATCGTCTTCGTTGTCAAAAAGTCAAGAAGGAAATCGCACAATCAGATAAATAATTAATCCTAGTACAGCTACAACGAACTCGTCCTAAGTAGTGGTCGTACAAACTCAGTAAAAAAAAGTAAATCTAAAGATTAAGATACCTCCTATCCTGTGTGGTCAAGCTGCAATTGGGTTTGAACGACTCGTGTTGAACTGGAAATCGTTGAAGCTTCATATCGCTTTGCAATTTCTCGTCCAAGAGTCGTTGCGCCATAGCTTGCAACCGTTCCTCACTAACACCAGGAAATTCTACTGCAAGCTGTTGATTTTTACATGGTGTCTGCTGTTCAATCGGAATACAAACAAGGAGGCTATAGTTCTAGTCGTGCTCCTGTTGTAAAAGATGATAGATAGTATTTTTCACAAGGTCCTGTACCGCTGGATCTGGTCGAGCGCAAAGAAAAACATAGAGACAAAGGCCAAAATAAATACCTCGTGTTTGAAGAGATCTTTTAGGTCTTGGTATTCGACTTTTTTGTCCTCGATATCTTTGTTCTTCAGGTAATATCGCTCAAGTAACGAGTCGTACTTCTCGTAGTTCACTTTCTCGTCCACCACATTCATCCGCAGCCTTCTCTTTTCCCGCTGAAGAAACGTCCGCTCAGATTGTGGGAGTTAGAGAGAGTGAGCAGAGGCCAGAGGGATGGAGAAAAAGACGAATAGAAAGAAATTGAAAGACGAATAAAGAAAGAGACAAGAATGCTGGAATTGGAAACATTTTCATCATCCGCTATACTTGAAGATAGATGCTACTTGTATTTCTACACGACCTACTCACCAACGGCATGTTTTCCAAGTGCTTGAAGTTGAACAAGATCAAGATCAAAAGCAACTCATAATTTATGTCCTCGGGATTATGTGCGGCCGTGCTGGCGTCAAAATCTGGCCAATCTGGGTTTATACAGTGCGCCGGAAGCCCTCTTTCGTCCACTGCGTTCCACCACTTGCCTACAAATTTTCCTATAGGCCCTTTCCCTGTAACGGCTACTACGTATCTGAGGTGGAGGTGGGCCTCTGGGTCATATCTAAATTTGTTCAAGTGAATGGCTCTGGTATTTGGTAACCTGAATTTGATCCTAAGGGAAAACAAGAAGAGAACCCTTAGGATCAAATTCAGGTTACCAAATACCAGAACCATACATCAAGGAGAAGGAACAAGTGCTTTAGATAGGAGTACAATACAATACAATTACATTTTTTTTTTTGTATCGCGAGCGAGTTCCGTGAAGAACCTGCCTGCATATTTTCCGCGTAGACACAAAGTACAGTGCAGACTGCCTACATGGCGTCATCGTAGATTTCGGTACCTTATCCTGTCTGCGATTTGCTCCTCTGTCATATGTTTACTATTCTTCATCGTCTTCGCGTCCATTAATCCGGCTCGTATCTGTGGATCAGATTCAGAATTGAATTGAAAGTAAATACCTTGCACAATGTGGCTGCTTTATCCGATACTCCTTGAACATATTATGAGTCTCAGAAGATCATCATCATCGGCATGATCATCAAACTATGACTGAGTTGTACCTTCGACAGCGTCCTCTTCAGTTCTCCTTGACCTGAGAATTGCGAAGACCCAGCTAATTTCGACAGCCTAGGTTGTGCAGCAACTGACGTATTCCATACATCTCGTCTTGTGCCTAAAAGGATTAGAGAAAGTTACTCGGATTTGTAGTTGTAGTTGTAAGGGAGGGCTCTCGCTCTAGGTAGTAGTTCGAATGCATCTATGAAAAATGAGTGTGAGGAAAACCAAAGAGCTTCCATCTAATTTCTACTTGAGACGCCAAATTTGCCATAATATGTTCCCCCGCTTTGATTCGTGCACAGCCTTTTTTGAGCGAGTAACGCTAGCTGGCACATCTCCGGTATGGAAAACCTAGAAGTGGTAGTGGGACGTTATCAATCTATCTTGATACTTAGTATGGAGCTCCTTAGTAGTAGTCCTAGTGTTCACAAACAGTATGGAAAACCTAGAAGTGGTAGTGGGATTAGTATCAAGATAGCATGTCAGGAATCTTCATGTCGACCGTTTCTCAAGATCAATGATGCAATTTAGCAAAAAGTACCTTTTCCACTTGCGTCAATGTGATTTTGTCGGATTTACATGACCCAACTTGGAACTTCGGCTTTTGTTAGACTAACCAGCTCTGGTGAATGCTTGTTGTTCTCAAGATGAAGATGAACCGACCCTCAAGCTAAGTAAAAATCAGTATCACATTGACGTATCAATTGTATTGAAGAAAGAGAATCAGATCAAATACTTACTACAGTGCAAAATAAACCAAAAGCCTTAATTGAGAAAAGTTTTTTCGGGTGCTGCTATGCCCAAATGTCTAGTTCGGTTGTCTATGGTTGCTCCAACTGTCGCGCCGTAGGTGGCCAATTTAGCGGCATTGGACACCGTCAAATTGGTTATTTGTCGATCCGTCATCTTCGACGAGTTTGTTACAACTGGTACTTGTTGTTGTAGTACTGTAAAAGGTTTGACTTACTCGGTCGTCCCTTACTACAGTTACTCGGGCGTTAGAGGAGGTTGTACTAGTTGTAGTACTTCTAGTACTAGCTTCTTGTACTTAACCTGCTTGATGAGGTTGTTCGAGGATGTATTCTTTGATGGGTTAGTTGGAGTGGCGGACTTGCTTCACTGTGAAGATGGGTTGCTCGTTGTGGCGAAGGCGTCAAAAAGGAGGTAAGGAGGAGGTGCCGTTGTTAAAAATACCGAGGGAGACGTTACTGGTCGTTGTTCTTGTGAAAATTCTCATGTAGGCGCCAAGATTGAAGATGTGCCAGTCCCCTCGCTCTAGTTCGAGGATAGACAAACGCCTACTGCTACTTGAACCACTTCTGAGGATGTTGTCCGAAAAGAACGGGGATGCTTCTTTTAATACGTAGACGTGAATGTAGAACTCTTCGAGTTCGAGTTCATCTAGACGAAATTATTGTTGTGTTTCCACTGGATCATGCACCTCTATAATCTCAGAAGTGTACTTCTATCTCGATCTCCGCAGAGTATGGTAGTTCTCACAAGGAGCTTGTTCGCCCTACAACTGCAGTCTATTGTCCTGACCACTCCAAGTTGTACTTCAGAAGAACCTTCTCCTGATCCCTTCGAAAATTGTATTAGGAGAAGGTTCTTCTGAAGACTTGTATGACTACTAAAAACACGACTATACTTGTATGACTACTACACGGATTTTCTTCGACGACGTAGTAGGCGACAAGAGCCACTCTTGTATCCTTTCCCACGCCAGGCTGGTCCTCGAAGGCGTTTCGCGCCTTCGAGAGATGCTGGCCACAGCCAGGCTGGGAGGCGCTAGACGAAGCGCGTTCGAACGGTTCGATCACAAGCTACTTCTTGAATGTTCTTCTAGATCATGACTGACGAGTGTCGGCACGTTCATCTGCTTGATTTTTGTAGTTTCTGTCATTCTACAACTACTGGTTTCTACAGCACAACTAAGCCCTAAAAAAATCAAGAATACTCAACTCTGCATGTATTCATCACATTCCTCATGTTCATGATCTTTCTACCCCGAGTTTCTACTACCCTAGATGGAGATGTTGTACGTGAATATTTTACTCACCAAGAATACGTACGTTATTTTGGATTGAAGCAAGAACGCTGGGCTTGTCTGAGGGAAAATGCGTGTGGGCACCAGAGGGGAAGTAGTACTTCTCTATTCCTACGACAGTGTCCACAGGAAGTAGTCGAGATACAAGTTTTGAATAACAATCGCTATCGCACAGGTCTTGCTCCTCTCTTTACGAAACGAAAGAACGATCATATTTTTTGTTGTAGTACTGGGATTCTTCTTGTTGTGAACGTGAAGATTGAAGATAGGTAGTGTATCAATTAACCGAGGACAGAACAGACTGAAACTGAGAGGAGCGTGCCTAATTATCTTACCAATTATACTAACTACAGGTCAGTAATGTATAATTACCTTAGTAGTCAGTAATGTATAATTAGGACTAGTGAGTACTGACAAACGGGACTAGTGTTATACATTACACACAACAATCGACAGAATCGAGCGAGTTGTCACCGACTAAAAACATCAGTAGAGTGAAAGACCGAGTCATTTTTTACATCACCGACAGCCTTGAAGATACAACTCTCAGACAACGTACGTACTTTGCCACATCGTAGCGCCTGGCTTTCATGATCATGAGTGAAGATGATCCACCCATCTAGTACTTCAGTCATGTTTACTTTGAATGTGTAGTTTTAAATAAGTAGTACAACCATGTTGTGGTCGTGGACGAAGAATCTACTATGTTGTGTAGATGTAAATTTTTTGGTAGCCTAAAAATCTTCCTCGTCTTGGTAATGGTAGGACACCCACGACAGCAGTATTCTACAATTATAGTACTGGCAGGCAATCATCCATCTTCCTTTCAAGCAAACCGTAATTTCTTTCTTCCGCAGCTACTCCTGCTTCGCACAGCAAGTTGGCAAAACTACGAACCACGACTGCAACTACAACGACTTTTGAACCGATGATGCACCATATTCATCTTCTCTACGACTTATGCATCGAAGCCAGACAAACGAAAAACGCTAGTATCAATCTTGTCTGGAGGGAGCGAGTAGATTCCATTTCGAAGAAGATCATGATCATGTAAATGTAAACGTTTTTCAAATGGCAAAATGATTCTTCCACCCGCGATCTGGTCATCATCACAATCATTATAAGTCAAATTTTTCGTCGTGTGGCTTCTCATTAGTTGCAGGCTGGTCCCATACTTGGACAGCTGCGGCTGCTGCACGACTGCGCTATACTAGTACCGCACATTACAGGCTGCGCACTACAGGCTGGTTACCTCCTACTTCTATACTTCTACAACTACTGTATTTGAAAGAGGGTTTGACTATTGGACACACGTAGAGCAGAGGGTTTGACTATTGGACACACGTAGAACCATTGCCTTATAAATATATAATGTTCCTACTTTATTATACATATACGTCTTGCAAGAGGATACTTCATCCAAAAACCTGATTCATCTAGACATTTATACTACTTGCAAGAGGATACTTCATCCAAAAACCTGGTGAATACTTCCTCACACACTAATTCATTACCCTGGTAGTTTAAGAAATGTAGTTCTGCATTATTCGGGAAGAAACACCACATAATCACGAAAAGACCATCAGGTCATAGAAGAAGACAATGATTCTTTTACGGCTCATTTATTTCCACGACCACGCACCTAATATGAGTAGTACTGTAGTAATTCTATGACGTTGTATTCTTGCAACAGGACCCATCTTCCAATGGATCATTGTGTGTCACAACGAATCGAAGACGAGGTAGAGTCTTCTACTGGCCGATCGATCACATCTTGGCTTGGCCTGGGGCCTCCAAAGGCTGCAACTCCGCCAGCTCATCAAGCGGTAGATACAGCTTGCAAAAGTTAGATGGGTAGAGCATCAAGAAGTGCATGCAACATGTAGTTGGAGCTCCTCATGATAAAGACAAAAAAAGTAGTAGAGAGGACGCGGTGTCTTTGTTGGCGTTTTCAACATCAAGAACTACTTCGTATACATTGAAAGGAACTGCATGATTAGTATGAGACGTAGTTGTTGTAGTGTTCATGAAGATGCAAGGCGAGGGGACAACTGTAAGACCAACTAGACAAAGAGGGAAACTAGTAATTGTGAAAGAATATTTATCTAGACGCGTCAGCTTCGTCTACACCTTATTTTACGGCCTTAAGCAAATCCCCGCCAACCTCGATCCACCCGTCGCCTACATCTGTGCCACGCACAGCGTATCCACCCTTTAAGACCAACGCAACCTCCTGTGTACCAACTTCAACCGTAGCCTGCAGTAAGTTTTGAAGTCATCTGATGGGGGTCATCTTGATGGCCAAAATTTTCTATCCTTCCAAATCCAACATGAAGAAGAAGACTACAATGTCTGTGAAGAGAAGTGGTCTGGACGACGCAACAAAATTTCCAAATACCTTTTCCTTGAGGTCCATTTCGGTGCAATACTCGACTTCTTGGGATGGATCGGCTAACTTATACACCTTTCGACCCGCTCCTGCTTGATGTGGCGCATCTGCCATCTTCGGATTGAATTCCATGGGAACCAAGATTAAAGCTCAAGGTCGTGGTGGTGAACAAGCACCATATCTTCAGGTGTAGGTGGGTGTCTCAAAATTGAACCTATCAACCAGGTAGATACTAAGAGATGAAAGTGGGGAATGAAAGAAATAATTATGTTCATATCTACACGAACAGTTGCTGCATATGTTACCGGATAGTCTAGACTAGATTTACAACCTCTTGACAGTAGCAGACGCTACTAAAACTTCAAATTCTTTCGCCATAAGACTATGCACAGCTTGAACGCTGGCTCCGCGGCACACGTAAAGATGTCAAACCTGTGTATTGGTGTAACGTTCTTCATCACGGCTTTCATGAGAAACACATACACAATTCACCGAGAAACTTCGTTATGGAGTTGTATGACTGTGAACTAAAGATGCAACTGGGTACAAAAATTGTTTCTCACTCATGATCAGAGGAAACCAGCACAAGCACAACATAGAAGCATGACTAGTACTTGCACATGTCTTGATTGTAATCGACCCAGAACTGCAATTCGGTCTTGTCTGTGCCACCGACCATATCCCTTGTGATATCTCGGAGCATCTGCGTCCCAGCTGGAGATAGGCGGTTGAAGTAACCGTCAACGCCCCAGTGCGTCTGCAATACTTTGTTCGCTGCCTCCATACCGTTCCTCCAGGCCTGAGACATTGAAAAGAAATGAATATCAGTTCAGAGGTTCAATTGAATCTGATCCCTTAAATTTAGAATTCGAAGGTCCTCAAGGAAGTACATCATGTGTAAAAGAACAACTTCAAGTTACTTGAACTCTCACCTTGCAACTACATGCCAATGTTGTAAATAAACAGGAACTTTTTCGACCACCTAACAACTTCATCTTCATCAACTAGCGCAGGTGTAAAAAGAATCAAAACTTAAACAACTTTGTAGAGCTTCACCTGGGCGTCTGTGAAATATGCATGCAGCCTCGAGTCCATTTGGGCTGGGTCGGTTTTGAAGAAAGGCTTTCCAGAGCCCTGAGATTTCGCATTAGAGTAGAGTCTTGAGAAGCAGAGGAACCTACGATTCTCGACCAGGAGCAATTTCTTAATAACTCTAACTGATTCTATCTTTATTTTGCTTCAAAGATCATCTTGATGTAGAAGTAGAATGAAGAAGTTGTTATTTGTTTACTACTAGGTTCTTGTTTTTATTAGATTAATTAAAAATTTCTTGTACTTACTAGCCTTAACGATAAAGACGATTTCTGCCAGTTCCGGGACCCGAGCGATGTCATATTGAGTCATGAACATCTGTTCGCCCTCCTTTGCTTCACCTTGCGACGCTCCAGTGAGCGCATAATACGCAGAGATGGGATCACACATTTTTCAATTTCTTCAGTCTACGTTCTTTACTGGGTGGAATTTAAGAACAAAGTAGTCGTGCTCTAGAAGTAGTTCTTTCCGACATCATTGATGCTCCTGTGGAGGGACAAGTATATGTGTTATTCGACCTGGCACTAGCTTCATACAAACATGCTCAACACCGTACGTCTGCGTACACGTCATCCTCTGCAAGCATCCTTCTCGGCATCAACACCGGTTCGGCATCGGCGGTCAGAAAAAAAAAATACTCACTCGTCTTCACAGGAATTTCAATTTCTCACTGATTGAACATAATTTGGATCTCGACTTCTCTCGCGATAGAGACGCAGATTTCATCTCTCGTCTTTACCGATCAAATACCAACTCATCGCAAGAAAGAAGGAAACGCATCCAACAGAAACTTTAACTTTCCAGTCGAAAAAATATAACATTGTCAAATAAAAGGAGAATCAGCAGCCTGAGTCTCATCATGTCATTTTTTAGTAAAAGCCATAGCTGGTGCCATGAGCAGATCTTTTTCAAAGTAAGTACATTGCATTCGTCCAAGCTCGTCGTCGTCATGCATCTCGAGAATAAATGTTCTACTTTTTAGCACTACATACATGAATCTATTTACTTATAAAGTTTTGCCTTGGTTTTCTTTTCTTATTTTTGATTTTGATTTCTCTTTTTTGATTTTGATTTCTCTTTTTTGATTTTGATTTTTCTTTTTTGATTTTGAATTCTCATTTTGAATTTTGAATTTACATTTTGAATTTTGATTTTTCTTTTTATATTTTGAATTTACATTTTGAACTTACATTTTGAATTTTGAATTTACATTTTGAATTTTGATTTTTCTTTTTATATTTTGAATTTACATTTTGAATTTTGAATTTACATTTTGAATTTTGAATTTACATTTTGAATTTACGTTTTGAGTTAGGCGCTTACGTTTTGGCCCCTAGCCTTCGAAGTTAGGACATGAATTTTGATAGTTAGGCCATGAATTTTGAAAGTTAGGACATGAATTTTGAAAGTCAGGACATGAATTTTGAAAGTTAGGACATGAATTTTGAAAGTTCAGACATGAATTTTGAAAGTTAGGACATGAATTTTGAAAGTCAGGACATGAATTTTGAAAGTTAGGACATGAATTTTGAAAGTTCGGACATGAATTTTGAAAGTTAGGACATGAATTTTGAAAGTTAGGACATGAATTTTGAAAGTTAGGACATGAATTTTGAAAGTTAAGGCGTGAACTTTGAAAGTATTTTGAAAGTTAGCGCACTTCTTTGCGTGCCCTCTACGTTCACCCTCTAGCGAGTGTCTCGTCTTCCCTTCGACTCCTCTCCCTGGGGAACCTCTCCAGGGGGCTAGTAGTACTAGTAGTTTACTATTTACTTTATTATTTTTGGAGTTGAACTACTTTATTTTCAGTGTGATAGTACAGAGGCAAACCCAAATCGAGGTAGGACTACATACATTTTTGAAATTCATTCAGCAAGACCGTTGTCGTGGTTACAGTGCTGCAGGTCTTCAAGATGATTGAACAACATAGCTACAATTATAAATAGGTGGTCGTGCTGGCTGGTCGTCAATGTTCAAGATTGTTGTAGACTTTATTGATTCAGATTTGTAGACTTTATCCATTTCTAAGTGTCTATCCTCGTATACAAGATAAAGTAATACAACCCACATACATAATAATATGAAGATCTTGTTAGTCGTGCTCGGTTATTTCTAATCTTAATCAAATCATCATGTCAACATTTTCTTCATGTGAATGTGTATCGTTGTCATTGTTGGTGTGTATCTATTATGTTTGAACTTCTCTTGCGATTGAAGTAGCTTCGAAGATGTGATTTGTCATGTGTGAATTCCTTCTGCACGGTTGTTCTATTCAAGTACTCTAGTTACTCATTATGGTCCATTTCCATCAAATTGTGAAGAATATACTGAAGAAGATGTTCTGGTTCTAGTTCCCCATCTCCACTTTATCATGGCTTTGGCTTATCGATCATTCTATCAAATATATCCCTTGTAATTTGTCATGTTGTGTACTTACGTATACGTTCCTTGTTCCCCATAGTTGTGCTATTCTCATTCGTGATGGCTCATCCATAGAAGTCTTTTGTTCGTTCGTGATAGAAGCCGTCTTAGGTGATATTTCTCATGTTTGTAGTTCGTGTTTCCCTTTCCTTAACAAATCTAGACAACTTGGAGAATGGATATACTGAAGAAGATGCATCATGTTCTAGTTCCCACTCTCCACTGTCTTATCGATATCTTTATATATCGTTTCAAAAGGAGTCGTCAAGCCCCGGCCGCCACTCGAATGATCTCCATAGACTCGCTCCAATTCATCAAAGAAAACAGCGTCCTCCTTGCCTTTCCTTAGAGTGAGCAGAAATAAAAGTGGGAGAAGTAGCAGTGTAGTTGATCCAAGTAATCATACTATCATCATTTTTTGCAGAAAAAGTTGAAAGAAGTTTGTCACAAGAACAGGAGGCGTTGAAGAGTTTATTAGGCCGCGATGATGCTAAGGTTAACTTACAGTAAATATATAAAGCCATGCATAATATTGTAGGGCAACATGCTCCCCTCACCGCTTTCGTCACTTCAGATTTTAGAGGATCACCATCATGGGTGAAAAGAGTCTATTGCCATTGTAAGCTCCTTAGCGAATCGATCACCATCATGGATGACAAGAGCCTATTGCTATGTATACATAGTAAAGGTGTAGCGACTCGATCACCACTATGGGTGACAAGAGCCTATTAGTGCTATTGTAAGCTCCTTACCCTTAGCGAGTCGATCACCATCATGGGTGATCGCCATTGTCAGCAGCTCCTTATCTCTTCGAGACTCTCTTCATCTAGTTCACTAGTAGGATCCGCTGAAAGATGAACCAAAGAAAGCAGGAGTAGAGGTCTATTTTTTTTTAAAGATATTGTCTTCTTGACATCAAACTCAAACAACTCTTCTTAACGGTTTATGCAAATATGTTTCGCGACGTTCCACTCTCCCCTTTTTTTCCTGCGTTAGAGGCGTCGAGGATAGTCTCGGGTATTGGTTTATGTATCTTGTATGTTCCGAAGATATTATTTTCATATTCAGTGCATTGCTCCTCTTCGCAAGGATCATGAGCATGAGGTGGATCGATGATAGATAATTGCTCAACATTTGGACATATTTCTATAAATAGTGCATTCTGCCCGAGCATCTTCATGAGGATCAAGATTCCTCATCATGATTTAGAGATTAAGACTGTAAAATAACAGTTTGTTCTACTTGAGGTAACATAGTAAATTTTAACACAAACAGGAAATTTGGTGGAGATGCGAACTTTGGTGACAATTGTTTGCTTTCAATTTGTTAAAGAGAAAAAGATAAAAGACCATAAAACTGTAAAATAAAAATGCATTTTATTGTCATCCAAGTCCAACACGAGCGAGAAGAACGAATCATAATATAGGGGTCAACGGGTTGCCATTGTCGTCCTTTTTAACCAGAGGCGAAGTGGTGAGGTCCTCATCAACTAGAGGTCTGACATCTTTGAGGTCAAATCGCCAAACATTAGAGGAGCTGGGAAAAGAAGTCAGTGACAGTGTCAGATATTTGGGAAGATTACACCTGGACTGTTCCTGCAGGAGCTGGTAGAAGTAGTCACTATGTATCAGATATTTAGGAAGATTGCACATAGGTTGTTATGGCAAGGAACTAAAAGCATCGACTTCTTCATCTGGTGTACTAGGAAGAAAGCGGCCCCGGTGCCTTGTTGCGAAGGTCAAACTACTGAGTTCCTTCTTGAGGTTGTAATTTTTGTATTTCATTTTCAAGAAGCCATAAGAAAAGCGTTCAGGGCAAGAACCTCCCAATCTGCTTGGCTTGTGCTCATCCATTTCTTCCTAAAACCGGTGATATCTTGAACGCTTGGGTCCTTCGACGGCATCTCTGCCCCACCGCAGACGTCATCCCTCTTGTAGTAGTTGAAGGCGTGGTTCACTGCGGCTTCATTCTCCGAGGAATGTTAGAGCTATGATTGACTTTCATCGATACTTCATGAAGATTCGTTCCTATAGTAAATACATGGCAGGTTCGCGATAAATTCTGATACCGGCAATGTCATGTCATGTCATGGTACCTCGTGTTTCAAAGTAACTTATTGAAAGAGAGGCTCACTCAGTCTGCCTGTACCTTCTACGAAGAGCAAGCAAACCGAGCGATATACTATCAAGTATCACCAAAAAGCAGCCACGGATCATGCCCGCTGCCGCGGCGTTACTAAGCAAGTTCAGGACAAAGCCGACAAGGAACCGCTCTTCGCGCACGATCAGGAATGATTCTTGTTCATTCCCGAAGGCAGTCACGAGCGCGAGTAATAACTTACTAAAAACATGCTTCAGCGGACGTCCACATGATCGTCGTAGGTCGTCACCAAACACACGTTATTCTCTGTCTACGTTCTACTTTGATCTTGTGGAGAGCAGCAGTGTTAAGCCATAACCATAGGCGACGACCCATTTGTCCCGGGACTTTCTGTCGCTGATACCCTTCTTTTCAAGTGCATAACGCAGGGTTTGGGGATCTCCTGCTTTCTTCTTCCAGTCCTCCACCGTGTTCATGGAGTTTTAGAGTTGTAATCGTAGATTTAAGCAGGACAGTACAAGATATAATTGCGGTACGATGATGAATGGACTAGACGGCGTCTAACAAGGAGACCAGCAGGCCATCAACTCTAGGGAACTTATCATTTTTTACAAATGAGGACGCAGGTTGTGTGGGTATCTAGGGAGTCTAGTAAGGGATATTGTATGAATTACGTTGTGCTCGAGAAAAGTACACGGTGTCCGTCGACAGAGGGACAGACTGTATACACATACAGTCGACATTGTATGAAAGAATATTATTGTCTTTCTTCGCTTCACTCTGGTCACTGCCGGTCGATGTTTTTGTATCACCTGTAATATTGCTGACGTTTTGTCAGTCGGTTCGGATTTAGCCCACGACTTCCCGGAAAAATATCTTCTGAGCATAGTATTCCTCGATGGCAATACTTTTAACAAGCATTTTTGATGCCGATCCTACAAAGAGAAGAGAATCTGATCTCATCATTTCTGAGTTAGAGTTTTTCTCTCCACCTTAATCTTTGAAAACGTCCTTTGTGTCGACCAAACCCTGAACCGTGAAATGGAAAAACTCCGTGCACAAAACTGACTTCTCCACCGGACCACTTGAAGCTGCGCCTGTCGAGAAAATAATTGATTCAATGGCTATGTTGCTTGGAGAATGATTACTGGAGAATTGTAGGGGTAGGTTGAGAATATTTAGGTCCTTTGGCACCGGCAGCTGTCGATTCAGAGGAAAACTTTCCTTTGTTGAGTTGTCGTATATCAATAACATATTATCAGTAGCTGCAGATGGATCTACTTCGTTCTCCTTTTGCATGTCGCAGAATGTGAAAAGTAGTTTTAGATGGATGCTTACTAAAAAAAATAAAGTGGGTCTGTGGTGAGAAGTAGCGAACGTCATGCATCAGTCACCCATATTTATTCTCTCATCATCGGTTTTGTACTCATTTACGCTTACGTACTTAAAGAACACTTCTAATGTCAACAATAACAATTATTTATACTAACACATAATAGAAGTTCTTATGGTGTAGTACGCAGCGATGGCGCTTCCTTCTTTGCAGGTTCTGCGGACTGTCGCGCTCGCCGGTTCCTCTCCAGCTTTTTCTCCTCCCACGCCTGTTCCGCAGGTGACATTGGCTCCGTTTTAGTGCTCAAAACCTTTCATTTCTTCGTCTTCCCTTCGTTATCATTTCTTCCGAGTCCCTATATATGTCGGGTCCCCGGGCTCAAGGCTGATCGCCCCCCCGATCTAACTTTTTGAGGGGGGGGCCTCCCAGCCCCGGGCCCTCTTTGTGAGGGGCTGCCAGGCGGGAAGGCCTCAAAGCGCCCACCCCTGACCCCTTCCCGCTTCTTGCCTGTACCCTAGAGCGCCACCAAACCGGAGGGCGTTGAAGCTGGCAAAGGAGGCAAGGCAGGACCCCGCTGGCCTGTTGCATGTACCCGACAGACCTGGCAAAGGTGGCAGAGGCTGAGCCCTCTTGTCGTGTTGCAGGTACCCGACAGAGCTGGCAGAGGAGGCAGGGGAGGCGGAGCCCACCCCCTTGGCGTGCTGCATGTACCTACCCGACAGACCTGGCAAAGGTGGCAAGGCTGGACCCCTCTGGCGTGTTGCATGTACCCGACTGACCTGGCAAAGGTGGCAAGGCTGGGCCCCTCTGGCGTGTTGCATGTGCCCAACCCGACAGACCTGGCAAAGGTGGCAAGGCTGGACCCCTCTGGCGTGGTCCACCACAGATCCATCCACAGGCGGAGGGCCTCCCTCCCTGGTACATATATAAGAAAAAGAAAACCGCTGCGAGAAATGACTTTCATGGTTGGAGAACTAGAAAAGAAAAGGAAATATATTTGAGCCTTAATTGTTTGCGCTTTTACTTCTTCTGCCAACCGCTCTGCAAGCGCCCTCTTCCGTTCTTTCTCTTTTTTCTCAAGTTCCTTTCGTTTTCCCCACGTCAGCTTCTCGAGAGCTGTGGATTGAAATTGATTTTGGTAAATAGACATCTACTATCTACTCACAAGAAACGAGATGATTTTTCTTCGCGATCTTCTCGTTGTACTTACAATACAATACAATACAATACAATACAATACAATACAATACAATACAATACAATTAATCCCGTTTTTTTTTTTTTGTAGTGCGAGCGAGTTCCGATAAGTCAAAACCTACCTGCGTATTTTGCGAGCAAGTTCCCGTTTTTTTTTTTGTAGTGCCATGCTTATCCGAAAGGGAAGAGCTTGCATGTTTATCCGCACAAAGTTCAGTGCAGACTGCCATAAGAATTGTGTGAAGTAGGTTAGTACCTCAGTCTTGGTAGTATAAGAACTAACTAGGTATAATGCGTATACTTATCAACAAGGTTATTTCATATTTTTCTCATCAGAAATAAGACACTCACGAAGATACTTATTCTAAAACGCTTAGTACGTTGTGCCCCCTCACTCTTTACTTCCATATTCTGATTTTCTTCTTGGCGTTGTTCGTCCTGCATCTCTATCTTCCGCTTTGCCTCTTGCAGCTGCTGCTTCCGCCTTTCCTCTCTCTTTTGCGCTTGTTGTTCTTGCAGCCTCCGTGCTGGGTGTACCCAGCGTTCGGAGGAGCCTGTTCCTGTTGTTGGTTGTGACGAGGAACAAGTGCAATATTTCTAGGAACCTGTTGATTGTGAGCAAGTGGAACAACAGGGTTTTCCTGAATCACAAGAAACTGTATGATTCATAGTGTTGTAAATGATTTTCTTCTCTGTCTTCTAGCTTACGCTTAGAGAAATTGGGTAAAGATTAAGATGGGATCATGATCATGGTTGTGGGGAAGTATAAAGGATACTTGGTTTTTTACTCTTCTTCATCTCACAGTCATATTATAGGACGCGTACCTTCTGGTTCCTTCCCCTTCACTTCTCCTCCAGCAGCTGGTGCGGGGTGATTCTCCTCCATCTCCTTCACTTCTCCAGCAGCTGGCGCGGTATCCTTCTCTACTCCTCCAGCAGGTGGCGCGGTATCCTTCTCCACTCCTCCAGCAGCTGGCGCGGTATCCTTCTCTACTCCTCCAGCAGCTGGCGCGGTATCCTTCTCCACTCCTCCAGCAGCTGGCGCGGTATCCTTCTCTACTCCTCCAGCAGCTGGCGCGGTATCCTTCTCCACTCCTCCAGCAGCTGGCGCGGTATCCTTCTCTACTCCTCCAGCAGCTGGCGCGGTATCCTTCTCCACTCCTCCAGCAGCTGGCGCGGTATCCTTCTCTACTCCTCCAGCAGCTGGCGCGGTATCCTTCTCCACTCCTCCAGCAGCTGGCGCGGTATCCTTCTCTACTCCTCCAGCAGCTGGCGCGGTATCCTTCTCCACTCCTCCAGCAGCTGGCGCGGTATCCTTCTCTACTCCTCCAGCAGCTGGCGCGGTATCCTTCTCCACTCCTCCAGCAGCTGGCGCGGTATCCTTCTCTACTCCTCCAGCAGCTGGCGCGGTATCCTTCTCCACTCCTCCAGCAGCTGGCGCGGTATCCTTCTCTACTCCTCCAGCAGCTGGCGCGGTATCCTTCTCCACTCCTCCAGCAGCTGGCGCGGTATCCTTCTCTACTCCTCCAGCAGCTGGCGCGGTATCCTTCTCCACTCCTCCAGCAGCTGGCGCGGTATCCTTCTCTACTCCTCCAGCAGCTGGCGCGGTATCCTTCTCCACTCCTCCAGCAGCTGGCGCGGTATCCTTCTCCACTCCTCCAGCAGCTGGCGCGGTATCCTTCTCCACTCCTCCAGCAGCTGGCGCGGTATCCTTCTCCACTCCTCCAGCAGCTGGCGCGGTATCCTTCTCCACTCCTCCAGCAGCTGGCGCGGTATCCTTCTCCACTCCTCCAGCAGCTGGCGCGGTATCCTCCTCCACTCCTCCAGCAGCTGGCGCGGTATCCTTCTCCACTCCTCCAGCAGCTGGCGCGGTATCCTTCTCCACTCCTCCAGCAGCTGGCGCGGTATCCTTCTCCACTCCTCCAGCGGCTGGCGCGGTATCCTTCTCCACTTCTCTAGCAGCTGGCGCGGTATCCTTCTCTACTTCTCCAGCACCTGGCGCGGTATCCTCCCCTACTTCTCCAGCAGCTGGCGCGGTATCCTTCTCTACTCCTCCAGCAGCTGGAGGTGCGGCACTGGCATCCTCCTTTTTTCTTTCAGTTCCACCTGGACGAGTGGTAGTAGTTGCATCGACAGGGAGATTTGGGGCGCTAGCGTCCTTAGCCTCATGTACTGGATGCTCACTTTCTTGGACAGCGTTCTCAGTTGCAACCTCCTCCTCGCGGCGGCCTTCGCGTTTGGGACTGCGATTGGGTTGTCTTATTTGTTCTCCTTCTTCGTCTTCCGGTGGTCTATCAGTATGTTGATCTTCTTCATGATCATCAGCTTCGGCATCTCTTCTAGTATCTCCTTGTATTTGATTCTGAGTAGCTAGAAAATCAGCATCATCACCTTCGTGAGGAGTAGCTGCTGACGGAGCTGCAGTTGTTTTACCACGCCGAGCTTCTAGGACTCTGCCATCCTGGACCTTGCCTTTCCCCGCTGGTGCATCTCCGGTAGATCTAGTAGTTGGAGAATCTCTGCCGCCTTCTTGTGTCTGAGAAGTGGTAGCTGCAGCCTCTCGTCCCTCTCTCAACCTAGCATGTGTACCACGTAGAAAACCTGTCTGTGACATGTTGTTATCTGTTGGTGTTGCCGGAGAAATGTTCCCGTTTTCGTTAATCTTAGGGCTCTTCATATTGATATTCTATTTGGCATTCTTGACGACTCACGAAATGGAAGTGACCTGTTGTTGTGTCTTCAATCTAAAGGTCATCTAGTAACTGGTAAGTTAGAGAAAAGTGCCAAGAGCTTGTAGGCTGCCACATTGAAATATCAACAGACAATCTAGTCACTCTTGAATAGTAACAAGTAACATTGTTGTGAGTCAACATAATAGCAGGCGGCGACTGAGCGCCTGCATTGCCATTGCAGCAAACCACATCGATTGCAAGTGCACCCTCACGAGGAGGAGTCTGAAGGATACTTCTGCCCCGTAACCGTGCAAACTTTAGGGCTAGGCAAATGATGAGGAGGCAAGATTAAAAAGGAGAAGAAATTGAGATGAGGAGCTATGTTGACCACAATCGGGATCATGATGAATGAGGCAACTACGATTGAATAGAAGAAGATGAGGTTTGTATTTAGTATGCGTACTAAGCCGTAATTGTGCAGTCCACGCTGCCGCAGCACCACCAATCGCCAAACCAGGTAGGTTACGTTTTCTCCTTGCCATTTTCTTGAACTTTTTTTACTCAATCTCTGTACAAAATCGAATCAATTTAAGCTGCTCCATTAGTTCTAAGTAGAAACTGTACCACACTACAACAGTGATCGCGGTTGTAAATTTGTTTCGCGGGTATTGGTTGCAGTCAAAATCTTCACCGTGATGATGCCCAGTTGTATTGCTAAATGTATTCATAGTATATCTTCTCCTGTCACTATATAATTGCATTAATTTGACAGTGGTAGCAAAATAGACACGGATATCATGCCAAAAAAGGAGAGGTGAGACCAGGCGAGGGAGAGAATTGTGGTAGAAGGCGCAGGTATCAGATAATGAATTTTGGCTTCCAGTAGACGAACCAATCAAGATTTTTCACCGATCCTGTAATATGCAGAGGGGTAAGATGCTGTTCAGATAAACCGATGAGACGGTTCAGATAGTATGCAGGTGAGAATGCTGTTCAGAGCATCAATAAAAACATTAAGATCTGAACACCAGGACCTGAACAGATTACAGCTCCTTATCTGAGCAGCAAGACAGTAAGATCCAGCAGTTGACCCTGTTCACATAAACCGATGGGATGCTGTTCAGATCAACCGATGCTTGCCAAGCAGAATCTCGGGTCAACATCGTGGTGAAGAATCTTCAAAATTAGATCCGCAGTCCTCTGATGTCTTCTCTTAAACTTAATCAAGAAGATAAACTCGATAGTAATAGAGAAGAAGCGTTCCAGATGAGCCAGCTTCTTGTTTGAAAACTAGGATATTGAAATTCAGTGTTCATACTCTTTTCAGTATCAGTGTTCATTATTGTTCTTTCCGCGTGGTCACCGCCACGACCTTGATACAACTTCTCAGTCATATTGAGTAGGTAGGCGTTCATCTTCTTGTCGATTCCAAAGTCAAAAATCCAATTGCTCAAGTTCAATCATCAAATGTTTTAACGTCAAGAAAATGACAAAAAACTACATCCACGTTTTAGTGACCACTTTGGATCTTCGTTCTATTTTCCCGAAGCAAGTTGTAGATACAAAACAACGTCGAACTGGGTCGGTAAGCAAAAAAGTAACTCAAAGTCAAACAGTAACTTGGTAAATGAAACTCAATTTTCAAAACGTCTCTTCCAAGCGCAAGCCTCACCGCTTCATAGAGCCTCTGGATGGTGCTCTCATCACCGCTTCATGTGCTCTCACCGTTTCATAGGACCTCTGGCTGGCGCCCTCTGCAATTGAAGTAGCAAACTCGGGTTCTTCACTTTTACGAGAGCGTTGATGTCCTGATTTTTCGGGTCGGTGTGCATTGTCAGTGTCTCATGCTCTTGCTCACTCTAGAAGTTTTAGTTTAAGTCTTAGTTACAAAGGAGGACATATGACAACAGAAGCTACAACATGCAATCATGCTCATCTGGTTTGCAATTACTACATCTACAACATCAGAGAAGAACATCACCTCCCTGAATCACATAGTCATACCTGCAATCTCGTCTGCATCAGCGACAATTTCGTCTTGACGCTGTTGTATCGAAAACTAATTTGCTGTCTGACAACCTCTTCTGGAGAGGCGACGAAGTCGCAACTGAGGAGCTCCACGAATTTGTACTCCATATTCTGGATGAAATCTAATCTAGCGTGTCCATCCCTCTGCATCACGAAAACGGCGAGGAAGCTAGAATGGCATAGTGAAACAGATTCTCGGCGAGGTCGGGGTGGGGCGGGGAAATGCGAGGAGACTGGGACGGGTGGAGAAGGAGAAGGAGGGGGGTGGGGGCTCGCTGGTGTGGTGGAGGATGGCGACGGAGCAATTTTAAGACTGATAGTGTGGTCGTCGTGGTGAATTGATTTGGTGAATGATAAACAAGGAGCAAAGTAGATGAAAGAACGCATGATAGATTATTAACTCGAACAACAACACAACACGAAGATTGAAACAAATTATATTAGCATCAAAAATAGCACCAGTACCTATGTGGTTCTTTGATGCAATTGTTAAGCATCTTGATGACCACACTGCAGTAATCCGGGAAATCTATCATCAGTTTCTGATTTTCCTGCATTTGCCGAAACCCCTGTTCGTCTACGCTGTGGGTGTAGTGGAAGAACAAATCGTTCTCTGACGTCAACTCGATGCGAATGTGTGCTGGTGCTGCTTCGTCGCCCTGAATTTCATGGGGTATCATTGTCAATGCCAACAACTGATCACAGTGAGTAAGTACTTAAATCTATGATCATGCAGTCGATTATAACATCAGAATCAGCAAATCCTCAACCTATTCATCGTCCTAAAAATTACTGCGCAACCCTAAACCCTAAAGTACTTTATTTGGTGGAGCTTTACAACTTACCAGAAATAAAATTTTGCATTTTATTGCTTCCAGTGTCCCAACTTCTTGTGGACCTGCGTCCGCGTCTTGGACCCTTAACTCGAAGGGGCATTCTCTATCGTAGGTTACTCGATGCCCTTCCGTCAAACTCGGGTCCATCTCTTCTATCGCCGTGAAGTCGAACGAGTCCAAGAAACTGAAAGTTGTAGTTGTTACTATTAGTTTGTTTTAAGATTGTCTGAACAAGATGAACGAAGAGAACAACAAGAACTTGAAGTGCGTCAAAGGAATATCAACATTAGAAGATTCAACTACAGCACTGAGAGCAGAAGAAGAGGACGAGTTTGCTCTTTGTCACGATAATTAACGTAAAATAAACTATGAGTAACCGAGAGTACCTCTTGGACGTATCGAGCTGGTATTTGTCCTCCATGGTTTCGGATTTGTTGCTCTAAAAAACGAACCCAAGAGGAAAAAAGACGCAGTGCCTCCAGATCGAAGCACTGCTGTCAGGGGAGGATATTAGAAAACCAACTTCTTATCCTCACAACGAGAACGAACTAGTTGTACTCTTCTAACAGTGTAGGATGAATGGGTGAAAAGTTCGGCTTCGGCATTCTTGATCTCTCGCTTTGTTTCCTCCAAATTTGTCAGTGAAGAAATTCCACTTTTTTTTTGTGGTCACCTCGTCTAGTACTTTTTTCATATTTATGTACTTAGCAACAACTTCAACTTTCTTCGGTAAACGACTTCTGTCGATGACACTTTCATATACGATTTGCCTACGATGAGATAGGTAGAGAGGTTTTTCCGAAATCCGATTCCATCTTTCCAAAATTCCGAAATCCGAGTCCATCTTTTTTACGTCTACCTCTACTACGATGGACGTCAAAATAGAACACGACGTAGCGAGCAGCTCTTTATTGTTTGAACAACAGGAGACTTATTTCCTGTGGGCAGAGTATGCTGTGAGGAATGACACTGATGTGGCACAACTTGTTCTATTTGAGGAAATGTCAAACAAGTAGAGGAAGTTTCACCTCTACATTGTTCATTCGACATGATTAAGCTTAGATCTAGAAAAATTCGACGGAGATATGATAAAAAAGCCCCAGTTGTACTAGTAGATCTGCGTCTACTTCATAATAAGTATTTGAGGATCCTGCGTGAATCAAGAGTATGAGAGGTGGAGTCAGTGTTCTTGTGCTTTGGAAATAATGGAGAGCCGCGTGTCTGGAACTCGGTCGTGGCGGAGATGTATATCAACCTACGAGTGGTCCCCTAGTAACAGTCTGGAACTCGAGGACGCAGGAGCTATGTCTTCGCGCTTTTCTTCCCTCCGTCGTCATCATCCTTCTTTCTTCTTTTCCTTGGTTTCTCCTTCCCTTCCACATCATCCACACCTGCTTTCTTCCTCCCGCCTCGCTTCTCTTTTCCTCCCGCGCCTGTGGACGAGGTCAACAAATCTGTGCAGATCTTGACGATATCCTTCTCCCCTGAAACCAAATCGGCCTTGATCTGGTCCTGGAGGAAGAACTTCAGCGTGTCCACCGTGTGCCGCTTCGCTTCCTGCTGGCTCTCAGTCACGAAGCCGAATTTCGTGCAGTAGGAACGCCACTCGCTATCTGCTATTTTCTTGCAATTAGAAGAATCAGTTTCAGATTCAGTGGGTGGATCATAGGGAATAATAACAAGTAGATACTTCGTTCTGCCAGTGGGTGGATAGGGAATAATAACAAGTAGATACTTCGTTCTGCCAGTGGGTGGATAGGGAATAATAACAAGTAGATACTTCGTTCTGCCAGTGGGTGGATAGGGAATAATAACAAGTAGATACTTCGTTCTGCTGGAGTGATGTGCTCATCTAATCTTCGTTCTAGCAGCTTCTAGTCTACTTTAATACAACTAGCACCTCTTCGAGCTATAGAAGTCTAGCAGCTCCAAGTTCCTTCGATGATGCCGAAAAAAACACAGTCTGTATCATTCATGCCATAATTTTCACAATTTCGTGGACGAGTTTTCCCAGTAACTTCTGGTCTTCCCACATAGCCTCAGTGAATACGGTAGTGTCTAACTGGTCTAAGATGGAGGTAGCGGTTACAGGCTGCAAATCACTGCTCTCTACGGGTCCTCTAACAGCGCCGTCGATAGCTGCATTGGCGCCGTTAGCATCGGCGTCTGGGACAGCGGCTGTTGATTGATGTTGGTCGACGTCGATGTTGGGTGGTTTGGTTAGTTTTTAGATGAATTTTCTAGTATCTTTTAGTCAAGGTAAACAACTAGTCCTAGAAAGCAAGGTGGATAAGACAGAGCAAATGAACAATCTTCAGTTTACAAATCAGTTACAGTTTACATTTCTATAAATATAATAGCTGCGTGAGTGATCTACTTCTAATATCTAGGCAATTCTAATTCGTACCTCCTCTATCAGGTCGCTCTGTTTCTGGGATGAAACCTGGCTCATTTAGAGCTTTAGGCAAACCAAATCGCTCCTGTGCCTGTGGTACTTCGCCAGGCCTGAAGAGTAAGAGAGTGGATGATGTGGAACAAGTGGAAAGGATAACAATCAAGCATCTGAATCTTAGATGATGAGCTCAATTATTCCATAATCATTCATTTCGAAGACTTTATTGAACTACAAGCCCTAAAAAATATAAAGCCTTGTCGTCCACGTGGAATGTTATTCTCCATCTTCATGTTCATATCTTTCCTGAAAGTATTGTGTTGGAAGGGCTAAGTCTCTAGAGGTAAAACTAACCGGTTGTTTTATTTAGTGCTTTGAGCGCCATATCTTTCCTGAAAGTAGTAAGTAAAAGCATCTATCATACAAATACATAGTGGTTGTACCTGCTCACACTGAAGACGATGCCATTTTTCTCGTACATTCCGCTTTTGTAGTCGTAGTTAGGAGCCTCCGGGTCGGGCGCTTCTAGTGGTGGCGCCTCTTCTCCCGGTCCGGCGATGATTTTGGTTCGAATTCCCGTAGTTCCCATCGCGAGTTGCAGCCCTTTTTTAGGCGGCTTCAGCCCTTTTGCGACTAAGGCACTAGCTAGGTCGTTGTCGATCCAGGTTTCTACGGGAACGTTGCGAGTTGCCGCGTTAGACTTGTACACGAAGAGCTTGCCGTTTTCGGTTCTGAAGGTGACCTCGATTTGACAGATGGTCCACGTATCTTCGCAGGACTCGACTTTGGTCAAGGATAAAGCGGAATCTGGGATCTGCGGTTTCCCAGTGTTCGGATCTATGGCTTCTAGCTGTGGCAAAAAGGTTTCCTTGACGAGCAAATCGACTAGATTTTCACAGTGCATGTCCTTCAACTCCTCTTTCGTCTTCCACCTTCTCACTGTGATCTGCTGCTGCATAGCAGGTGCTTTGCTGACCACGCCAGGAGGTAAGTGCTGAGATGAAGTGGCGGCAAGCAGATGTGGGGGCAAATTAGTTGATGTATGGTGTCCTCCAGCTGGATGTAGTTGAGACGGATGTTGTCCTGGCAGTCCTCCTGGCAGTCCTCCTGGATGTCCTGGCACCCCTGGAGGCGGTCCCATCCCTATCACACCTCCTTGCTTCCCACCAACAGTATTAGAGCTCAAAGCAATTCACTTCACTTCTTGGACTACAACTTGGGTTCATTTTCTCAGAACAATCGTCCTAAGAAAGAAACTATTTAAGGAACATGTTGACTCGCCTTGGAAATGAATTGTTGTATTGAGCCTTAACACCAGGACCTCCTTGTTGCATGTGATTCGGATGTCCACCTTTTATTTGGTGCGCCATATGATGTGGTGGTGGAGGATACATTCCCGCTCCACCTGGATGATGTCCTGGGTGACCACCAGGACCGCCTCCAGGCCCACCGTTATACATCATCGGATGGCCTGGAGGAAATGGATAACCGCCTGCAGCTCCTGGATGACCTCCCAAAGGCCTTGGTGGCGGCAATTCTAGCAGATAAGCGGGGACGCCGGATACTGGTGGAGGAGGCTGGTTTGGCTTGCCGCGACGGATTAGCTCCGAGTTCTTGGAGGAAGAAGAAGAAGAAGAATTCGAAGAACCAGCTGCAATCTCCTTCACCTCTAAAAGCTTATAGTGCTTGAAAACGCGAAGCACTGCATCCTTGGTCAGCACGTGGTGGGGACAAAACCACTTATCCTGTTATTTTTTCGTGTTTCTTCAAAATTTCAGAAGTTTGACGAGTTTCTACTTAGCACTACAACAGATACTACATGACACTAGCCTAGCTGGCTCATGCAGATGCAGTTTGTTAGAATCCCAAAACGAAATGTGAATGTCATCAAGGCTTTACCGTCAAATATCTTTCCGCAAATTCCAAGACCGTAAGCTCCAACGCTCTAAGGTGCATCTCTAGGGGTTGCCAGCCCTCAGAGTCGTCATCATCCGATAGTCGTTCTGGCAAGCTAGAGCATCGGTGACCTAAAATCTGCAGGAGAGGCTCGTAGGTATTTTCTACCACCACCTTGTCCACCAAATGGTCGTTCAACTCCTTATTAAACGCTTGAAGACGGGACTCGAGCCATTTATCTGGATTTTTTGTGCTTATAAGTAGGTTGAGGGCTGAATGATAATGTGAGGAGGACTGTGCTGACGAGGATTTTAGAAACAAGGAACTGTACTTATATATGTGTACAAGGTAAGGGTTAGATGAGCAGGTGAGGATTGTGAGAGAATTCTAAAAACAGGAAGCAGCTTCAAGCAAGTAGACGGTTAGCTTGAAGTAGGAACGACAACGTACGAGTTGCAGATGATGATGAATATGAAAGCAGAAGAACAAATAAAGAGCATTAGGAAGAGAGTTAACATCATACATGAAGATCATTAGGAAGAGAGTTAACATCATTATTAGGAAGACGCAAAACAGCATTAGAAAGACGAAGAGAAGTACCCATGATAATATTTCCTCCGTGGTAGAAATATTTGAGCTGCAAGTCGTATGCCTGTTTTCTCAGAATTGGATTGCAGACTGGTGCCCAACTCAAGGTCTTATTGGCCAGGACTATGTTGATCGTCAACGATATGCTGATCAGAAAGCGCTCTCGGATCGTCTTGTCGCTGATCGCTTTGTAGAGTGGGCAGTTCTTGCTCTTCAGGCACATGTGGAACAACTCGCCTAGGACTAAAGGCGTCGCTGGAAATTTTGGAGCTAGCTTTAGCCAGTCGTTGAGTTGACTGGTGGCTAGGTTGACTTCTTTCTCCACAAAGCTCTTCGCTGGCTCCAGTCGCTGGACTAAATCCCTTTGCAGCTGGATGTCCACAGCGTAGACCTTCTCCAGTATCACTTCGGTCAGAAAACGTCGCTCTCCCTGGGGCAGGACACTCCAAACTTGCTGAAAGGCCTGGCCGCTAACCTCTTTGATCGCCTTGGCACTAAGACTGTCCGCGGGAAGGCAATCCTTTAGTTCGACCTGCTCGGACATGATTAGCATTTCGCTATCATCCGTCATATCGCGGGCTAACTGGATTCGGTCGAAAACCTAGGTGAAGGAGACGAGGAGGTGGTGGAAAATATTCAGGGGTTTCAGATTCACCTTCACTGGCAGGGGCCCCAGTTCATAACATTCTACTTAGAAAAGACTTTTGAAATTCCTTGAAAACTACATCCAATCATCTACTTCTTTTAGCTGCAGTAACTAAGTACACCAGTTAGAAAATGTACCTTCTGTATGCACTCCGTCGCTTTGGTATTGCATTCTGGCGTATCCCTTCCCTTGAGCAAAAAGACCGACAAGCATTGCAAGTACGGCTGTTGCGTTATTGGGTCAAACTTGTCTATATTTCTCTCCAATTCCTGTGCGAATTCGACTTTCCGGGCGTCCTTGACCTGGGACAGAGTTCTAGAAAACCCAGACCCAAAGAACTCTCGAAAGAGCACCTCCTGACCGGCATTCTCGCTGTTAGGTTGATACGGTGCCAGTTTGCCAAGCTTCTTCCGGAAGACATGGACCTGGGACTCTGCTAGAGTGGCTGACATCTTGATGATGTCGTGGTTGTTGTTGTGCTAGAAGTAGTGGCTCTGGGGTTCGTTTCTTGTAAAAGAAGTCTACTTACGATCTCTCTTTCTTCGAAAAATGTCCTCGTGGTCTAGGAGGTGTAGAAGAAGTCGCTGTTCTTGTACAACTAGCTGGGAGTAGGTCTTTCTTGCGTACTAGTCGCAGTGCTTGTACTAGCTGTGTTGTTGCGTAGTGGTTCCTGTAGTGTCCCGCCGATGTCATCACTTGCTGAAGGCAATGCTACCCACCACCCGCTTCAAACCACTGCGCTTCGTATCGAGAATGGAGCAAGAGAGGACCGTCAGAAATAAACCAAAAATTCATGTTTGGCATATTCATGCTCTTCAACATAATGTAGTAGTCCTGCTCGTTGGTCCTCGTCATGTTAATTAGATTTGTGCTGTTGAATGGAATGAAGCCACAAGCTACATCATTGTTATAGGTTGTACTAGATACATCAACTTGTGGTCCGCCGCCGAGCTGTTGTTACACAGCCTGGCTCTTCTGTTGTTGGAGATGGAAAGAATGAGATGAAAATGAGAAGATTTGCTTACTCTAGACTAGACCAACAAGAAGTGGTGGAACAAATAAAAGTAGGAGATGACAGTTCTTGTTGGAACAACAAATAAAAGTAGTAGATGACAGTTCACCACGATTGAATTCCTTCTAGTGTAGAATGTCTCTTTTGCTGGAGCATCATCGAGTGACCCTAGAACCTTCGTGCAATATTCTGCAAGATCATCAGTGGACACCAAAGAATGAAAGGAACCGAATAAACTAAAACGCGAATATTATATTCCACATGGATTTGCATTTGAAGAAAGGGAAGCTTCTGGTGTACCATGGCCTTAAGTCTTCTTTATGGACAGCATCACGACATGGAACACATGGAAGTAGAACGTTTCTGGCTGCAATCAACAGACAAGAAATTTAGATACCGCACGGATGTGTGCGAAAGTAAACTTGTGAGGTCTAGATGAATTTCCACAAAGTAAACGCACCACTGGTCATTGGTGAAATTCATCTAGGCCTGACAAGCTGTGTTGCAGCACAAGTGCAAGCTTGGGTCTCCTCCTCCTGGCTAGAAGATAATCAAAGTCGACCATTGATGTAGAGATTGAGATCGACGATTGTTGGCCCAACAATCTGATTGTTATCCGTCCTCGCCGTCGCCCTCGGAGGAGGACGATTAAGCAGAAAAATGAATCGCCATCAAACTACACAACATGAGTTTTCATCTGTTTTGAACGATGGATAGTGATAAATTGTAGTAGTATCGACGCCTACGTCAGAGTCACTGCGGACTGTCGTTGTCCTAGAAGCATATATCTGAAAAAAGTAGGACTAACCGCGACCAAGTGTGTATCAGCTGCAAGAAGTAGAGGATACGTCGCTGCTGCTTTTTCATTCCTTCGGTTCGGAGGTTATCCTTCCTCAGGAGTAGTTTGCTGTCTAATTAGTACACACTCAGCACAGTTACGGAAAAAGCCATACTTACACAGAAAAATTCGGATGAGGATGTTGATCACGAAGATGACAATTCAGGTTCTGAGTGTGATCTTTTTGAGAACGGAGAGCAACCAGCAGGAGGATGAACCAGAAAGCAAAAGCACCGCCTCCAAGAACAACAATCGGATGAATGACGGTGACGAGAGGCCGTGTTGACTCCACCAGAGTAGAAAGACATTCTACGTCATAGAAATAGCCCTTTGCGTAGAGTTCACATGATGTACTAGACGAGGATGGAAACGATGTAGGAAGATGGAGTTGTTGTTTTCTCTTGTTTGGTTACACGATACAGTGCCAGTTCTGCAGCTTGTTCATGTAGTACCAGTTGTAGTAGTTGGCGCAAAGCTCGCAATGTCTTTTACGACAATGTTCCTGCATATGGGATGATAGAAATCTCTATTCCCTTCAAACAGCTTCTTCGCTACTCTTAGAGCTCACCCTAGTCCATCCTGGAATCCATCCCGGGCCTCTTTTCCCCGCCTTATGGGACGGACAGCTTCGAGATGCTTCGGAGGATGGATTAGGGCAAGCCATAATACTCCGTAGTCCGCTGAAGCGAGACTACGATATAAAGGTCTGGTATATTTCATGCGTCCCTGACTCGTCAGCATTTTCGTGATTTCGCCTTCATAGTCCTTCCAATGCGGCGTTTTAAGGAGAAGCTGGAACCACTGAAACAGCAATTCGCAGTTTTGCGTTGTCAACAAGCCGGCTAAAGCTTTTGTCGAGAACAGAGCCAGTTTTTCCGAAGACCAAGAAGAGCTAGTTTTGGTGCTCATCTTTAGAGGTTGCGAGTTGCCGTCTCTAGCTCGCATTATATCTATGGCTTTCCTACTTGAAGAAGCCATAGAGATGCGCATAGAGATGTCAACTTGCAACCCTTAACATCTGCTTATTCAGTCGTTCGAAAAAGACCAGTCGAGTCTCGGTAATCCATCCAGACCACTTAGCATGCGTATCGGTAGCAAGTTTTTCTAGTACTTCTGTTGGTTTTAGAGGTTGCTTCATCCAATGAAAGGCACAGGTTGCCCAGCTCTAAAATAGGATGGTAGGCGTAGGTTGCCCAGCTCTAAAAAAATCGTCATGTCAACAACTCTCGACCGTGTCCTCAGTACAAGAAGACCCCATAACTTTTCCTCCTCATTCGACGCCCATGAGTCGGCCAATGTTGTTGCTTCTGCGATACTAGCACTGGTGAAGGAGAAAGGCATTTTCGGCATGCCGTAGGCAAAGAACCACATGTCCCAATCAATGCTCTTCAACTCCCCACTCGGAAAGCATTCCTCCATACAGAATGTTTTGAATTCTGCACTCGTGATGGTTTTGAATTTGAATTTGGCGATGTAATTTTTGACTAAGATTTTCAAAAATTTCTCCTCGCCAACCGTCTGCTCTAAGGTGTTGAGGAGATTATAGCCCTTCTCGTAGGGCACAGCGGAAAAGACGTCATCCGGATCGATGTCGCCTTCCAGGATAGGGACTAGTCTGGTATACTCAGGTTGCTTCAACCGCTCAAAATGCTCGACGGAGCCTGTGAGATGCGCTAAGCCTACCTGAGCGGCGACAGCGTAAGCTTCCTCAGCAGCGGAAGTGGACGATTCTGTTTCGACATTCAGATTCAACATGGAGATAAAACTAAAAAAAGTAGTTATTTTTGAAGATTTCGTGAAGATGAACATGAATATTTATGGCAGGAAGAGAGAAATAAAACTTGAACTTCCATATGGCAGGATCAGATGAAGAGAAATAAAACTTGAACTTCCGAATAAAACTTCCAGCAACTTCAAACTACTTATATATAGTAGTAAGTCAACTTCAAACTACTTAGTAATGAGTACCTTTTCTCCTGACAAACTCCTTTTTAATTTTCCTTTCGAGCCACACTGTCCACCCCTCATTCAGCCAGAAGTGCTCCCAAGTACAATTCGTGATCACGTTTCTTAAAGGTAGTCAGTCACTGTCAAGTGGTATTCGAGTGGTCGTTCCTTATAGGCTTTGATTGTTCATCTCGCTTCAACTGCTTTCATAATTTTCCTTATATATAGGCTTTGATTGCTCATCTCGCTTCAACTCAAGGGGTTTCTTCTTGAAATCATTCACCATTCAAGGGTGGGACCGTAAATTTCCTGTCCAGCTGTGAGAGATCTCGTGCGCTACTACATCAGCTAGAGAGCGGTCGCCAGCAAGAAGGGTTGGCGTGACGAAGGTCAAACACGGGTTCTCCATGCCACCATAGGGAAAACTAGGTGGCAGAGAAAGAACATCGTAGCGACCCCATTGATAAGGGAGACCTGAGGACGGGGTGGTGTTAAGCAATTGTTAGGGTGGTGAGCGGAGGGGCAGTTGTGGTAATGGTTTTTTGTTGGATTGATGAGCTGCATGGACTTGAAATAGTTCTTCCTAAACAGGAATTTTTACGTGCACCGCAAAGATATCACAAGCAACAAGGTCTCAACAAACACATCAATAGCTGTAATGTCCTCCGCAAAGATATCACAAGCAACAAGGTCAACATCAAACACAATACCTGTAATGTCCTCCGCTATTTGCAGAAACTCTTCCGTCTCAGCGAACTCGTAGGCTACCTTCTCAATATCCTTCGGTTCGGACCACACGTCTACTCTGTCAGAGATTTTACTCGAGACTTAGAGTTTACAAAGCAATTCACTCCTTCCCTGCATGTGCATTTATTCTTCCAATCCTATTCCTAAGAGGGAAACAGGAAGGAATTATGACTTTAATATTAGAAATGAATCGTACAACCAGCACTGAGCCTTAAGATACAATGTCTCCACACACTATCGCAATCAAGTATGATGGTACTGGCACCTTTTGGGCGAAGGTGAATTCCTTTTTGGATAATTCAGCATTTTCGAGTGTTTTTGTTTCGACTAAAACCGCACTCATCAGGGTCTGACTCCACGAAGGTGCTCGGATTTTGGCGCGGTAAGCGCATTTGGCGCTCGGGCAGTCTTGGCATGGCAGAAGACTGCGTGCGTGTATTGCTTGGCATTGAGTGAAGAGGTAAGGGTATTTTTTGCCACTAGTTGATTCCGGAGAAACCCATTGACAGGCCATGGCTTCGGACGATGTGGCGTAGGTAATGCGGACGAGAACGACGTCACCGGCAGAGATTAGAGTCGTTCTTGATTACCCTAAGCAAGTAAGAAGGTGATTGATTTTTGATTTTGAGGTAAAAATCAACAGAGACTAAGAGAACTGAACATACAACATTTACTCAACATCAACATCATACTGTCAAGCCTTAAAATTGGTGCCACACTCCCCTCCCCTCCCGCAACTACCTGCTCTTCCAGTTCTTCGGACAGGGAAATGTGCAATGATCTGCCGAAAACTGCATGTGGCGACGGCAGCAGCTTCCAAGGCACGGGACCGAACGTTGACACTGAAGATGACCTCACGTCTGCCGATACAAAAGCCGCTTCGACTGCGGACACGCTTAGGCCACCGTTCGTGTCTAAGACGTACTGTGGTATTAGCGAAGAAGAGCGCAAGTTGACCGATACATGGACGTGGCATATCGATCTATCTTCTACTCTCTAAAGTTGTTATTCCTCCTTGAAAAGCAAAAGGCTAACATCAAACTCTTCATAGATCACCTGCTCTGCTTGGAGAACAACAACAGGTCAACTTTCTTACTATGTATATCTATGTTGTACTAAACCCCATGCATAATATTGGTAGAGCCGACCTAACTAGGAGAATCATAAATAAGAACAAAATTTTCAATAATTCCATACTAATGGCCAATTATCCTATACTAAACCCCATGCATAATGGTAATTGCGAACCACCTCCTTGAGCTTTTCTCCACTTTTCTGCTGACAATGAGTACGTAACGTTACCGAAAATGGATTTTTTCGCGAAATCGACCTCCAAATCCAGGTCCATGAAGTGGGCACAAATGACGTCCGCATTGGAGAGGGTGCTATAGTCGCGAGTGCGACCAGAATTATCGACGCCTCCGTTTGTCATTTTCTGTGCGGTGGAAGCATCGGTTGTTGTAGGGGCCATGATTTTTTTACGTTGTAGTAGATTATGACTCTACGTCGAGTACGAAGTAGTAGATTCTGAATTTAGTAAATCGCTCTTGGATAAGAATAAATGTGCCTTTGTCCTAGGATGGTAGGAAGATGTTGGTTTAAGATGTGCTGACAGCAGAAACAAGAAGAGTTCAATGTAGCAGATATCATCTACTTGCTTTTTTTCACCTGTATTTTTCCTACCAACGTCAGGTTATGCATCTTGGATCTCTCTGCCCTCACTCGATTCATCAATTGGTTCCAAGATTGAAGGGCACTACGACTTTTCTAGAGGACAGCCACAGCCTTCGCCTTTTCGGAGGTAAGTTAAAAGGACTCAACACCGTGCATGATGGACTTGACGTACTAGGGTTGTGAAGAACCTTCTTCTCTTGTGTAATCTATCCTCGTTCTTTCAGTGTAGAAGAAAAACTACAATCACATGGATATTTGTCATCATGCGCGATCATGTTGCTTTTCAAGACCTTGGTATGAATGTTCCTATGTTCAGATTCAGCAAGGCTTTCTTTTTCAGAACTTTAGAGAGCATGTTGTAGACCTCAATAGTCGAACAACATCCTATAATCGATGGTGAAACATGAAAGAAGAAAAACTGAAAAAATCAATAAAAATCTAAATCATTATGCTGAGAGGTAGTTGCCGAAGTTAATACTATAGTATCAGAATCAGTCTGTAGCGCGAATCGTAAACAAAAGTGCCTATAAGCCCCTCCTTAATTTGTTCTTCCGAACGATTTACTCTATGTGACGTGAAAAAGAATCGAAGTGAAAAAGGATCGAAGTTCTATTAGCCGACCTTGTGTTCTTCACTATCAGACCGGCTCCAGCAGGAGCTTACTTTCTAGATATAAAAATACTACAACTAGTTTGCACCTTGCTGCAGTTGCAACATGTTTTTCGTAGCTAGATGACTCTTCCAACATTCAGACTATCAGTCATAGAGGGTAACGAGACTCCTGGCAGAACGTTTGCTGCCAGAGTGACATCTCCACCTGATCGTTTTTTCCTACACATCAACGCTTGAGAACTCCTGTGTATAGCTTGTTCATCTGATTCATCTGTACTTCACATACATAAAAATGTAAAAAAATCCTTAGATCGCGGAGCAGCATAACTAGCACAGATACCTAAATATGTAAGCATCGCGGAGCAGCACCAGCGTCGCAATCATCGTCGTTCTACTTAGTAAGTTGCATTAATCTAAATCTATCTATCTACGATGCGATTCAGTTGCGGTGGAAGCTTATTTATCTATCAACCTAGGTAGTACTTATGACACTAGAAGAAGATGATCCCGTAACTGTGCGCAGGGCCCAGAGGAGCAAGCTCAGTATTGCTTCGCAGCCGCGATTTCGTCCCTTAATGCGTCGTAGAGTTTGCGCCCTTTCCTTGCGCAACCAAAAAGCTGCACAAACCGTTGCTCTGGCATTCGCACCAACATATGGCCAGTCGTTCCTGCTGGCAGTAAGGTAGATGCTTCTGGTCCACAGATCGAATGCAGCCATGCTTGGACGCCTTTCACATCCCACTTAGTTTTAGAGCTAGGTGGAAGAAATCCAAATACATTGTGTAGAGCGTCATGCATCTTGTTGCCTGTTTTCCCTTGTTCGCCTTCGGAAACAAGCAAAAAAAAGGTGCTTGATAATTCTACTAAGTCTCAGGTGAATTTCTTCTTGAAGCCTTAATTTGCGGTGGCACAGACCGTTTCACGGGATCAGGATTCACAAACTTCTCGAGGTCTTCCTGTTTGTGCACGCGAGTGTATATGCCAGGACGGCCCGTGAGCGCAAAACCGGTTCGGAGAGTGGTGATACCTTTTGATGCAAGTACGATGCTTTCAGATGACTGAGGGATCTTCTCCTGGACCTCGAGACACAAAAAAAATTGGAGAATGATCTTGTTGTTGAACTTCTTCATCAAAGTAAGAACGACGTAAGGGTAAGGTAGCCAGCATCATGTGTTACTATCACATCCAGTCGGAAGTACTATGTTCTGTATCTGTCGCGCACGGCGACACAGTGCAGAAGATGCAGAGTTCTCCATTGTCTTGGAAAGCGTCCGCTAGTAATTTCGTCAGACACGAAGACCGGTAGACATGAGTCGGCACTCGATTGAACTCTGCTTTATGGCGGATACCTTTTTTTTGATGTGGAAGACAGATTGTTCCTCACGATCAGGGTAGCCCTCTTATACCAGATGGCGTCCCGCCGGTTCATGAACATCTATCAAGTTGTTGCAGTATATATCTAATATAATTGAACAACTACAAGTTGTATGCTGACATCAGTACATTCTTTCAGCGCATGCAAGCTCGCGTTAATTTGCGCGCCCTCTTGCTGCCGTTCCCGCGTGTGGTACATACTGTCTTTCCGTCTCTCGGTTCCTGCGCAGTCTACTAGAACCAACTTTCCTCCTGATTCGAGACGGATCTGGAAGAGAAGTTTGTAATTATGATTTTGAGAAGCTCAGAGCTAAGGCGGATCGGTAGGTTCTGCTTAATCATTGCGCCATCTGTCCTGAATGCCTCGTTGAACTTGACAATAAAAAAGTACCAAGCACAATGCGTGTGACCGAGATGACGTGTCGTTTGCGTCAGTGCTTTCTGTGCGCCTCCTATGATGCCCGATTTGCATACAGGCTCGTAACTCTGTTGCAGCAGAGCACTCTAATTCGTAGGCGTCTTGGATGGCGTACCTGTGAGATCCAACGCGGAACATAGAGGGAATTTTTTGTTCCGACCGATAATAGGTTGATTGATGAAAGGAGGTTGAACGTTACACATGAAGAGACAAAACAAGTACTTTCCACTCGAGACTTCGCGCAGTTTTACTTCTTTTTCCCCGCTTTCATGCAAAAGGTCGAAAACCCGATTATTTCTCACTTCTAGAAACTGGATTGCTGCTTTTTGCTGTCGTCCACCGTTGCTTGCGTTTCAGAGTTAGAAGCAGGACAAGGAAGGGAAGATGTAGTTGCAGATTCAAGTAGATTCTAAGAAGGTACTACCATCATCTCGATGAAGTGATGATAGCTAGTAGTTTCTCTGGAGGTTGAATAAAATCAAGTTTTAAGATCTTCTACTGATACTTCGCTTGTGATTCCAAGTCCACATCTCGTCTTCTACTTGCCATATTTGTTCATTTCGAAGACCTGTTTCGCCGCTCTGCTTTCGATCGCGGTCATTGTAAACGTCTTGCCTGAGCCTGTCTGCCCCAGCATGAACATCGTCGCGACCCCACCATTGCATGCATGGGAGACTAAGCCTGAGGCTGCTTGCTGATACACGTCGTCATTTGTCGCATGCTCTCCAAAACAGTTGTCTAGATGGAAACTGTTGTGTTGGACGAACTGGGTCTTCAAGTCCGCTTGGTAGAGGCAATTGTGGATATTGACATGGCCAGGGTGGACTGTCACGGTGTCGAAATCTTCTTTTCGCAGGTCCTTCTCAAACATAGGACGCTTCCGGACGAAGACCTGTGTGTATGTAGAAATTGAGGTGTCATATGAAATCTTCTTTGCCTTTGAGTACCTGTCCCATTCATCATAGCCATAGGAGAATCAAGAAACTTCTAGTAGTATCAAATGTACCTTCACGCTATTGCTTTTGTATGGCGGCAAACTGTCTGTTGGTGGCGCAAGTTCAGGCAAAGCTCCAGCTCTAACTTTCTCAATAACGGCCTGAAATAGCTTGCCTCCTTTCTCGATTCGCAATGTATTCTTGTCGAACATCTGTCGGAAGCTCTACTTAGCGCCCTCCATCTTTCATCTTTGACCTACTGACCTACAACATCCTCGCCCGAGTATCATAGCACGAAGATAGATACTTGGTTGAGCCCATAGATACTTTTCAAGTAGGATCGAAATCGATGAAAGTCAAAGATGAATAAAAAATACAATCAATCAATGATGAATCATGTACAATGATGAATTAAATGTACAACAGTGAGACTGAGGAGCCTTAATCTTCTCATCCCGATCGTTTCCACCTCCTCCAATGCCATGGTCGTTATTGTTGTACAGCGTTGCGCCAAAGTCCATGCCTCCTGTATCAAAACCCCCCGCTTGACTATTTCGACCTGGCATATTCGACCCACTCGCTGCGCGGGTTCTGTTTTTCGACGTCCGAGTAGTGGTGGAAGATGAACTTCCGCCAGCTCCGGAGTACACTGAAGATGATCCGACACCCGCAGATGACGAGGAGCCACTACCAGTTGATATCGTGCTAGACGTACTGCCATGATACCCTCTTCCACCGTGAAGAGGCGCTTCTCCACCAGTGGTTGCTTGCTCCTTTTGAGAAGTTTTCGCAGATGAAGATGTGTTGTTATGGCCGGGACCCGAATTCGAACTAGAAGTGGCTCCACCACTTGCTAGATTGTTTCCACTATTGTTCGCAGCTCCGCCAGTTGTACCAGGCTGGGGAATATTGGAATGTTGTTGACCTCCTCCTGAACTTGTTCCTGGCGTTATCAGCGATGAACTGCCACTGGTACCCGCGCCACTATTGCCACTGGACAGATACGGATTCGTGCGTGGCGGCGGTTGGTGCAATAGTTGCGTGGCTCCTCCTGATGGATCGCTAGTTGTGGCACCTCCACCAGAAGATGATACGAGAGTGTTCGCAGCACCTTGCCCATTCTGTTGTGAGCCAGGTCTTGTCCGAATCCGTTGTGCAGGTCCTTGCCTCGTCTCCTTAGATGGCGTCACCCCGTTGTGGTCGCCTTCACACAGCATGGCTCCTCTTCGCCCTGAGGCAGTTGCACCGCCTTCCTGTTCTGCTCCGCCTCCGGGTCCATTAATGTTCATGTTATAACCAAGGGCATTCGCATTACTTACTAGATTTACACCTGCTCCATGATTGTTGTTTGGATTTGGTTCATCCAGCGTGTAAGACACTGCTTTTGAATCGTGGTTATTGCTAGCTCCTGCACCGCCAGCTGATGCTGTACTCGCAGAAGCGCTCAACCTACCTTTTTGCCTCTGTGTTTCTCGCGTTCGTATCTTCTTCTTGATGTGGTCAGGCATAACTCCGACTGCTGAACCAAGCTTGCTTGAGAGGTACCTGTTACAGCATCTCAATGGAGTAGCTTACGTCGAGTCGCTAGTACAGTACGTCGATCTTGTTCAAATCATATTAGAGAACAAAACGATTGTCAGAGTGAGAGTCTTTACGAATGTATAAGCAATTACCGTTCACTTTCTCACCCACCGACAGAAAAAAACCTAGTACCCACTAGCAGGTCGACTGCTAGGCCCCCCATTTTCGCCTTCACCGCTCTTCGGTTGTGCCCCAAAGCGCCTAACTCTACTAGTGCTAGGACCTCCAGATGCAGGACCTCCATCTGGACCACCGCCTGACGAGGCCGTGCCTACTTTACGTTTTGGAGCGGCTGTCGTTGTCACAACAGGCTTGCCAAAAACTAGTGGATCTTCGCTTTGATGAGAGTTGTTACCGCCTCTTAACATGCCAAGCCACGCTTGCTGCACCTCCTGCGTACCCTCGTCTTGGGACTGTTGAACAAGATGAGGGTGAATCATGTGAATCATTTTGTAGTGGTGACACTCTTTACTACTTATGATCTTCATGTGAAAAATGCTTTGCGTTTGCACCATGACATCACCTAAACCTAATCCTAATTCTAATTTCACAACCCACTTGATGAAGCAAGAAGTGTCCAAGAAAAATCGATCATCTCAACACCATTCTACCTCCGACTGTCCGCCGGCGTAGTCTCCCGCACCACTCCCACCGCCAACCGCAGGAACAGCAGCTTCCCCACCTGGTGGCGAATCTAAAGTGTAGCGTCCTGGTCTCGAAGCTCCACTCGCAGACCCTGGCGGACTACTGTTATTCGGAGGCAAAAGTGCTGACGATGACGAACTACTATTGAACTTCCTAGGTGGCGGCAAATTACTTGCTGGTGGTGTGCTTGCGTTCGTTGTACTGCTGGGTATAATCATGTCAACACGAGAATTAGCCGATGTTGATGTCCCAGCATGAGCGTTATTTTTTGTAGTACTGTTTTCCTCCATCTGTGCTTGACCAGAAATCGAACCTCCACTGTCATACTCTGCACTATTGTATCTCGCGTATCGGTAATTTTGGTGCTCGTATCTCGTTCCCAAATACTTACGGTCAAACAAGGGTCCCCCACCATCTTCTCCTGCCCCTCCAGATGATGGTGCAGGTGTTCTTCGAGGTAGGGGTTGTTCGGTTGTACCGGTTGTACTGGGGGATGGTGCAGTTCCTGTAGGTCCACTAACATTTGGTGCATAAGGGTTAATAGAGGCGGGATCAACACCAGACACAACATTGCTAGTAGAAGCCGTAGTACTATTGCTCATGTGCTGTTGTGGCACAACCGGCACTCCGCTATTTTCGAACGCACTCGAAGATGAGGCTGCTGCAGACAAAGATGAAGACGATGAACCTCCTCCACTGCCTGCCAGCTGGCCACTAGCTAAAAGTCGATTCCTATTCCGTTCCCTCAGCTCCTCTCCCTTTTGAATGCGCTCACGCCGTTGCTCTGCCCAAGCGCTAGGGTTAAATCGCGGACCAGGACCTGCATTACCTGCAGGACCAGTCGAAGAAGTCGCACCTCCACCTCCGCCACCCACTAACTCCTGATTCATCTCCTGTCCATCCTGCTTATAGCCGGATGTAGGCGGAACCAAGCTCGCCGAAAATGTGCTTGACACCACCATTGAAATCTTCAACAACTTGAACTCAAAGTAAAATCAAAAAATAAACGTGCTCTTTCTTCACAGCTTTCAACAAGGTGGAGAAGATATAGTGGCCGTCGCAACTGTATCCCCTCCCTTGATCTAGTAGCAGTTTTCCCTAGTGGTCGTGGTAGTGGTATCTATTGGCCAATTTTTGTGTAGTATGACAATTTCCAATTTTCCTCCAAGTCTATTTGAAACGATGAATTGAAGATCATGATCTCTTCATTGGAAATTGACTGCAACATGGTGACAGTTGTCGTCGTGGTTGTTCTAACAGTCAAGTAGCATCTTACTTTTTGCGCAGAGGACAGCTTTTAGAAGAGAAGCTCTGGAGGCTGAGGGCACTTTTTGTAGTCGTGTCTGATTTTGACGCTCTATTCGAGTGAAAGAACACATCAACTACAGACAAACCACGACGGACTCTGCGGTGATTTCACCTTGAAGGATTTTTCAGATTTTAGATAGGTCGATCTTGTATTTTCGAAGGTGATTTTTTACCGATATGTAGGTTCTATTTGAGTTCTTAGTTACGGAGCAAGATCACGTTATAAAAATTATGAAAATCCGATCAACGTTTTTTCAAGAAACGGCATCGATTATTGGTAGTTGTAGGTACTAGAACCAAGTCCTCTTGTCTCAAACTGAAGCGAAGGACCAGTTTCTTAGGGTACCAATATGTGCATTTTCTTCATCGCTACGATTTAGATAACTGTGTTTGAAGCTAGAATCTATCATCAGTATAACGATTCAGACAACATAGTGAGAATTTCTTGAAGCTTTTCTACGTGGTCAACAGTATCGTCGTGGTCAACATTGGTTTGGTTTATCGCTCTACTTGTTATGATGGAATGAGCAATGGAACCAACATAAATGCTGTGAATGAGAACAACTCAGCAGAAGCACTAGCACAGTGTGATTCCAACAAACATCACTCAGACTCAGCCCATCTTCACAAACATAAAAAATGATGATAATGAACACCTCCAAAGCCCCTCCTCCGCAAACTGTCGTCCTCACCTTGCAAAAAGCTGCAAGAAATCCTCGTCCAAGGAGGAATTAAAGGGCACTTTCCGATGCACCGAGGAACTCGGACGGGATTTTTTGCAGACGATAGTTGGAACATTGTCGTCAACCTCCATATCCTCCAAGTGCATCCCTAACGAGGCCTTGCTCGAAGAGTCCTAGCATGGTTGGTTTGGTTGGTGGTAGGCGTAGGAGCAGCACTTTTAAGGTAGATGATGAAGCAAGAAGAGTTATATAATTATATTTTATAAGTTGCGTTGTTGTAGTGCCACCAATGAAAAAAAAATTGATCATGAACAATTTGTTAAGAAAGTGAAGAAAGTGAATCAGAATAACGATAATGAGACAAGTTACTAGCACTGCACCTCATCCAGTAATTTCGTTTTCTAAAAGCAGTTGCAGTACCCGATGACTGCGACTAATCCCAGCACTAGAAGAGGGTCGAAGTGGTTTTGTATTGGCACTAGCATTTTGATCTTCAGCCGCCGTCTTCTGACGTTGCAACCAACCAGTTGTCGTTGCCGCGGCCCACGTGCCGATGCCTCCTTTCGATGTGCCCTCGAAGTCTTCACCTGGTGGAGGATTTAGAGTTAGTTTGGTCGTAAGTTAGATGCTAACAGATGCAAAGGAGAAATCAGTAAGTAGCAGTGGAAGAGGATATTGTTTGATGTAATGCTTCTTCCTTCGCAAACTGTCGTCCGTCTTTCTTACATCGAACAATATCCTCTTCTACTACTACTTACGAACAGTCGACAGTTTACAACGAGGGAGGAACACCATGATTCATCCATGGTAAGAAAGACGAGACTCTGTTACAGCATGAATCAAATGAAAATGTCTTACCGGCATGATCCCCCAAAAATGTTGCTCCGCCGCCTGATCCCACATCCAGCAAGTCCAAATCGACGTTATCTAGGTCATCGTCCTCCACCACCTGTGCCCATCTGCACGTAGTCCTTAATGCAGCCGCTGAGTCACTGCGTTGGATACGCGTCGATCCGGCATTTGTGCCCAAATCGATGGTTTCGTCGACTGAATCTGTGTTGAGGGGAGGGGAAAATGTCGTCATACATAGTTAGATTTAAGTAAGTGATCAGCACAATCACTAGAAAATGAAAAACGATTCTTGGTACTTTATTTTTAACCTCCTTTATTTTATCTATGCAGCTTATGATCGACTATCACGAAAAGCAAAACCAATACCAGCCAAATCCCCTTCTTGACACTCCAAATGTTGGGCCTTTTCCTTGTGCCGTGACGGTGGTCGTTTGGTGAAGCGCCCACGACCCCCTCCACGAGCCGAACTCGACCCCCCACCGTGTGCGCCAACTGCGCCGCCTAAACCTTGTGCCGCAGAGACTGAAGGGTCTTTCTTCCGTGATGGTGGTCGCCGATTGTTCACTCCCATTCCTTCTTCGGCTTTGGCGTTTTGGTACCTAGAAGGCGGTGAGAGTGAGAGCAGAATGAAAGTAAGGGAAATATTAATTAATAGAAGATGCATTATAATATAAAAAGTCTAAGTACGTTGGTATGTCGTCATATTTTCACTCTTATTCAATGAATTTCAATCACGCGTATCAAAGTAATTAGACATGTTCATCTTGTACTTGTAGCAAGTTTGGTTTCCATCTCCTTCTCCAACTTATCTTATGATAAGTAACTATAAAGAAATACGACAAATCCATGCTCTCTATGCTTTGGATAACGTCAGCGTCGTCGTCTACTGGCGCGTGGTCCAAAGAGCGGTTTCTTGACCCTTTCCGACTTTCCGGTCGATCGCTTTTCTTCGTACTGCTTCCAAAATAGTGGTATCTCTCGCGCAAAGCACGTGACGCTGCCTCTATCATCGCGACTCGATCTATCATATTCGACGTCGGCGGCTCCAGCAAAGGGTCTAGAGGCACAGTTCCAGAGGCAGATACGGGAGACGTCGGACTCAGATTCGAAGAAGAGGATAGCACAGCAGTAGGGGTGATGCCGCCACCGGAAGACCCTCCGCGTCTAGAGGTCGGCCTTGAAACATTAGAGCTCGCAATAATTCATCAAAGCATCTTACTTTGGAGGTGTGCCTTACCCTTGCAAAAGGGGCTAAATATGATGCTTGCCTGGTTAGGTTACAGGTTATGGATCCTGCCCATCGAGCTCCGCCAGCACCTGCTCGACTCCGAGGATGATGGGTGACCTGAGTAAGGTCGACGGACAACACCTCCGAGGGAGGAAGATGAATTACAGCACAAAAGAAACAGAATCACATCCGCCACTTCCACTGAACGACTTGCTTGCTCCTCTTGTTCAAGAAGATTTCTTGAATAGATGCATTACTCAAGAATTCTTGCTCCTCGAGAAGATCAATTACAGGAGTCTGTAAAATTAAAAATACAGGAATGGTTTACAGGAGTAACAATTACAGGAGTAACATCAAGCCTTAAAAACAACGTCCACTTCGTGCGAAGCCGGAAGCTGCTGTTCTGCAATAGATGACGAAGATGATGACGATCCAGGTCCATAGTATGCTACACGAGGAGGCTCTTGATCCACCAGCAAGAGGCTCTGCTGTTGTGTTGTCTTAACGCTCATCTCCGTTGTAATTCATCTTCCAGCTTATCCATCCTTGTTGAAAGGACTACTATGCCAGAGAGGGTATCGCACGACTGCGATACTCTCGTCCCCCATACGTAGCTTCAGGCTCAGGGATGTCCTCAGGAATATATAAGATGAAAATGAATTAGCCAGAAGTACAGCCTTAATTGTCTTGTGTTTGGGCGCACTGGATGGCCTGGAGGTTGAAGTCCTTGGTCTACTCTGGAAATCATCAATGTCAAACAACTCCAGATCTAGAGGCATATCCAGATCAAATCCGGTTCCACTGCCCTTACTACTACTCGGTCTGGTACTGCTGCTGGGTCTAGTTGCGCTTGTGGATGTCGTGGTACTAGAAGAGCAACGTTCGGCAGCTGAGGCGGAAACGCCAGGTGTTGTCGTGCTGTTCGTAGTCGGGGGTGAATAACCAAGTAGTCCTCCCGCCGAAGTAGGTGCTATATTCCCGGACGAACTCGAAGTTGGCGTAGTAATACTGGAGACGTGGTTAGCACATCCAGATGCTGAAGTGCTAGCAGAAGCACTAGCACTAGTGGGAAGGAGATTGTTTGTCGTCGTGGCCGATGACGATGATGCACTTGTTGGAGGCATTCCATTTCCACCTCCACCATTGCCCCCCGAAGCGGGAGCTGCGCTATTCTTGAGAGATGTATTCACGGATAGATGTTGAATTGCTTTTGGTGTTGAGGTAGAAGAAGCACCAGCAAGCGGAGTAGTAGTTTTCTCACCTCCTTCTCGACCACCAGGCTGTGCCAGCAGGCCGGATTGCGAGGAAGAAGATGCGTTCGTCCCCGCCGAAATAGAAATACCGGGCCCAGGTGTGCTACTTGTTCCAGCGGAGGGATTACCAGTCGTAGTACCAGTCGCAGCACCTGCACCACCAGCACTACTTCCACTACCGATGGATGCGCCTCCGCCAAAACTATACTCAGACATCAAATTGTCCAGCGTCGCGCTTCCGAGTCTCCCTGGCCCGCCACGTGGGAACGAAAATTTCGACATATTAAACAACTTCTTGGTTACGCCCCCTGTACCTCCTCCAACACCACCTGTCATCGTAGTAGTAGTAGTAGTACCTCCTCCAACACCACCTGTCATCGTAGTAGTAGTAGTAGTAGTAGTAGTAGTAGTAGTAGTACCTCCTCCAACACCAGCACCTCCAATCGAACCAGAACCAGTTGTAGTTGAATTTGTACCACTACCAAAGGAGGTCTTAGACGACGATGTCGAGCCTCCCATTTGAAAACTTCCTCCTGATGTAGTAGTCGATGAAGCGCTCGTAGTTGACGTTGTGGGTGCTATCCCAGTCCCAGGAACTAGGTCCATCAATGTCTCACGCTCTCTGGCTTCCTCGGCGTCCTGAGTGAAGTTCTTGAGCTTAGGATCGATTACGAAGTCGAAGCCATAAAAAACGATGACGGTGAGTAAGAGTAATGACATCTCAATCTTCACTTGTCTTAGGTATATTTATTGGTTATGAACACTGAGTGCATTTAAATCTCTAATAGCTAGTTCCTATTAATGTACCTTATCCACAAAATCCAGAACCCAAGGTCCTGGAGTGGACCCCCTCGTCGGCAACCTTCGCACATCAACAACATCAGTATCAGAACCGCTTACGTCAACGTCGAAAAAACCTGCAAAGTAAGCGAATGTTTAGTAGCGAAGATGCTAGGAAGAATGGACAATCAATACATCTCCACGATATCTTCAGAAAAGCAGATACTCCTTCTCCAGTGATAAATTGAATACTTTTATCCACTGCAGAAGTCGTATTTCTTTCCAGTGGTCCTCTTGAAGAAGCTTGCTGGTGCTTTTCAAGTCGTGCGGAGGAAGAACTTCTCGTAGCACGATGTCCTCCTCCAGAAGCGGGAGACATAGTCGTGAAATGGCCGCCAGCACCTCCTGAAGTTCCATGAGCATGATATCCAGTACGAGGATGTCCGTGTCCACCAGCACTAGAACTTGTATAACTTCCATGAGAAGAACCAACAGGTGCAGTCGTCCCAGCGTTTGCGATGCCAGTATGTGGGAATTAGATGAGAAAGGGGTTGCTGAGGAATCTACAGTGACAGTTTTTGAACGAATGCGTTGTAAAGTACAGCTTGACAGACGCTGACTCATAATCTTGATCATGATGTTTAGCAACCTTTATTAGTCAAATTCATTCCCGCCACCATAACTGAAAAAAGTCGAAGCGCCCACATGCTTCTTGCTTTGCATCGGTCTCGTCGTACTCTGTGAACTGCTAGTCCGTTGTGCGGTACTTCTGGCCCTACTAGTACCAGAGTGCAGCGTGCTAGCCTGGAAACGGCCACCACGCCTACTACCGGGATATGAACTTGTCATCTTCGAATGTTTCACCGAAACACGTCACGACGGAATGAAGATCGAGGTGGTGGAACTGGAAGAAGAAGGAAAATGCACTGTTAATTTGAAAAACTCAGAGGACCGCTGAAAATGTCACTGTAGTTTGTATGGTTGCATGTTGTAGTCAGACAACGACGTCAATAAGCGGAGTTGTAGAGAATACAGACTCGGGATGGCGTTTGTTGTGACAGACCATTATTCACTCTATCATGTCTTGAAACTGCATCACTACGTACCATCCAAAGATGTGTCTACATTGCTAATTCGACCAGAGATAAAAAGACGAAGACGATGATGCTTTTTAACAAAGGGAATTACAGTCAGAGGTGAGAGGGGTACCGGGTTCGGGGCACGACATTGCAGGCAATTCTTTTTCGCCTGGACGATAGACCGACCGACATCAACATAATCCTCCGTTTACAACGAACTCGTGAGAACTTTCTTGACAACCGACCTCGTCCATGAATCAGAATCTTCATGTTACAGTTCTGTGTCCTTGCGTCACAAACCTAGAAGAAGACACACGACATGACTTCGACATCTTCTTACGCTGCTTGGGAACTTCCTAAGTTAGATACCGTATCTATGTTAATGTTTTACTATATTTCTGGACAACTTCTTCGAGTGTAGAGGTTGGCGATGTTCTTTGAAGATGTAGACATGATTTGTTTCTTGTGAGGTCTTGTGATGTAGGCAAGTTTTAAAGTTGAGTCTCCCTATGATGTTGAGTTTTTTCTCACAAGTAGTGTCGCATCTGCAAGGGATCCTAGTAGCAGGAGTCAAAAAGCTACAAAACCTACATGTTGTACATGTAGTTATCATGTTCTTTGGGTCGACTTTGTTACAACCTTCATCTATGTAGAAGTCCTGGGAGACGATAAGACGATGTATGATAAAAAGCATAATTAATGAACACCATGTGATTCACACGATCAATACATAGTAATTCAATATTAGCGGGAGCAGCAAAATTATAGCAATAGCAGCAAACAAGAATGATCGATTAGATATAGCAGAGATAGTTCACACAGCACATCTATCACGAGATTTATCGTTGATCATCGCACAAAAAACTCCCATGTAATGCAACAATCATCTTCGTGATAACTGGTGCTCCCACGGCGGCCGTTTCAAACTTTCCATCGGACGGGTCCTCTGCCGCGGTTCTTGAAGTAGAAGAGTCGTTGCGCACCATTATTTACCGTATGTCCGTGTCACATTCATCGTCTTGTCCCTCTCACATTGGCAGGCATCCCTGAGGAGTGATGCTTCGACCCATGATGGCGATCGTGGTGCTTGTGCTCATGACCGTGTCCTCCTCCGGTGCCGGATATTAGAGCAGACATAGCAAGATAGAGCAAGAAAAATATCCTAGAAATCCTCGGTTGTAAAAAGAGTCGCTCACCAGTAGGACAAGGAGAAATGGTGGCCAAGAAAAGTTACACGGATTGTTCAAAATCGATTTCATTAATCTCCATGATGTCATAACAAACTTGTCAAGCAGAAAGGATGTCGCAAGGCCGCATCCGCATCCAAGCGCTTTGCCGGATCCAACGCCGTCAATTGCGTCACGAAGTCGCCAGCGTTTCGCACGGTTGCAACAGATTAGAGGAGTAACTTTCAGAAGAGTTTTTTAAAAACTACATGAACATCAACAATCAACATCAAGCAAGAGTGACAACTTTGCATAATTGTATTTCTGCGTTTGTGCGTCTTCGCTTTTCAGCAACTTTGGGTCTACTACGATAGGGATCAGCTGATCGGTTATGCAGGTGGGCGTCGCGTTCGGGAAAGACAGAATCCTCTTATAGACGTCTTTGCCATTCCGGTCGGTGTAGTTGTGGCTGTTGTGTGGGTGTCGAGGGTTGTGAGGGAGGTAGGATGATTTGACTGCTTGAATTAAGCAGGTACGAAATCAATCAGCATCAAGTTGATTTTATCTGCCTGCAAAAGAACCTACACTGAGGAAAAAACGATGGCCGACAGACCGCTTCTATCTATTAGAGGTAGGTTTTCGGTGCTCGCTTACCCCGCTTGTTATGCCTTTCTCCCTTAGGAGAGGCATAAAAAGCGGTAAGAAAAGCACCTTTCACCTACCCTTAAATCTAGGGGACGAGGCATCAAGAACTAGCACTAAACATATAAGGGAGATTCGTTGTCCGTCGTGGTCCCTGCTTTTAAGTGCGCGAAGAGAACTACCACTAAACAATATTTTAGTACACGAACTCCATCGTATCCGGATCGAAGTGCTTTTTCCAGTTGCCGCCAGCTTTTATGAGCTTGTTCGATAGCTTGCCCTTCACATCCATAATCAGCTTCAGCTGATCATTGTTGTTTTGGCCTCTAAAGAGGATTTGATTCGTTAGCATCTCCCACACTGTACATGCGGCAGACCATATGTCTATCTTCGTGTCCCACTTGCACTCCGTAATAACCTCCGGGGGACGATAGAAACGGGCGACCTGGAGATTTTTGGGGTCGTGGGTGGGAGAGTTCTTCTTGGTAATGGAAGTTTATAGTAATGGATGTTGCTTGTAAATTAAATCGGTAATGCGTTAGACTTCTGTTCGTGACATGAAGATGTCGTAGGCGTCCGGACGAAATTGAAATACAACCGCGATTTAGAATCCATTTTACCTGATATCCCGACGTCTCTATCTCGTGCGAATCCATGGCAGACCCTAGATCGCAGATCTTTAGCATTTGATCCTTGAGGTCGTTTACCAGGATATTCTCTGGCTTAATATCTGCGTGCACGATGCCATGCCGGTGGATATGCCTCAGACCCGTGAATAGTTGCTTCGTCCATCGCTGGGCGACTAGAAGAGAAACGCCGCGATCTGGTGTTTGTATCAACATCATAGACGGTGCTGGACAAAGACACTACGTGACTAAAATAAAGTCAGCACAACTAACGATGCTGTGGTGCTGCTAAACAACCAAGACCATCAAAAAATGAAAATCACACGGTATCATAGACCGTAAGAGCTAGAAGTACCTTTCTTGCTGAATCTCGCCAGTCCTTCCCGCAACGAGCACAACATGGATTCGAAGACCAAGCACGTGTGTCCCTTGTACAAGAAGTTGTCTAGCAATCGCACCACACCCCTTCTGTTCTCTTTGTCTTTTGAATTCAGCCTATTGAGAATCAAGATCTCCTTTTGTGCTGCTTTCGCCATCATCGCGTTGTTGCGGACAAACTTGATCGCCACCTCCGCTTGTTTTGGGTCCTTGCGATCTTTGCACTTAGCCACACCGCCAAAGACACCTTGGCCCACATTGGTGTGGATAATCTCGTAGCGGTCCTTGACTAATTCGCGCAATTGCAGTTCGATGTAGCCGTCTTCTCGCGTTGCATCTAAATCGTTTTGTTTGGCTCTCACTGTCTCGACACGTTTCCGATAATCGAAATCCTCATTGAAGATGTCATCATCCTTGTCGTGCTCGTGGTTCACCCGATGTTGAAGAGTAGTTAGAGGTACCGCATGGGCATCCTTGGCAGCATCCTTGGTGCCTTTTTCAAGTAGAAAAGGAGCCAAGGATGACGTTGAGGATGCTTCAGCGGTAGCCTTAAAGTAGCCTCTGCATTTGAGGAAGAGCGCCCATTGTTCAACATGTTGTTGTTTTTCGTCTGAGAAGCATTGTTCCCAATTGAAGATGTTGAAGACATGTTGCGCATTTTGTTCTTATTTCCAGGAGAGCCTCCTCCTTGTCCCTCGTCGTGATTCCTGGCACTCTTGTCTTCGTTGCGTTCCTCTTCGCGCTTACTCTTGCGAATGAACTCATTGATGTCCTTCACACTAGGTCCGCCAAGTTGTTTCAGCTCCTCATTGAGGTGAATTTCAGGTTCTGAATCCTCGTCATCCGTAGGTGCGGAAGGAGAAGCGACAGCACCATAGGGTGTGCCCGGATTCTGCTGGCCTGCGCCGTCGCCCTATAGGTTGTAGAGTTTCAGATTTTTTTAGTGGTTCTTGGGAAAAAACAACGCTATAAGGCTTTGCTGAGATTCGTCCTTCATCGAAGTAGATGGAATGTTTGCTGTTGCTACACAAAAGCGTTCTACTCTACCTGCAGATGCAACCTTGTTAAGACGAGTCATCATTCGAAATTAATACAGCATAGTTATAGTGAAGATAGTGTAAAATAAGGAAACTATAAAATACAATTAGTACCGAAGTCGGCGGTATGTTGTCGCTATCTTGGGGCGCCGCGTGTTTCGCCACGATTGCTGCCCTTCTTGCCGCTCGTTCTTCTTGTAGCCTCTTCAATTTCTCTTCCTCGGTCTCTTCCTTTTCCCTACTTTTCTCCTCGTCCACCTCGTCTTCATCCCCTATGTCGATGTCATCCAAATGAGCGGGTGGCTCTGAGGACTCGCTGCGGGGTTGTGACGCTTGTCTCGGCAGACCAGGTCCATAGCCGCGGTTATGAAAGTCGCGGGAGACGTTGTGACGATCGCGATCTCGGTCACGATCACGCTCTCTAGAACCATGACGGCCACCCTTTGTACTACTGCTATGGTGATGACCGCTGCGGACAGAGGCACTACTGACCATTTTTCCTATCCTAGTTGGGGGCTGGTCGGCTGCCGCATCTCGGTCTCTATCCCTATCTCTCTTTGTTGAGTCCCTAGTAGTTGCACCGCCATCTTCTCTTCGCGTCTTAACATCGGATCCATCGCGACCCCGATCGCGGTCGCGGTGTCTATCAGTATCAGCTCCGCCTCGGCGACCACGGTCTCTTTCCCTTTCTCGGTCTTTCTCTGACCTGTCTCGATCTTTGTCGCGGTCTCTGTCACGCCGGTCCCGGTCGCCGCGCCGCTCCCTGTCTCGGCTCCTACGGGCCGCCCGTTCTCGGTCACGGTCCCTGCCTCTGCCACTACCGCGTCTCTCGCGTTCTCGATCTCGCGAATTGTTCCTACTATTCGCTTGCAAGTCCACTGCTGACGTGCCAGAAGTGGATGAACTAGCTGCTGGTGCGGCAAGAACAGTAGTACTATTTGATGTTTTCACTGGTGGAGGCCGTGACGTCGAGCTAGATGCTATGCCAGCACCACTATGGACACTGCCTGTACGACTCCGTCTAGCTGCACTATTTCTTCGGTCCTCGTCAGGCGGACCTGTTGCCGACGCGGTTGCTGATACAACGATTGAATCAGACGCTTGCATTCTATCGTGTTCCCTCTTAGATGAAGAAGGGCCGTTAGAAGTAGATGTTGTAGGAGCTGCTTTGCTATTGCTATTTGCAGTTGTGGTACTACTATGATGTTGTTGGTCTTTGTGTTCCCTAGTCGCTGCATCAGGTGCTTTTTTCAGAACCACTGAACCGGACTTGATCACAGTTGTATTTGTTTGATCTGCTCCACTAGTACTTGGAACAGCGATAGGCCCTCCGTTCGGAGAGCCATTTTTGGAACTATCTCCTCCATTCGATGTGGCTCCTTTCTTACTCTGTTGAGCTAACGCAAGTTCTTCCCTCGGACTACGTCTCCGTTTTCGTCGACTTCGCTGTCGGCTCCGCTCACGTGCTGGCTCACGATGGTCCCTGTCGCGAGGAGCCTTCCGTCTGGCTATCGCCGCGCCCGACGTCGCACCACCTGTCGTTTTCGTGGGCCCCTTATTCTTGCCGCCAGAGACAGCAGAAATCTCACTCACACTATCGTCACTCATCTTCGTCCCTGCCCTTTCGTACGAAAGAGTATGTCGTGGTCTGCTGTACGAGTCGTTGGACGCCGTCGTGGTCCCCGTCGAAGCAGTCGCAGGAGTCAGCAGAAAATGAAGACTTGAGATTTAAAAAATTGAAGACCACCTGCTGGTTACTTCAGAAGTCGGAGTGAGTCGGAATACTGAGTTTCCGACTTGATGGTAGATCAATTATCATGACAATACAAATGATGATCAAAGTGTATTGCTCTTCTTCTTACACTTACTTGCTGTGGTCGTTAACAAACTTAAACCTTGTGCTGCTGATCTACTAAGGTAGTCCCTTCTTGTTCTTCTTCAAGTAGAAAAAATTGAATTAAGCCTACAACTTAAACCTCAAATATCTCGACGCATGTTTTTTCAACTTAACATTGCTGAGTTCCATCCGAATTTTTGTAGTACTAGTAGGCTCAAGACCACCCATTGAGACAAGCTAGAAAACTTCTCTCGCCAAGCAGCAAAAATAAGGCCGTTTTTCCAATAGAAAAAATACCTATCGCGTAGCCTGTGTTTGGGTTGTATTGAGAGGAGTTGTTATTTTAGCGATCATCAGTGGAAGTACTTATTTGGTGAATGATGTTCGTGTTAAATTTATTCAAGCACGAGAAAATGGAGCAATGTACATTCAACAACTTCAGGATGCTCTACAAGTGGATGCATTACTCTTAGGTGGAATTGGCACACTATAATTCTTGTCGGATACATCACTGTTGATTTCATTCTGCGCTTGATGACATGAAAAGATTTTTCCATTAGCAAATCTACGCTTGAAATGAAAAGATTTTTTCATTCTTAGCAAATCTTCCTGAATAACAAGTGTGAGGATGGAGCTACTCTAGAAAACTTCGACCAGATTGTAGATGATTCGACACCAACGGATCGACGCACGTCTAACATAGGTGAGCACCAGTTGACAACTTGTATTGGACGCACGAAGATGATCAGAGGTTCATCGCATTCTTCTTTTGACAGCAAGAATCAGGCACAATTCATTGACAGGATTCATTGTTGACAGGATTCTGCGCGATTCTTGACATCATTGAATAGAATTGTGATGTTCACTTTGAAGTAGATTTGGAATTTTCAACTTCATCACGTGTACGTCTGACATTCTACTTTCGGGAAAGAGCAGGAGGTCTTGTTTTCGTCCCCAGTTGAAACACAGTTTATTTCATTCGCGGCATACGTCCGCTGTTGAGTCGGCAGATTGATGATTCTTTCACACGCTTGCTTTCGATCGTTTTTCAAATCATCTTTCGTCTTCCTCTGATTGTTTTGAAATTCATCAAATGTAAGGCGTTCGTCGAACAACCTCTTCATGCTTCAACAGTGATCCTCTATCAACACCAAGTCCAACCTTTAATGCGTTCCCAGCGGTTAATAACGTTGGTTTAGGTATCGACAATTCTACAAATTTCTTACAACCTGTACACTTTATTCTCTTGTATGCCACCGTTTCATTCACTGAGCTATCCCGAGAGAGAGAGTGTGTCAAAAAAAACTAGAAAAACCCATAAGTAGACTGTTTAAGCATTGTGAAAATCGAACTACGAACCTAAACTTGTCCGCTATCCTTCGTTGTAAATGATTATGATTGTTGCCAACCTGCTACCTAGTAACTTCATTGGCCTTAGAATTCAAGAAACATTATTATCAACTGTGCCTGCTTCCTTAATCTGTAATATTGGCTTTGCCTTCATCTTCTACTTTACAATCTTTACGTACGATTCTGTTGAGAGTGCGAAATTTGAGTTCCTCTACTTATGTTTCAGATCCCCAAAAACTGCCCCTATGATCTGCCACTATGCAACTGATCAAATTTGTTTAGATCTGCGTGTACCTGATCCCCGACTGCTTCTTCCGCTTCATCTGCATACTCCTCGAAGGGCTTTTGGTGACGTAAAACCCGCCTTCCCTTTGATCCAGGCATGAGACAGAAAAATTCCTCTTTCGCCTTTGCGCCTGGTGGGACGATGGTGGCACCGTGGGGGTTAGAGAATGAAGCTCTTGATCGAAGCACTCGACTGTACAGACAACACGTAAATGGTATGAGCAAGTGAACTACTTTGGTGCTGTAATAAAGTGCTGGACAATAAGACTTAAAGTAGTAAAGAGTCAACCTACAACAACAAGAGCCTGTGTAAAGTTGTACAATGTAATCCCTAGGATTGATTGACGATTAAGTAGTAAGTGTAGTTGTAAGTGAAGTCCAAGTAAAAAGTTCTCTGCCATAAACTTATGATCCGATATGCCCAACATTGTGTTTTCTGTCTTCAACTGCCGCATCACCTCTCTCGTGTGCTCGTGGACGTCCGTGTTACCCCGATCATCGTCCTCAGGATCAACGTCGGTTACACCCTGAAGATTCGAAAATTGTGTCGTCTCCGTTCCACTTCTTGTTAGGGGTTGCAAGTTGTCCGATCTACCTCGCATAGCTAAATGACTTATTTCCTCCTTGTTGAAACGAAGGCCATAGATTAGATCTAATATGCTCATAGGTGAGACAGAGGTCAACTTCCAAGCCTTAATCTTGCGCCTCGCCAGCCATCGTTGAGTTGGCGTGACTGTAGCATCTTCTGGTCCCTCAGTTTGATTCCAGCTTCTTCTCTTACCGCTCTAGACTTGGATCCTGGCGTTCGGACCGCAGCTGGAGGTCTGAGGGCATTAGAAACAAAGGATTGTTGAAGATGTCCTTCTTCTTGTTATTGTTTACTTATCTAAATGTTGAATCAGCATTCTGGGTCATCAGCATTCTGGGTCATGTAGTTGTGTGTTGATGCAAGTGCCGTTGACTCAAGTGCCGTTGATGCAAGTCCAAGTTGTATTTATCTCCTCGTTGCTAATGCTAGAGAAAAAATAGAAGCCATAATAACAAGATCCTTGACCATGTTGTGCACTTCCCTCGTTCCGTAGTGCGCTCCCTTCTTCCCACTGCCTTTGCGGAATGGTCGAGGTTCTTCTTGGGGTCCTTCTGGCGGGGGCTCAGCAAACGGATCGGCGACAACGCTTTTATGTTAGACGAGGATAAGTCATGTTGGTTATCGACATTGACGACCCTAGGAATGTAGTGATTTAACGTGTTGATACTTCTCATTCTCTTTCTCATTAATTCATGAAAAAAGAGTTGACATTTTTGCCTTAATCTTCTTCCAACTCCTGCTGACGTCGTCTTTGCATGGCAGTTCTTACCCGGACCCTCTCCATTTCCTCCTCTTCACTACTAGAATCCATAGAGAGACGTCGCGTGCCGTCTGGGCGGAAGGGGATTAGAAAATTTGACGAGACTAGTCGTACTAGACTTCTACTTGAACATGAACGACGGATATGATCAATATGGTCAAGCAGACTCTTTTGGTGAAGATCAATGTCTACTTGGTCTTCTTCCTCCACTAGCCAAAGATTGCATTTGCTAGAACGCATTATTTCACTCAAGAAAAATCAAAAACCATATGCCTATATTAATGCCATATCATGAAGTCTTTTCTTTCGGAATCTCCGAATAGCTTCTGGTCTATCCTGGAAGGTTGAGAGTATCGCGGTCCACTCGTCCGTATTTTGATATCAGCAAACGGTACTCCATTGTTCATTGCTCGAATACGATCACTCTCGGTTTCTGTGGTCTCAGCCACCGCCTGTTGGTCCATGTGCACGCTATCACGAACCATTTTTACCACGTTGTCGTAGTCTTGCGCGACAACTAGACCCTTCTGCATACGCTGTGGAGTTTAGAGCAAAAGGTCACTACTGTATTGTATGCTTTATGATGCAGCTTAGACACAAGCTCTGTTCCTCTTTATAGTTTGATGTTCAACTGTGCATGAAGAAGGGTCGGTCAAATACACAAGAAGTGGTCGTTGCTAGTTGGGTTAGAACAAGATCAAACAATTACTTCTACTCAGACAAATAAAGCCTTAACTCGCATGAAGTCTCAGGAGTCGGTGCTTCTCCGTCTTCTCAGCTTGTGCGGCTTCCAAGGCAGCTAATTGATCCAGGTAGAGTTTGTTGCCGATGCTCCAGTCAAGCTTCAAATTCCTATCATCGAATCCCGTGACCACATGACCATAGAGGTCAACCCCGTCTACGTCGAGAGTTAGAGGCATAAGATCAAGCAGCGGATGATTGACACATAGACAAAAATATTGAGTTGTTTACTGCAGACGCAGCCGCTACTCCATTCTGTGCTAGATGATCAAGTCAAGAATAAACAATCAAGATAAAAAGAAAGAATCAGGGTGCTTGGTCCGACTTTGTAAGTTGTATTTGGATATAATATGTGTCCGTATTTACAAGCGATTTCTACACACGGAGACTACCTCTAGTAATGCTCATTCCTCATCTATGTCAAGAATAACCATAACTTGGGTGGTTTGAGCAGTGTCCTGCCCTCCTTGCTTTTACTCCATTTATGAGACCAATCTCGAGGATACGCCTTGCGAAACCGCGGTCCGAGGTCTGTCACGCGTGTAGTATTCGTGTGTAGCATGGGATTAGAGCTATGTGACACGGACCACATGGTTTGCAGACTGCAGTTTGTCAGGATCAAAGTGTCACCCTGGTTTAGTTCATAATTGATGTGAATCCTGCTGCTGGTTTTTTACGTCGTTCTGGGCTCAAGGTCAGCGGATCTTCTATGCTGGAGTAAGTCGATTTCTTCCCACTCCCAGTCGCACTTTCGAAAGCAGCTGCGCGATGACTTAGAAAGTCGTCGTCTGCTTGGTGGACTCATATCTTAAGTACCAGAAGTACATACTTATCAGCGTCTTATCCATTTGTTCCTTGTTCCAGCTATCTCCTATGATGTCATATACATAGATCCAGCTATAATGCGCACCTACACGACATAGATAAGTACTTATAACATAATTTCAAAAAAGCCGACTTTGGTCGTGTTCTCGTTCGACTGGGTTCCTCTGGAGAGAGCAATGGAGGTTCAGGCTTCTTTGCGCTCTGGGACATCCGTATTGCGGCTTTTCGAGTACCTTCGGTGAGAGGAACTCTTCTACTAGCGTTGATACCACGTAGGTCAAAGTTAGAAGAATTCTTCCTATTTTGTTTTTTTCCTAGCATTGCGCGTATGAAGCTACTTTTCTCTACTTTTACTGGGTCTGGCCGTCGACCACGATATTCATGTTCATTGAATCGTATCGATCCTTGCAAGTACCTGCAGCTATTATGTTCTTGCTGTAGCAAACCAAGCTTGAGAAATTCGCAGATACAACACGACACAACCAGTACAACTTAGTTACTAGAAGTTCCTTCCTTAACAGACACCGGTGTTGGCACTGCCTTTTTTACCCTCGCGCTACGCTGATCCGGTCTGGTGTCATTGCCGTCTCTTTGGGGACTTGCACCAGGTGATGGACTAGTCGTGCGATCGAACAGTCCCACATCGTCCTGTTGATGTCCTCCAACGCTTTCTCTGTCTATCACAGGAACCGGACCCCTTGCTTCGTCAAACATCACCGAATGACTTGCCACTGTGGCTGGTCTTCGTATGAACCGATTGTATCTTGGACTACGTGGGTCACACACGTCAGGGTCGCTAACGTCCAAAGGTACACGCTCTTCCACAACTGGCCGCGTCCTTGGCATCAGTGTGCTGCCTTCGGCAGCGTCGAGGTGTGAAAGGGGAGGAAGCGGTAGGAGGATGACGATGAGAGAGTTCCGATGGATTCCGAACTTATAAAAAAACAGTAATGAGAGGATGAGGACGATATGGAGAGAGTGAGGAATGAGAGAGATCCCAGCGAAAAGAGGAAGCGGCGCCGGTGCCGGTGGAGGGATGAGTTGCGAGTAACCATGAGGAAATGGTAAACAATCATGGAAAAATTCACAAGGCCTTCCATAACAAAAGAAGCTGTTTATACGCTTTCTCCTGCTGTCGAAGGGTCTTGGCCGGATGAGCCGGCTCATCTTCGTCTTCTGGATCCACATAGTTCACAAAAGGATTCGACAGTCCTTTAGGCATGAGGGTTTAGATGGTGGAGACGAAGTAACTCGGTAGAAGTTCTGAAGTTCTTCTTCTTCTTCTTGTATTCAGTACGTAGGAGTAGAGGCACAGCAGTCCTCAGAGTAAAGAGAGCATATTGTGGTGCTCTCTAGTACGTTCTGGCCCAATGGCGCTAGGAATCCTCTGCTTCTTCGGTTCTGTATTAATCTTGGTGTCGTCTATAAATATGGAGTATGAGTTAGATTGTAGGTTATTTAACTTCACTTACCTCGCAGTTAGACGGACTAATCATAAACGCACACACTGAATTAGGGAGGGAAAGGTTTTGGTGTCGTCTATAAATATAAAAACGACATGTGCTTGTGCAAACCTTTTCTGAGCACGAATCCTTTCGCCTTAAATAACCGTATCTCCCAATATCCCCAGCTTCGGCTCGTACTCAACGCCCCGCCGACTCTTGCCGCCTCCAGCAGGCGCTAACGCCCATGCCTGTGACGATAATATGGAGTAGATAATCCAAAAGATTGGGTTTTCTACGATTACGAAGTCCTACAATATTGTTGGAAGGGTTACACGCTAGAGGTAAAAACGAACCGGTTGTTTTATTTAGTGCTTTGAGCGCCGCTGGACCTACAATATTATCTAAGAAGAATCTAAGTAAAGGAAAACTCAAGCTCCATGAAGATTCAAAAAACTACCAGTTCGTTGGGACGACTGACCTCTACTAGGAGTGAACTACATCAAACAAACTCAAACTCTTTGAAGAAGAACTGCATCAAGTACCTTTTCTTCTTGCAGTTGGGAATGTGCTTCTTGACTTTGGTACACGCCTCCGTGTGCGAAATTTCCGCCGAATATCTTACTACTAGGACTGAGACTTCCAGCAACGTCAGGAAAAGCCGAGGCCGCTGAGAATGCGTTCACTCGCCCACCCTCTAGACTCCCCACTTGATACTGGAAATCCTTGCCGAGACGGGAATGAATGGGGAGAGGATAGTGGCACTTGTTGCTTGTTGGAGATGAGGGCAAGGGCATCACGAGCTCATGTAGTAAGTTTCTAATCTAAAAAATGCCTCTGAACACCTGATCATCTTCCATCTATAGTTTGTATTCGGCATAATTGCTTAAGCAGACAACACCTACATCTCTACATCATAACCATCCGCCGGAAATTCTGCACCAGCCGCACGGATGGGTTTCTGAGCAAACCCTGCCCTATTCGAAGTGCTACTCCCGACAACATTACTACCACCGAATCCCGGTATCCCCTCAACGCCGCGCATTTGGACTCCGCTTGTGGAGAGTGCTGCACGACCTTCCTCAGGTATCTTCAGATGGAATGAAGAGGTGGATGAAGTGCAAGTGGAAGTCCTAGTAAAACTACTACAAGAGACGCACGACAACATGCAGACCACAGGGACGCGGACGAGAGGACAAAGTCCTAATATTTCTATTTGTAAATACAGACCACAAGGAATATTAGAGAAAAACCTCCTCTTTTCATTGTATCCCATAAAGGACTCATCGAGCTTCCGGCAATGTGTGGTGGCTTTCCTCCCCGTACCGCATCAAATTCTTTCATCTCGTCAAGACTCCTACCTTTGCCGCTCATCGCCGTCTGCAAATGGTCTAGTCTCTGGTTCTGCAGAGGTTCGTGCTGCGTTTGCGTCTCCTTGTATTTAACCGGCGAAACGCGCATCTCTGTGTGTGCAGATAAACCCCCATCTGCGTGTGGATACCCGGACACATTCCCGGTGGCGCTGAAATATTTACCAGGACTGACAAAAGTGCCAGGTTTGCTTTAGAGGATGAACAGAAGGCAGAATATGTGCCACGTCTGCTACTCCAACTCCAATCTATAACAACATAAGTAATCATGCATTTCATAAGGCAAATCGATCCCGTCTTGCATCGGAGGACTTTGGATGAGGCTCTGAAGTCGCGGACGCGCCGTGTCAGGCCTTTGCGAGTCATGTGCCTGTGACGGCTCGCGACGATTGGAGAGTCGAGAATTACCCGGCCTCACCCCGGTACGACTGTTTCCTCCCAGAAGGCGGGTGCCACTAGACGTCTTGTGAATGTCGAACGAGGGCATGCCAGGGACTGAGAAAGTAGAAAGAAAAATATGAACAGTCACCAAGTAGGCCTTGCAAGGCGATGTTAATGGTAAAAACTGCTCTGTCTTTGGGAGATATTTTTATCATTCTGGCTCTTCTTGTTGGCGAGATATTTAGTTGCGAATTTAAGGAGTTACGATAAAGGATCGACTATCGATTGGATCGAAAGAGGAGTATACTAGTTTTCGGAGCAAAGTAGCTGGACGCCGTCTGCGGCCGCGGCTGAAGGGCTTTGGCGAGGCTGTCCTTCGTCCGCGCTTCCGTCCAGCCGCCCTCATTAGCCCGATTGCGACCCGCGGACATGATTCTTATGCCTATAAGTGGCTTGTTTCTTGTGCTCTTCAGGCGCTCATACACTGCTTCTGGAAGTAATGAGGAGGTAGTTGATACCCTTCTCCGAGACGCCTGATGCACTCTTTGCCGGTATCACTTTTTGGGTAATGGAAAAATGGCCACTTTGACGTGAAGGTCTTTGCTATTAATTTAAATAGCCAGTTTCGCTATTAATTCAAATTTATTTGCCACTGCGCGTTCAAATTGACCGATTGAATGGTACTTCATTTGATGGACACATTTTGGATATCAATATTCTGACAGACTCGTACATGACTCAACAACACGGAGGCCTCCAATCAAAAAATGTTTCCGCGTCTTCAGCTGCGGTGTGGTTTCTGAATTTGTATGTATCTCTACAAAGTACTAGAATAGGGGAGTTTTTGAATCTTGTTGAGCAAGAAAGCGTAGGTCAAATCGGTTTCGCTTGTGCGTCTGTGTCTTCATAATCCCGCAAGTCACATCGTCAAACTCATGATCGTCACATCAATGTACTGAATCAATCACAACCCAGTACCGCAACAAGCCCCCTTCATCTCTTCTGGCTGTCACTGGTGAACCCTTGTTGTCCTAGCTGTCACTCGTAAGACTGAATTCCTTCAAACGGTTCATGAGTGGTGGTCGTGTAGGGTCTCTGTCCCAGCTTGAGTGCGTAATTTCGATTCTCTGGCTCATCTTATCTAGCGTCTCTTTCAGCATGTCCGCGAACTCGAATGCCATGGTCTCCATCTTCAGGGTTAGTGACCTGGAAGAGTACCAGTAAGTATAAAATGAGACTGTACTACTACTAGTAAATGACAGAAGATGATGCGACATATCTTCTTCTAGGGGTAGAAGACGAACAAGTGGCAGCGGGATATTCTTTACATCACAGGTCATTGTCATCTTAGACTTAGTGTTATCATACATAGAAGTACAAGAATTATCCACTTACGTAATGTATGAATTTAGCACCAAGACGTCTTAGTCTGTGTTATCATAGAAGTACAATTATCCACGTACGTATGAATTTATTAGCACCAAGACGTCTTCATCTTCTAAGAACCTCTTACCTTAATGTCTGAATTTAGCACCAAGACGTCTTCACCTTCTAAGAACCCCTTACCTTATCTCCTCATCCTTCGCTGCTATGATTTCGTCTTTGTCTACTGCAGTTTTCTCTATCTCCTCCCTAACTGCTTCGATCTCGGCTTTTGATTGTGCTACCTGGAGTTGACGGAGAGGAGGTGGAAGTTACTCATTTAGTAGAAGTAGAACAAGAACCTGTTGCAGCAAAAGAATAAGTTTAAGTAGTTTTGAAGACCAGAAAATGAGAAAATAACATCTTCGTTATAGAACAACATCATGATGTGGATGTGTAAGTATTTACTACTATCTCTACAGTCTCTTATCTTCAAAGCATAAGCAGGTCAATAATAGGAAGAGAAACAGTACCTGCACTTGCAACTCCTCTATCCTCTCGTTAAAGCTGTTCTGCATTTCGCGGTTTAGAGGTGTTTCTAATTCTACTCTCCTGATAAAGATCACACTTGATTTTTGTCCTAAAATGGGATACAACTAGTCACTGAGCAAAGAGGACCACAACTCGAAACTATTTCGTTGACTAAGATATATCAAAAGCAGCCACCAAAGCAGGCCGCTAGTACTCGCCACAGAAGTACTATTAATGTTGAGGGAGCATATCTAACTAGAAAAAACAAAAACTGAAAAAAGAAAGGTCAGGCAAGAACGTATCTACTACTAATTAAGCGCCGGCGCTGTCGTTTTTCTTCATGATCAAATACTGAGCTCTTCATAATCTATATTGATTTTGCATTTCCCCGCTGTTCTGCAGTGCCTTATCGCTCTCCTGGTTGAATCCGGTGTCCAGTTCCTCAATAGCCTTTTTATAGGCTTCTTCGTCCCTCATACACTGCGAGATCGAATCGTCTTTCACCACTGTTGTGGGAGAAAGGATAGTGATAAAAACCATATTAAGAACATGCACCCACTGATTTGTTTATTGTGGATAGGATAGGATAGGATAGGGTTCCACTGTTGTGGGAGAAAGGATAGTGTTACCACTGATTTGTTTATTGTGGATAGGATAGGATAGGATAGGATAGGATAGGATAGGATAGGATAGGAACGGATAGGATAGGAGGTGGTTCGCCGTCCACATTGTGGGAGAAATGATAGTGTTAGTGATAAACACCATATGCATAAGAACATGCACATATTGGCTGAACAAATGCAAGCCACGGATCTACATCTTCCTCTACCTAGGACTACCTCTACTTTCCAGTTCGACATTCATTGTAGTAAGTTCTTTGATAGACATTAGTAAATTCAGGTTGAATGAACAGGAGCAAGTAGATAAGTCGTAGTTTTTACATCAAGTAGTTAGTACTTAATCGATACTGCAAGACCTCGACACGTTTTTGAAGCATTTTGTTTTCCGCGTCATAGTCCTTCTCGCCGTCTCCCCCACCAGCTTTCTTATCCGCCTTTTTTGGTCCCATTTTGAGGACTATTTATTTTTGACCCTCCTCCAGACGAATCAATCTGTAATTCTTGCCGATCGGTCAAGCGAGAAGTCCACCACTACCTCCACCAATCCTACCTAGCTGCTCCTTTTAAGAAACTTCATTGAAGAAGCTGCAGCAACAATGCAAACCTAATTCACTGCTTAATCCTTATCCACCTAGTCATCTCTAGTGTTGTTTTGAAGATGGAAAGAGAGAGACAGATCAATCCTTGAAGATAAAAAGTAGGGGTCGTGGCAGGAAAAATTTTGAGGTTGTGCGTGCGAAGAGCGTATCTGGGGACAATCTGATTAGGGGCTTTTTTTCTGCTTGTCTGCCACTCATGCCTTTTCCTCTTTTCTCCTTTTCAAACGACTCCTTGTCCCTACGTGGTACTGCAGGAGCAGTCTCTCTCTTGTCAAAAAACTCAACACTCCCACATTTGAACACTTTTATGAGGTGGACCCTTTAGTTGTATAGTAGTACTGGTACAACAACTTCTGCCTTCAGGAGTCTGGTGAGGTGGTTCCTTCTCGTGAGACGAGAGATGAACTTCTATAATAAGTTGTGTCTTAAGTTGTTTAGCACAGAAGTTGGTTTTACTATTATTGATGTCAGCTCAGGAGGACATTTGTTATTGTTTCGTCCTCAGGGGTAAGTAGACAACGTGAATAAATTCAACCCGGGTCGGTCAGTTTAAACAAATCTATCTAAACATGAGTAGTGCGCTGACATATTTCGTCCTGAACATCTTGCTAATCTTCTACCATACCGATTCTTAGACTAGTTAGTTAATTAGCAGCTTCTTGTTATCAGGAGGTCTTGTAAGAGTTGGAATCAAGTTGACAGTGTTTCATATGTGTGTTTTTGTAACTAAGTGGTAAGTTTTCATACGCGTCCGACGGCTAACTCTGAACAATTCTTAACAGCTAACAACTATGTGATTGATGGATGTAATTTTGAAAAGGGTGGTGAAAAAATGAAGCTCCACCTGGTATTTTTGCAAACGGAATAAATAAAGTTTTGAGTTCGTAAGATTCGAGATCGTTTTTACATCATTACACGCCATTTAAACATTTTTAACTACAACATGATAATATAAAACTGTAAATCCAATACAACATCAAGAGGTGTACGTGTAAACTGTCAACTAGACAATAAGATAGTCCAAAAATCTTGTAATAGACGTTCTGGATTCGTTTGCTCCAACCAGTCGACGATCGCTTCCACCGCTCAACCAACGTTGCGATTAGAAGCACAATGCCACAACTCATGCATCTGCTAAGACTAACACACCTACAACCATCAACGTAAATCATTCTACCCCAGCACATAACTATAGCTCAACATTCTACCAGCACACTACCATAACTCAACATTCTACCATGATTACATCACTATACACTTACACAGAGTACTATAATAACTCATACTCATTCTTCTACCATAGCACACTGCCATAACTCATTCATCCTCTGCTTCAGCTTTCAAGGCATCCAGTTGGTTAACCAGTTCGTCCAGGCGCTTTTGCAATTCCTCATTTCTCTGTTTTAACTCCTCATTCTCCGCACGCAACTCCTCTACGTCGACACCTTGTTGAAATTATATAAAGACTTGGATAATAAATTGTAGCAAGAGTCTCGAGTACTAGTCCTACACATAATCAAACAATATTCAGATACTGAGTCTCGAGCACTATGGAGACTAAGGTCGTTAAGTAGAACAATGAATAAGCATCAGAACAAGAATACTTGAAGAGTTCGTTGTAGCTACCAAGTCTAAATGGGGGGATTCTTCATAGTTGTACTGTCGTTGAAGAAATCGAAGTTGAGACCTCCACGAGTGTTGGTTCACGTACACTTAATATTACCTGTCGGTGCTCCAAGATATTTCTTGATATAGTCGATTGCATTGGCTGGTCGCTCTGGCTCCTCGTAGAGCCCAACTAGGACCTTGGTAAGCTGTGAAATCACACCATTCGCTTCGAGGTACCTGGTTAAGAAAGTACTATGATTTTTGTGACAACTTCTAGTGCAAGAAAGAGTACAACCACAACAAAGGAACGTCATCCACAGCAAGATGAAGAACTGTACGTAGTACAAAATAACAAAAGCACTGTTGAAGATGTTGTAGTTTTAGTAGCAGTACTTCCTGAACTCCTCTTTTTGCGTGTCAGCAGATTCGAACGACATCTTGTTGTTTCTGGAAGCTTCAAAGACTAGATCTCTCTAATCTCCGATATCTGTACCAACTTCTAGCTCTTCTGTACTTCTTTCTATCTATTCGTATTGACGCCTTCTATCCAAAAATATATGACGACGCTAACGATTCACACTCCTGAGTAGATATGTCTGGTCATGTAGGGACTCCGACTCTGGTCATGTAGGGACTCCGACTCATTCATTGATGTTAGAAGTATTTGGCTCAAGCACCATCAAATCACCATGAAGTACAACAATAACGCGCCTCGACGTGGGTAAATGTCAACAGCTGCGTACAAAAGAATAACAAGAAAGTGAGCACATCAGGAACGTAAAAGGAAGTACCTAAAAGGGCTCTAGCTACTTAGAAGAATTATACCTTAGTATCACAGTTGTAAGAACAACTCACACTCGCAAAAAAAAAACGATCGTCATTTCTTGTTTTGGGTCTCTCTCTCTCCATCTTCTAGTTGTAGCTCTTTACTCCCCTGCTGCGCGCGGCTATTCATCCTCAACTCAGTCGGACGTTTACGCTTTCCCTCTCAACATCAGCGACTCGGTCTTTAGTGCAACATTTTTCTTCCTCTCCTGAGAACACCTTATTGAGCGCTGCACCTCCATGTCTTCTCGCGATCTGGCTCTTTTCTAAGAACACCAGGCTGCCGAGAGGAGGTCGTCTGAAGCAGGAGCAAGTCGCTGCTTTGAAACAGGCGTGTGGGAATTATAAACACAATCTGACTCAAGCTTTCGTCTTCTACAATTGCTTTGTTCAGTCTGTCCCTTCACTTCCAACAAGAACTACCACTTCTTCATGGCAATGACTCCTACACACCTCCAACTCAGAAAAGACAAGTTTCAGACACACACTGATGAGTGCTAACTCAAACAAAATAACAAAACAAAGTATTTGGCCTCTTTTTAACGTCCATGGAGGCTTGATCTCAATGTAAATTTTGAAACAAGCGATCCGTCAGGCATCAGCGTCTACTCTGTTCTTGTGTAGTGTGGGGTAGGTGTCCTGTCATCTGCTCTGTTATATACGACAGTGTTTGAAGGTATTTTTAGCATCAAGATACTATGATGTGGAGATGGTTTACCACGAGCCCCAACGGGACATCACAACTGATATCTTTAGAAGGCACGACCATTGAGTCGATGAACAATCTAAATTATTCACGACGACAGTGGATCAGTTTTTATCTTAAAAATAAATGCTGGAACTCCACTCATCAATGTTCTCTACGACGACCATAAAAGCGATTCGCTGACGTAGGTGAAAACTCGACGGCATTGTATGTCTAAGTGGATGTGGGCAGTCTTGTTGAAAAGGGTGGATAAACCTTTTCCATGGATCATGGATGGGGGTTCAGGTTCTAATTTGTCACACAAACTAATTGCAGTTATGCCGGCTCTTCACGTTACACAAAGTGCGAGTGTGATCGCACTAAGTGCAGGTGTAGCTAGCTTACACGACTACTTCAATCCTAGTACTGTGTATCTAGAAGCTTAGTCGTGAGTCTTTTTCGTGTGTCATTTTTAAAATTAGGTTGGACTGCGAAATTCGTCACTGCTTTTCCCGTTTCCTTTGGGGGTCGGACGATCTGACCAATAATTTCTTCACTTGACGACTTTTGCAATAAATGAATGTCCAAAAATGGAATGAAATCCAAAGAAGAAAGGTATCTTTCTATCTTCCTAAACTATCCGTCTCAGAGGGTCACTTTCAATTACAAATTTTTCGATTTTGTTCGACGCACCAGCTTGGGTATGCGCAAAATAGATGAGTGCGTATGCGTCACATGTGTGCACTGCTCTTCAAACAGATCATAATCAAGCCCTTATGTCGTTGAAGCCGTGCCAGTTTAAAGCTGCCCCGAGTCGTGGGTCCTCCATCCCTGTAAAATTATTTGCGCGTGGTTCCCCCTACTCGGTAGTAATAGTTTTACCCTTGCATATACTACTTGAGGGACAATCTACATACAACTTGAGGGACAATCTACGTAGAACAAGAGATGGATTAGCGGGTGCCAGCCTCATAACTAATGCTCGCTAGTTTCTCAACCCTTTCTGCACTTGGTGGTCTGACAAGATGGAGGGGATCGCGATCGAGAAGGTAGGAATGTATCTCTCGATCCACTCCATCCTGTCAGACCTTCTCGAACCGCTCCATCTTGTTGACCTAAAAACTGATGGCAGTCCTACTAGCAGCTGCAGCTATTTTTTCTAGCATTATGGTAGCTGTAGTCAGTTGGTAGGATACGGTAGGAATTAACTCACCTTGCACAGGGTAAGCCTGTGCCGTCCGGTGAAGGCACGTAGCCTCAGAGGGGCTACCAAGGACTGATCTAGTTTCTGTTGGACCATGATAATAGAGACCTGTAGTTCTAGTTCTTGTTCTTGCATCATGATAATGAAACCGGAGGAGCCGCCTCCTACTTTTTCGTATCGTCCCCAAGCCCAACCACAATTATGATAGGACAACTGCTCCACCTACTCCCTCAACATTTTTTGCAATCCCCAGCGTTTCTATTTCTTTCATTCATGGTTAGCTTAGTTTGGCTTTGGAGATCCTTTCATCAATCAATCTAACACCATTTATGTATCCACAGATAATATCAACATTTCCCATGATAGTCGAAGTGATAGGTCATTAGAGTGTGCAAGAGTCCATCATCCCCTGGTGTGTGCTAGAGTCTTGCTCCCGTCACCTTGGTACCTTTTCCCTTGTATTCTATGAGAGTTCAAGTTCCCTAGCATTCTATTCGAGCAAGAGAGAGGGCGCCCCGAATGAAGATGCTGAAAGAGATGATCAACATGGACAAAAGCGTGTCACAATATCACTATCAGACTTCTATTCTTCAAGGAATTTTTGTCTGTGCATTGACATATATTATGCAAAAACGAGGGATAGACATAGACAATAACAATTACAATATTGCGGAGGGATAGATGACATTACTTGCGAATCATGCGTGATAACTTCTAGTTCAATGTGAATTTCAACGTTCTACTTGCTAAATCTTTATTGTTGTTTCTTAATACGTAGTACCTACTGGTATGACCTTGTTCTTGTTCGACTTTGATGACATTTGTGATGGAAAGTGAATTACGATTGCGATGGCTACTAATACTACTACTACGACTACTACTACTACTACTAATACCTTCTTGTTCAAACGATGTGATTCTGATGCTTGTGATATGGAGTACCTAATGACACGATTCGATGATCCGCAATCTCTTGTTAGATAGTCCTGGTCGTGATTATTCAACATACATATGTATCCATGCATAGAGATCATGTCGATAACCTAGTAAATCATCCTCTAAATATATGTCGCGGTTGCTCGCCAGGTCGAGAAGGAAATAAGCCTCATAAACATTTACTTGGGAGAAGTAGGCGTGGGGAGAAACAGTGGACTTCTCGATGTAATGAACGAGGATAAAGCAGGAGGTAGAAGGAAAAGTAGAAGTGGTTAACCTGGTAAGAGTCATTCTATGTTGCGGCTTAGTGTCAGTCGCTAGCTTTACTCACTAAGTTGTTCACATCCCTGGATCCCCATTCCTCCCTTTAGTCTAGCTATGGTCCTTTTAAGCAACCTATGAGCAGTACTAGCTAGTAGTCAGCACTAGTAGCTGGAAGTCTCTACTACCACTTCTATTCACTCGCTCAACCTCAATCCCCCTTGTGGTCCCTGTCACATCCTACTGCTCCCAAGGAAATGCTCCATGCTAGCTGCATTAAGATAGGATCGGAGTTTATTCGTCGCCCACAGGTGGAACCTGTGCCCCCTGCTAGACCCTATCAGTATGATTCAAGATTCAAGGGCTTCTCGCTGGTAAGTACGTTTTTTTTGTATCCCGGGGCTACTAAATGAGCGGCCTCAGCTTTATCCGGTTCGCAAACCGACGGCAGGTGGAGTCCGGTTACCTCCTTATAATACAGCGCACTAATTGCCTACGAACCTGCCGATTCTAAAAAGATGAACCCTAGGAGTAAGTACGTCCTGGTTGATACAGTTCGTTGTAGCAAGTATCCTACTGGAAAAAGGGCCCTGGCCACGTGTACGAATGCATCCCTATTTTGAAGAGGTGCGCGAAGCAGATGAATGTTTCTGCTGGGGTCCGTCTACAGCCTATTCATTGAATGCACTTCGACTTCATAACTTGATGGGCCGGCGTTTGTAAGTAGTAGAGTCCTCATGGGGTGGCTATAGTCAGCTACTAGCACCTTATGAAGGATACCACCTGATAAAACCCATAGCATAAACTTCATATAGGATCAACTTAGGAGGTTTCATAGTCTGTTGCTAGTCCATGTTTCTTTTTCCACCTTCACGAAAGCAACTATTATATCTATATACCTCCGACGATGCAGGCGCGAAAACCTGACGAGACCCGGCGGAGGCACCTAGAAAATGCCACGCGGTAGGGCTAAACGGGGACGACCCGAATATACACGAATACAAAGAAATATAGAGGATCTCAGGCCACAACACGTCTCACATGCTTTCAATCCAGAGAGTGGAAGATACTAGTTGTAGTTAGTATCTTCTACCAATCTGAGTCTGAAAATAGAAATCTTTACGTTTTCGAAATTGAGAATAAATTTTTGAACATAAATCTTCAGATGGTGGAGCTTAAGCGATGACTCTGATGCATGGTGAATGGTGGAGTTTGTTAAACGAAATGATGAGATTGCTTTTTACTTTTCTTTGAAATTGAATAGCCTTGTAATTCATGAAATATCTGAAATGTATGTATGCATAATAAATTCTGCGTGCTGAGCGTGTGTGATAGCATTTTTCCTTTTCTACGACTACATTATTTTGTTCTATAATCATGTTCATCTTGCGAGATCTGTAAGTAGATGCGATTTAAATGATAAATTCTTATTCATGCTTCATTCTTGGAAGATAGATCAATTTTTGCTTTTATGGACAATAACGCTTCTAGAATACTACAACAACGGTTGATAATCGATACAACAACTACAACGCTTGACGACTAGTACAACAACTCTTTCTTTTGACAACTAATACAACGACGCTTCATAATTTCGTGGACCCGTTTTCATTCTAATAAAAAAATCTCGCTGGTACGTAGAACTACCACCCTTATACTTATAACTGCTTCTAGCTCAGGGTGGAGCCTACCCATGTACGCCTGCGCGTACGCATCTTGATAACTAGTATTGCAAATTTCAACGACATTGTCTGGCACAACGCTTCCATTCATCTTTGCCCCCTCTCGGCACCTTGTCGTTTTGCCTCCCTTTTATTTGACAGAGTAGGCACCTATGCTGTCTGCTTCCCTTTTATTTGACAGAGTAGGCACCTGTGTCTGCTTCCCTATAAGAAGAAGCCGACCCCACCCGATGGTCCCAGAGACAGGCAGAGATAAAAAAAAGCGATCGTGCCCATACGATTGAATACCCCATACCTCGCTATCCTACTCTACTAGCGTGATAACCTTCTAGCGTACGTTCCACCCTTCGTACCCAGTATGTTGCAGCTTTTTAAGGAACAATATAACGCAGACAGAGAGGCTATTTTAGTTCATGGCATTCTTGGTAGCTGACTTGTCATTTTCAATTGCAGTACTAGCTCGTCCGTCTACTTCCTATTACAACATTCTGAAGTTGAACATCCTCAACTTCATCTTCTAGGTAAAACAACAGCAACAACAACAACTTTCAACGTCCCTACCTGATCATCATGGTGTCCCATTTAGTGCTTCTAGCCCAATGGCGGGACAAAACAGCTCCAGTAGGAGCTGTATATCAAAGTAGTTCGTCTCCTTTACTAACTGAGCAATTCATGTCCTTTACTACTCAGTGAACTACTCCTGAAAAGCTCAGGTACGGCTCCTGAACTCCTGACCTCACTCCTGAAACTCTAGTAGCTCTACTCCTGAACTAGTTCTACTGGATCACTCGGCTCTAGAACTACTTCTCGTTCTAAAGCTCTAGTAACTACAACTGGCTACTCGAGTAGTTATGAGTCACTGAACTACTGATGAACAGTCCAGGTGGATTACTAGTACTAACTGAGTAGCTCATCTCCTTTACTCACTGACAACTTTCAACATCCCTAACTGAGTAGCTCATCTCCTTTACTCACTGACAACTTTCAACATCNCCGCCTCCGCCTCCTCCTTCGCCTCCTTCGCCGCCTCCTTCGGCGTCTCCTTCGGCGCCTCCTTCGCCTCCTTCGGCGCCTCCTTCGGCGCCTCCTTCGCCTTCTTCGCCGCCGCCTCCGCCTTCGCCGCCTCCGCCTCCTCCTTCGCCTTCTTCGCCGCCGCCTCCGCCTCCTCCTTCGCCTCCTTCGCCGCCTCCTTCGGCGTCTCCTTCGGCGCCTCCTTCGCCTCCTTCGGCGCCTCCTTCGGCGCCTCCTTCGCCTTCTTCGCCGCCGCCTCCGCCTTCGCCGCCTCCGCCTCCTCCTTCGCCTTCTTCGCCGCCGCCTCCGCCTCCTCCTTCGCCTCCTTCGCCGCCTCCTTCGGCGTCTCCTTCGGCGCCTCCTTCGCCTCCTTCGGCGCCTCCTTCGGCGCCTCCTTCGCCTTCTTCGCCGCCGCCTCCGCCTTCGCCGCCTCCGCCTCCTCCTTCGCCTTCTTCGCCGCCGCCTCCGCCTCCTCCTTCGCCTCCTTCGCCGCCTCCTTCGGCGTCTCCTTCGGCGCCTCCTTCGCCTCCTTCGGCGCCTCCTTCGGCGCCTCCTTCGCCTTCTTCGCCGCCGCCTCCGCCTTCGCCGCCTCCGCCTCCTCCTTCGCCTTCTTCGCCGCCGCCTCCGCCTCCTCCTTCGCCTCCTTCGCCGCCTCCTTCGGCGTCTCCTTCGGCGCCTCCTTCGCCTCCTTCGGCGCCTCCTTCGGCGCCTCCTTCGCCTTCTTCGCCGCCGCCTCCGCCTTCGCCGCCTCCGCCTCCTCCTTCGCCTTCTTCGCCGCCGCCTCCGCCTCCTCCTTCGCCTCCTTCGCCGCCTCCTTCGGCGTCTCCTTCGGCGCCTCCTTCGCCTCCTTCGGCGCCTCCTTCGGCGCCTCCTTCGCCTTCTTCGCCGCCGCCTCCGCCTTCGCCGCCTCCGCCTCCTCCTTCGCCTTCTTCGCCGCCGCCTCCGCCTCCTCCTTCGCCTCCTTCGCCGCCTCCTTCGGCGTCTCCTTCGGCGCCTCCTTCGCCTCCTTCGGCGCCTCCTTCGGCGCCTCCTTCGCCTTCTTCGCCGCCGCCTCCGCCTTCGCCGCCTCCGCCTCCTCCTTCGCCTTCTTCGCCGCCGCCTCCGCCTCCTCCTTCGCCTCCTTCGCCGCCTCCTTCGGCGTCTCCTTCGGCGCCTCCTTCGCCTCCTTCGGCGCCTCCTTCGGCGCCTCCTTCGCCTTCTTCGCCGCCGCCTCCGCCTTCGCCGCCTCCGCCTCCTCCTTCGCCTTCTTCGCCGCCGCCTCCGCCTCCTCCTTCGCCTCCTTCGCCGCCTCCTTCGGCGTCTCCTTCGGCGCCTCCTTCGCCTCCTTCGGCGCCTCCTTCGGCGCCTCCTTCGCCTTCTTCGCCGCCGCCTCCGCCTTCGCCGCCTCCGCCTCCTCCTTCGCCTTCTTCGCCGCCGCCTCCGCCTCCTCCTTCGCCTCCTTCGCCGCCTCCTTCGGCGTCTCCTTCGGCGCCTCCTTCGCCTCCTTCGGCGCCTCCTTCGGCGCCTCCTTCGCCTTCTTCGCCGCCGCCTCCGCCTTCGCCGCCTCCGCCTCCTCCTTCGCCTTCTTCGCCGCCGCCTCCGCCTCCTCCTTCGCCTCCTTCGCCGCCTCCTTCGGCGTCTCCTTCGGCGCCTCCTTCGCCTCCTTCGGCGCCTCCTTCGGCGCCTCCTTCGCCTTCTTCGCCGCCGCCTCCGCCTTCGCCGCCTCCGCCTCCTCCTTCGCCTTCTTCGCCGCCGCCTCCGCCTCCTCCTTCGCCTCCTTCGCCGCCTCCTTCGGCGTCTCCTTCGGCGCCTCCTTCGCCTCCTTCGGCGCCTCCTTCGGCGCCTCCTTCGCCTTCTTCGCCGCCGCCTCCGCCTTCGCCGCCTCCGCCTCCTCCTTCGCCTTCTTCGCCGCCGCCTCCGCCTCCTCCTTCGCCTCCTTCGCCGCCTCCTTCGGCGTCTCCTTCGGCGCCTCCTTCGCCTCCTTCGGCGCCTCCTTCGGCGCCTCCTTCGCCTTCTTCGCCGCCGCCTCCGCCTTCGCCGCCTCCGCCTCCTCCTTCGCCTTCTTCGCCGCCGCCTCCGCCTCCTCCTTCGCCTCCTTCGCCGCCTCCTTCGGCGTCTCCTTCGGCGCCTCCTTCGCCTCCTTCGGCGCCTCCTTCGGCGCCTCC